TTTATTTTATTTATTTTATTTAATATAAATAATAAAAACTATTTATATTGGTTTTTCATAAAAAGCTTATAAAATATATCTTCCCCAAAATTTTTAAAATATTAAAAAAAACTTTAATACTTTTATTATAATTCTGTTATGAATATTTAATAATACTATTTAAAACTTTCATCCGAAGTTTCTGTAGAAAAATATTAATTGAATTATATAAATAAAATAAAATGTATAATATTAGTTCTGAATAATTTTTAAAAAATCAGAATAAATGAAATATTATAAAACTAAATATTTTAGCTGAACTAAATCCAAAGTTTAGAAGAGATTATATTAGATATTAAGTTATTATTATTAAGATTATTAGTTATTATATTTAATGATTAAGCTTATTTTTTACTACTAATTTTAAAAAATAGAAAACTTTTTTAAAAAAATTTAATATAAAATAATCTTCTTATTCTTCACAACGCGTGTAATCTTAAGATTTAAAAGAAAAAAAATATAATTTAAAAAGCTTATTTTACTTTAAATATTATTATAATTTATAAAAATTTAAAAAATAAAAGAAGAAGATTTAATATTATCTTCTAAAAATAAATTAAATAATTATAATAAACTTATAATTCTAAAGCTACGCTGTAAATAATAAATATAAAAATAAAGAAATAAAAAAATCTATAAAAATAATCTATTTTATTTTAAAATATATTTTTAAATAAATATCATATATTATATTTTAATATACATCTAAGACACCCGCTGCAGTATTATATTTTATTTATTTTAATAAATTTAATAAATAAAAATTTATATTTAAAAATTTAAAATTATAAAATGGATTTTTTTTAAACAGAACTGATTAAGATATAATAGATTAGATTAAAAAAATAGATTTTAATAAAAAAATTGAAAAAAGAATTTTACAGAATTCTTTATAAAAAATATAGTATCTAATATTAGATTAAATAATTATTAGAAAATATAGTTATTAAAAAAAATTAAATAAATAGTATAATATAAATAATTTTTAAAGATTTTATCTATAATATAAATGATTTAGTTTTTCTAAATAGAAAAGAATAATATAACAGACTATCTAAACTGAAATAAAAAAACGAAATAATATATAAAACACTATATATTTATTTTTAAAAGTCTGATTAATAATAAAGAAAAAGTTTTTTTCAGTATAGAATATAAAAATTAAAATATATAATCTAAGTATAATTATAATTATATATTTTTATATATATCTTTTACTATAACAGCAACTTTTTTTATAAAAAGCTAAATAATATTTATATTATTTAGATTTTTTTATTACTTCTGCTAGATATTAATACAGAAAATATTGATTTTTTTTATTATATTTTTTTAAATTAGAAGTTTTTTCTATATATTTTTAATTAATAGTAAAGATAGTTAGATTAATAACCGGTTAATCTAAATATATTTTAACTATATTAAATTTTAAAAAGATATAATAGATAGATTTTAGTATTAAAAATAATTAAAATAATTAACTCTTTAATTTTTAGCTATACTGCAGTTAGATATAAAACTTTTCTTAATCTAACTATAATCCAACAGTTAGATATAAAAATTCTAATTAACCTGATCTGACCTGGCTGTTAGCCACTCTAATTTTATCTTTAGTTAAAGAATAAAGCCGCAACCTGAACAGAATATAAAACAAATATATTAAGATAATAAGTTCGAATATCTGGTTTATAATATTTAAATAGTTACTGAAATTCTATTATTACTTTTTTAAATAAGTAGAATAACTAATATTATTTACTAATAGACATTTTTATAAAAAGAGTAAAAATTGCAGTAAATCTTTATTAAACTTTAAAAAATATATTATTTCTACTAAAACTATGATCTTATTAATTATAAGTATTATAATTAGAATACTACTTTTTGAATTCTTTTTAATATATATAGCGGGAATATGTCCGGTATCTTTACAAATATAAATGAAAAAAGCTAATATGCTGGCTATTTAATATTTATAGTTTAGAAAGAAAGTATACCGATTATCTAATAGAGCTACTTATAAGAAGAAAGTATACAGTATCCGAAATTTGAAAAAAAATAAATATGTTAGTTTATTATTCTGTTTATAATAATAAAGGATTAGCAGACTTCATCTATTTTATTTATTTTAATGTAAATAATCTTATAGACGTATAATTCTTCCAGAGATATATATTATGATATAGTTATGCTATAGTTTAGCTGCCAGATATTTTTATTATTAAAGAATAGATAATTTATACTATACTGCTGTTAGTGTGCCGGAAAGTATATAGAATAAGAAATAGATAAGAATAAATCTTAAGATATAAATTATAATTCTAAAAAAATCCGACTAATTAAACTCAGTATTAGTTTCTTTTAGACTGTGTTATCTTTAATTCTTCTAAGCAGGCACGTGGAAGCTCGCGATGGTTTTGCAGCCCATCTCAAGAGAAATTCACTTCTCTTGCGGCTGAATTAGGATCGGTAAATGGGAGTATGCCAAGCCTCGTTGATCGATGCTTCCACGAGGCACGTTCATAAGCCCACATTATGGTATGGTTGCCTTCCAGATAATGTGGCCGCAGGGCATACTCCTATAGACGCACGGCGTGTACAAAAATGAAGCGACAGATTACATTATCAACTTATCATACCATACTTTTTGACACGGTTATCTGCGTCCAGCTCGCGAGTTCAAAGGAGGCAGTATTGATCATGGGAAGGTGCATTGAGGGCTCAGGGTACACAAGGGGCAGCACACCAAGCCCTACCCGTGTGGAGCGAAGAACCAGTTGAACTGTGAATATGTGTGGCCCAATTTTAGAGCCAGCCTTTTTCACTACAGCCAACGCTACAATCAGAAGTGTTATGTTGGCGCTGACGGAATTGGAGTCAAACCGCACCCCAAAGCAGAATATGTTCCCATCTTGGCTTAATGGTTCGAAGCCTTCCAAGACTAGAAATATGACTAGTATGACTTAGAGGGCATGGTGCGAGACTTCGGTCTCGGGGCAAACACTTTAACCTTATCAGCGGGGTCGAGAGCTCCATCTTCAGTTCGATGTATAAGACAGGGTTATTGTTTGAACTTTGGGCTCATAGGTTGTGTGCTGAAGTCTATTAATTCTGTCCCACGTGGCTTTAGGCGACCGGCAGCATCTTAGCGCGGACCCTGAATTTACTGTTCGCGCAAGCTGTCATTGTACTTGGCCCCAGAAATGCTCAGGAAGCTGTTGCTCCTAATTCAAGAATGACTATTCCAGTGTAGTACTTAACCCTGCCTTTCAAATACCTCTAAGAATACATGAGCACATGCGGACTTAGTGCATCGATACCCCGCATAACCCGGATAGTCTGACTCGATGGCTATTTTTAGTACTGATTGGTAAGCTCATCAAACCACATTTGTCTGTGAGTTAGGGGGAGGTTCGAGGTGCGCTTCTTAAAAAAAGCTCCCTTCCAAAGTAGTAAATGGTCTGGTTGAGTGATAAATGAATGAGATTTTCCTTGAATTTATGGTTGCCTGAATCCCAGGCTTCCACAAAACTGTGATCGGAATGTGTTAGCCCGCAATTATATACGAACAAAGGAGCGACGATACTTATGCGACTGAAGAATCGCTAATAAGGACAGCAACCAGGAAGAATATCCACCGCGAGACCTGTCATGGGAGAGAGTTGAAACCTGCCAATCCAAAAATCATTGAGCCTTGAGCAAAATGACACCCATTGACATATCCATCACCTCAGACCCAGTCTGCCCGCGGGTACGTTCCTAGCATCCCTCCCAAGTAAGCCCCTGTGCCTAAGGAAACCCAAAGTGCTACATCGGCCACCGCCGCCTGACATCTGCCTGCACCAAAAGACCTACCCGGGGCGGCAGTCAAGATGCCATCCGCATCCACCTGGAAACCTTACATTCTGGACGCTAACGCCCCGATGAAGAGCATTCCCTACATGGGTACAATAGTCATTCCCATATACCTGTCCAAATCCATAATAGGATACTAACCGGCCCCCCGGAACGAATGACACAGAAGCTCGGCCTGGAGAACGTCCCCTATGCGCAAGCCCACCTCCAGCGACTGGGCCGCGCCGACGGGATCCACTTCCGCTTCGGCGGGCGGATCGGAGGCACCCTCCCCGCGCACCAGGTTATCATGCTCAGCCAGTTACAGAATAAGTGGCACCTCTCATAGAGCGCATTGGCTGGATCGGATTTAAGTGCTGGTACGGCGGTGCTCGTGGAGGCGATCTTCGAGGCGCATTTCGAGCGGAAGCAGGATATCGCGGGTTTTGAGACGTTGGTTCGATTGGCTGGGCGGGAATGGATGAACGTGTGGTTCGCTCGTGGTTGGAGGAAGGGCGCGGGGTGGCGGAGATTAACAGGAGGGCAAGGGAGGAGGGGATCGTTGGGGTGTGGCACTTTCAGTTGGGGGAGCGGATGCGTTCGTTGAGCGGGGGCAGGAGGTTCCGGAGTTCCTGGAGGCGTTGATTGCGTATAAGGAGGGTTGGAAGAGATGGATGCTTCGAGTGGTGTGGGGGGAGTCGCTTGCGCTGGGGATACTTGCTGATGTTCATGGGTGGAAGCAAGATTGAGAGGCATGAAGGATTGTGGGGGCTGTAGTTGGTGCATGGGGAATATGTGTTCGTTTTCGATTTGCGTTTATGCGCGTCTGGACGGAATAGGTCGCGGTCTGGATTTATTCTGCGGGTGCAAGAGGCTGCAGGAGTTTATGGTTATTGTGGACAGTATCCGGCCCTCGGACTTCTTTGTGTAAGATGCGATATTAGCCTGCCATTCAGCACAAGACCTCGTGGACCACAGCATTCTCCACTCGAGTTGGATACCCGATATAGATTGCGATACGAACACCACGATAAGCAGTTTAAATCTAGTCAAATCCCCGAGACTTGTCAGAAGCCAAGTTCACCGGTCCTTCACGGGGGCGTTGAGGATGGCTAATACATGGGGCGACTAAGGATAGGGTATTTATGCAGCAGACCCTATCAGGGAGGAGCGGCCAACCCTCCCGCAGAATGACTGGCATCATCTCCCCATGCATTCATTATTTTGAAGGATCTGACCGCCAGGGTTAAACTCATCATCTGCTGGCAGGATCCGTTGCTACCCGATTTGACTCAAGATAATTGTACACTAAGATGAGACAAGAGGGCGATACACACGCGGACGGGACAGCATTCACAATACGTAGACGGTTGACATCGCATGATGAACACAAAATACAAAGATAAAGCTGGTTGTCTCCAGTCTCACGCAACTACTCAAGTGGGTCCTGCTGGGGCTGTCGGCATGTGTTTCCTGCTCCGGTGATTAGCAGCGCATCGGGGTGAAGCTAAGCTCTAGGCTGAAATGGCGGGCACAGCGTTTGTCTTGGCCGCCAAGCCGCGTGGAGAAAATGCCCCATACCGACATTTGCCTGCGTGGCAGCCAATCAGAGGCAGTTCTGGCCCGAATTGAAGCGGTGATGCTGTGTTATGCCCAAGTGTAGTCGGCGTGCATTTCCTTCCGAGTTGGGAGTGAATCTTGCCCCTCCCCCCTCACTTAACTTATTATTCTCATGCTTAGTCACGTCGAAAGATAACTAACTAACTTATGGGATAGAAAGACAAAAGACAGCCTGGGACTACTGGCCCTACTAGGCAGACTAGTTTCTGAAAATCACATCGTCACTACTACCTAGCAATTGCATCGTTACCAGTGAATCTGAACACGAGCACGCCAGGCAAAATGGAAACCGACACGCAGATATCTAGTAGTACAAATTACCTTCCCTGGGGTTTTGAACCTCCCCTCCAGCACTACTACTACCCACCAATCATCTACCCATCACCATTTTACCCATCATCGGTCATCTCCGATTCCTTCATCCTCCGGCCCTCCATGTCCAGTCGGAGCTACACCCTCAACACGATGCCAACTCTCGACCTCCCGCCCGAGCTGATCCTCATGGTCGCCAACCACCTCACCAAGCGCAGCGACATCAACGCCCTAGCCCGAGCCAACCGCCGCCTGCACAGCATCGTGAACCCCTACCTCTACCGGCAGAACGCACGCCAGCAGAAATCGTCCGCCCTGGTCTGGGCCGCCCGGCGCGGGGTACCAGGGACCGCGCGACACAGCATCGCCGCCGGGGCCGACGTCAACATCCAAGCAAAGAAGGCGCCGACCCCGCTGTGCATCGCGGCGATGCGGGGCCGCGCCGAGGTCGTCCGCCTTCTGCTGCAAGCCCGCGACATCGACGCCAACCGACCCAACACCGACGGCAACAGCCCCCTGATCCTGGCCATTACCTACCGGCACACGAACGTGCTGCGCGTGCTGCTGGAGTCGGGCCTCGTCGACGTCAACTCCGGCCACCTCCTCACGCCGCTGCTGCACGCCGCGTTCATGAACAACGTCAAGGCCGTGAAATTGCTGCTGGAGCAGGACGGCATCGACGTCAACGTGACGGATTTCTCCGAGAATACGGCCATTCGCTATGCGGCGGCGTTTGGGTTCCATCGGGTGATGAGGGTGCTGATTGAGGATGGGCGCGTGGAGGTAGATGAGAAATGTGGGGAGAATGGGCAGACGCCGTTGTCGCGCGCGGCGGCGACGTTCTTCGATGCGACGGTAAAACTGCTGCTGAGGACAAGGCGGGTGGATGTCAATTCCAGGGATAATCAGGGCCGCACCCCGTTGTCGTGGGCGGCGGAGACGGGCGCGGAGGGCGCGGTGCGCATGTTGCTGAAGGCCCCGGGAGTGGAGGTCGATGTGCGCGATCACGAGGGGTGTACCCCGCTGTCTTTAGCGGCGAGGAAGGGCCACGAGGCGGTCGTGAGGCGGTTGCTGGCGACGGGAAAAGTGGATGTCGATTCCCTGAATGAGAATGGCTGGAGTCCCCTGTTCCAGGCGGTAGTCCATGGGCATGAGGGGGTCAAGAACTTGCTTCTGGCAGCGGGGCGGCAGGCGTGATCTTTGTTGTAGCGGGTGCTTTGGCGTTGGGGCGAAAGGGTTGCACATGCACATAGCATCGTTCATTGCATTCGCACTAGACTGTACGAGTCAAGATATGATTCAGAAAGTACTCAATCATGCTGTATCTACTGCAATCTACTGCAAACACGAGTTTATCTTCAATGCTCGGATGCTGATATGCCTTCAGACCAACCCCTAGTAGTCTCTAGAGAAGGTAGAGACCAGAGATGCAAGGTTCCGAAGTATAAGTAGTAGTAGTACAGCCCGACTGATCAACGACCAATGGTTACATCCACCACCTGCACAAGGCCAGACCAGTCTTGGTGAGTTACACAGACAAGCCCTCCCTCCGATCAAGTACGTTACACATCGCATCCAAACCCACTTCGGTACCAGAAATTTAAGTCTTATATGTACATCAACCCGCTCTCTAATCACCAGAGAAACAGACCTACTGCAAGAACCACAACCTCACTCCCTCAAACTAACCCACACCCCATCCCTCTGCAATAGCGCCATTCCCAAATCCTCCCGCCAGGGCCTCCCATCTCTCACCTCCAGCCCAGCAAACCGCTGCGCCAACCGCACAGCGACATACCCCACCTCCATGAAAGCATACTGCTGGCCCAAACGGCCTCTCGGCCCACCACCAAAAGGCATTGCTAAGATGAAACAAAGAGGATTACCGCTGACAGTGGAGAGAATTAAGGCTATGCCATCATTAGGGGTCTCGGGTGGGTCAATTTCTTGCATCTTGCATTATTCACCTCAGCACATCTATTTTCATTTGGGAGCCTTACAGAAGTCACGCAAATTATCTGAAGCGTCGTTCGCTAATCTTAGCAACATATCTCAGTGGAAGCTTGTGAAGAGCCCTGGCACCAATGTAGCTGATCTGCGTCCACAGTGCTGTCAACACATTTTAAACTTTGGTCGACCCCGCACACTGCTCGCAGCTAACGATTTGACAATTGCGGTAAACAGTCTTTTTTTCCAGAACAAAAGGAGTCTTCCGGTGTATAGCTCATGTGTTTCTTAAATTAACCGCACGTCGAAGCAATTTCGACATACTCAACCCAGAACAGTCGACCAATCTTCCCTCCTGATCCATTCCTCCAAGCTTGTCATCGGACAATCAATTCCTGCCTGAAAGAAGTCAGCCCTCAACCCACACATCCATAGATAGACAACATGTCTCACCCTTCGTATATCCTCCGCCGTCAACAAGCTCCCATCACCCCCATCATACCCCGGATCCGTCGAATAGGAGAACATATCCCCCACTTCGCGGCCAAACTCCGGTTCGGGCGCTTTTGCAATGAGCTCCTCGAGCGTGATCTGCCGATACCGCGCCGCCACCGCGTTCACATTGCCCCAAATCCTCATATACTCTGCCCAACTGCACCTCGTCCCACAGACCATATAACTCCTCCCGGGCGGCATCTGAGCAACCGCATACACAAACCCACCTAGATCAGTTTGCACATCGAGATGGGGCACCACAGCATCCGGGGCTGTGGTGAAGGTCATCTCCAACACATCCTCCCCGTCCTCCGTCTTGCCCTAAACACCCGAGTCAGCCAACCCTTACCTCCTCATGCTCCGACCCAACGCAACACTAAGCTCTCCCTAGAAGGGAACAACATACCTTCCCAAAATACGCCCCGGGAACCAGCTTATAACTCGAGGTAAAGTACCCCGTCTGCACACATGAAATCTTCGCCGCCAGCGCCGGATACCTCGCCCGTACATAATCGGGGAACACCTCCGCCTTGGCATCGAAATGGTACAGCTCCCGAAACCGGCCCCCGCTGCATCGCGTCGCGTGGCTCAGCGTCGAGACAATGAACCCGTTCGCATCGAGCGAGTCCACCGTCTGCGCCGCCGCATCGGCGATGTTCTGCCCCTGCTGCCGCTCCACCCGGTAGGCGTGCTCGCGAGGCGAGATGCCGGCGGCGGCGGCCTGCTGGCGACCGGCCGGGCTGAAGAAGGGTTCCCAGTAGTTAGTGACGCTGAAGATGATGTTTGCGCCTTGAAAGGCCGGGAGTAAACTGGTCGGGTCGTTGAGGTCGGCGGGGATGAGCTCGACGCCTTGCTGGGCGAGGGTCTGCGCGGTCGGACTGTGTGGGTTGCGGGTGAGGCCCCGGACGTGGAAGGTTGGGTCCTGTAGGAAGCGGCGGGCAACGGAGTGGCCTTGGTTGCCGGTTATGCCGATGATGCAGATGGTTTTGGTGGGTGGCATCTTTACTTTGCTTGCAGGGGGTGGTTGAGTGGATGTGCACGATCGAGTTGGAGAGTCCGTTGGGGTGTTGTGGGTGGGGTTGATGGGTTCGTACCCCGCTTTTGCTAGTCGTACGATATATTTCTAGAAGTGTTCGATTTCCTACTTACATGCTAGGGTCAAGAACATGATACTTGGAAGTATAGAATGGATGCTCAGTGCTTTCCAACTATAAGGAGGTTACTTTCTTAGTGCTTTTCTTTTCGTTATGTTTTTCTATCTTTGAAAACGCCGAAAGAAGTTCCTCCGGGAGGCTTCAGGCAACATTATCCTGATCAAGGTTCCCCTGCTCCCGAAAATCTCACGTAAGACGGTGACAGGGTTCGCAACAGGTTAACAAATCCGGCTGTCGACATTGAGATTAGCAAGGACAAAGAGCTGGTTACCGCTTTTGGTTGAAGCTTTCACTGATGCCTAGCTTCCAATCGCAAAAAAAGCTCCTGTAGCCCGCAACAAGCCAACACCTGACAACAACACTCACAACAACTACCATCTACACGCACCCGATCATGATAATGAGTTCTCCAATTTCAACGGACGCATTCTGGGGCCCGCCAACATCCCATGCAAAGTAAGTCTCGACCGAAGTACACACTGTCTCCGGCCCCATCTTCCTAGTGCCATCGCCAAGTTAACAATCTTCATCCAGTTTCTGCGACGAGGTATCTCCCACCAAATACACCAGTAACCCCAACCGCATGGCAATAATATTTAACTTCTGTAACCAGGACTATACCATAACCCGCTACATCGCCGAATTCAACAACACCCTGACCAACCTCACCTACAGTAACCCCCACACCCTCGCGACACTCTCCCCAAACGGAAACGACAAAACCTAATCCCAGTCCAGCTCTCTACGCCCTCCACGGCCTCCGTCATCTCCCGCACCAACCCTCTCCATCATTTTCGCGCCGTATCCCATACTACGGCCTCATCGGCGTAGGCCTCTGCTCCGCTGGATTCCACCTGAGTCTGAAGTATCACACGCAGATGAGTGCGTCTCTTTCCTCCTTCTCCAGCTTACACTTCTAATCTAACCGCGCAACACTGACCACCACCACCCTATTGCCGGGCTAAAACAGTGGACGACCTCTCCATGCTCCTCACCACCACCCCGCTCCTCCACCGCGTGCTGACCGTCAACACCAGCGCACAGACCTCGTCGCGCATGGCGCTGGCGCTGGGAGCCACGCTGCTGGGCCTCGCGGCCGTGCACGTTGCGACGGACGAGCTGGTCCTCCACGCGGTGAGCTTTGTGGGCAGTGTGACGGTCATCGGGGTGCGGACGATGCAGTTGATCCAGCAGCGGACGAGCCGGGGGTCCGTTGCGAGGGAGGAGTTGTGGGCGTTGGTGCGGTTTGGGGCTGGTCTGTCTATCCCCGTTCCTGTTATCTACTGAGTAACAACTATGCTGATGACTGCTTGGTATGCCGTCTGGCTGGTGGACGGCTGGGCTTGTCCGGTTTTGCGAAGGTGGAGGGCGGCGGTGGGGGTGCCGTGGGCGTTTGGGTTGGAGTTGCATGGGTGGTGAGTCACTTTTCCTCATTGTCTAGCCCGCAGATACGAGTTGGTTTGTGTGATGAGAGTTGATGCTAAGACTGGCGGTGTTTAGGTGGCATATCTTCACCGGGGTGGGCGCTTACACCTTTATCGCGGTGATTGACCACCTTGTCTCTGGCGCGGAGCATGCGGATCTGCAGAGGTCGGTGGCGTGGCCGTTGAGTTGGATGGTCAGCAGGACAACAGAAGCCAAGGTGAAGGAGTGAGGGTTGCTGTTTCCAACTCGTTCAGTTGTACCTCGTTCTGTGGTGTGTGTGTGGTGGTATGCCTCGATATGAGTAATCCGACGGCATTTCCTCTCCACATTCTGGCCCCACCTCCCACATATCCTGACCCCACCCCTCCTCCACATGCACAATTTGTACTCATACGAGTACATAAAATCCAGCTTCGTCGCCCGTGGCTATCCTGCTCTGGGCATTAGTAATTGCAAAACAACCAAAGATAATCGAGTGCGCGGGGCCCCAGACAGAACTCCGCAAAGCTTAGCTCCCTGCAAAACAACACTCCCAAAAGTGTAAACGTGTGAGAAACGCGCTTGGACGAGACGCAAGTCAAACGTTGATCGCCACCACCTACCGTAGGGCGAACAGCCCGGTCCCGCATGGCAAATAGGAACATGGCAAAAAAACAAAATGCGGGGCCTCGAGGCTAAGCAGGGGATTCCCCATCTTTCTCCCCTCTTTTCACTTTTCAGTTTTTTCTATTTCTTGTCAGCTTTTCCCTCTTGTTGAGTCTTTCCTATTTTTCTCTTTGTTGCATAGCATAGAGCTTGAGAAAGGTTGACTGAATCCACACAATGTCCTTCCAACTGCACAGTGCCCCGCCCTTCCGGGCCGAACACATGGGTTCCTTGCTCCGGCCCCAGAACCTTCTGGAGGTGCGCGAGAGGATCCGCGACACGGGCGTGTCCGAGGAGGAGGCGGGGTTGCACGCGGTCGAGAAGCAGACGGTCGGCGAGGTGGTCCAGCTGCAGCGGGATCTGGGCTACAAGGCCGTCACCTCGGGCGAGTTCAACCGGACGCGGTTCTGGGGGCAGATGTGGGATGAGTTTGAGGGTATGCCTCCATCATCGGACGAAAGGAGAACGACGGGCTGACTGAACGCTGCAGGAACCGTCCGTCTGCAGGACGCGGAGGCCTCGATGTTCCGGCTGTACCACCCGGACGTGGTCAGCCTGATCGAGAAGGACCGCAAGGTGATGCCGGGCGACTCGGTGATCGCCGGCTCGAAACTGTCCTGGAGCGCGGAGAAGTCCGTGTCGAACCTGCACGAGCTGCGGCTGGTGCAGCAGGCCCTGCCCGAGAGCGAGTGGGGCACCATCAAGCTGACGATGATCACGCCGGCCTGGTTCCACATGCGCTACAAGCAGGGCAAGGCCTACAGCCCGGAGGCGTACGCCAGCGACGCCGAGTACTTCCGCGACGTGGCCCAGGTGTACCGGGCGGAGCTGGCGGCGCTGTACGCGGCGGGGCTGCGCAACGTGCAGTTTGACGACCCCGGGATGGCCTACTTCTGCTCGACGGCCTTCCGCCAGGGCTGGGAGGCCGACCCCGACAACCTCGGCACCGTCGAGGACCTGCTGGATGCCTACATCCAGCTGTACAACGACTGCCTCCGCGACCTGCCCGCCGACTTCCACACGGGCATCCACCTGTGCCGCGGCAACTTCATCGGCGGCCGCCACTTCGCCGAGGGCTCCTACGACATCATCGCCCAGAAGCTCTTCCAGGACCTCAACGTCCACACCTTCTACCTCGAGTACGACAACGAGCGCTCCGGCGGCTTCGAGCCCCTCCGCTACCTGCCCAAGAACAAGAACGTCGTCGTCGGCATCATCAGCACCAAGCTCCGCGCCCTCGAGGACAAGGAGGCCATGAAGGAGCGCGTCTACCGCGCCGCCGAGTTCGTGAGTGCCGGCAGCGGCGAGTCCCGCGAGGAGGCCCTCAACCGCATCTGCGTCAGCCCGCAGTGCGGGTTCAGCACCCACGAGAGCGGCTACCCGCTGAGCCTCGAGGATGAGAAGAAGAAGCTGGGCTTGGTTCGCGAGATCGCTGATGAGATCTGGGGCCAGCCTTAGGTCAGTATGGCTTACTGATATGGTTACTTGGGGGCGGGCAGGAGTTAAAGGGATATTTTTCTGGGCATTTCAACAGCGAACGGAAATTGTGACGATGTGACACGAGATATGTATTCAACAGACGTAATCAGAATGACTGCGGGCGGCATGTATATAGTGCACTTGGGGGGGGGATTGGGCCGACCTTGGTTGATGAATTCAATGCAACAAGTGATGTTTGACATTTTCTCAGTGCAGTTAGAGTTGGAGTTGGTGAGTGTAGAAGCGGCTATTGCGGACGTTGGTCTTGCGTTCAGGAAACCCTCCTAAGCTCGTCACCAAAGTTGGGATGATGAACTCCGTGAGGGATTTAGGACCAGTGCTTGGTCGCTTCATCGGTTTCCGGCTGAGTGACGATGCGTCCGGAAGAGCTACGAATGTACCCTGGGAGGTGTTTCATTGGATGCTGATCGCGGCTCGTTGGAGTCGGGTAACCGGCCAAGCACTGGAGACGGTCTGTAGAGCTGTACCGGTGAAGTACCCGCCCCTGAAGCTATTCCTATCACGGATCAAGCCCAGTGGCAACTTCAACAACCATGTATGGATGTGTAAGCGGAAGCAGCCAAGGGCCAGAACCAAGGGATGTGGTGGTCTGTGGCACCAAGGTCAACAGGGTCAAAAGCCAAGATCTGCAATCTAGTCCAAACAGCCTAACCCTACGGCTCAGCCCTAGAATTGACCTATTCACCAAATTCATGCATGATGCTGTTTGCTACATCTTTGTCGTGATTGAAGACGTGCTTTTTGGCATTGTATGGGTAAGTTGACGTGAAGGTCAGCAATCGTGATACCATGTCGTAGAATGCAGTTTGGTTTGCTTTGAGGGAAATAAGGTGAAACATCCCGAAGCGAGCTTTAGGCCGCGTGGACGGAACCACCAATCAGCGGCAGCAGACCCTCTGATCTGCAAAAGGGCCACGCCAGCTTCTTCCGCCACGCATCAAATCAGGTTTCATCCAGAATGCCTACTGTTCCACTCGCTTAAGCTCCTACCTACATCCTCTCTACGCCCATTTCCCTATTCCATCGGTTTTCCCGACTATGTCCCGTCCCCGTCCTCGCACGGGAAAATCCAGGGTCACCTTGGCGAATGCGACTAGGCGCCGGGAATGTGATGAAGGCCCTGAAGGGTCCTCTGTCCACGATTTACTCAAGCTCATGCTCTGCTGGATCGGAGCATGCAGCAGACAATTGGCAGTATCGAACCGCATGCCAAGGAGTCAGAGAAAGATCTCGCCCACGTCAGCATTTTGCCGCAGTGGCCCCTGCCATCTGTCATCCTGAGACGCAAGCTTCCCCAGTCTCCTGTTTGGCACTGTCACTGCATCACATTCCCGTCTATGATCCGTGGCTGGTTCAGCATGCTTTTAGCAGACGTCAATGGCCCCTAGGTTCGATCCTTGCTGAAGATAGTAACGTGGGGCCTAAGCAGACAAGCTCGAGTCGGCAGGACTAGGTTGAGGGCTAGGTGAATCAATTGCAAGGTCCTTCCAGCTTGCCGCTGGGGTGGGACGTGTAGACATCACATACCCACCAATTCGGAACAGCCACAACCGCCGTGGTCTGTACTTGAGTGAATGGATGATCGCAACTCCATCCACCCACCATCATTGGGCAGAGATTATCAGACGAGGTTGATCTCCTCCACCGACGATCTGAACCCATAGGTACCATCGGCAAGCATATCCGTCTCGAGTGACAGCGATATTCGGAGATTTTGTTGTATTGGACCTGCAAGCAGTTCATAGTCACGCAGAATAGCGTCTTGTCGAGGACGTTATTGCTTTCGAGGACAAGCCACAAGGGAAAGACGATAGAAAGAGCAAAGCAAAGATGAAACAACGGGTGTCCCGTGACGACACATGGATTCAGCCACCGTCACTCGTCATTTTCCCTTTCCTTCTCTTTTCCGCGTCCACTCTTGCATGACTGCATGGCTCACAGACCGAATTCCTTTAGCCTCAGCCCTGTCTCTAGGTATTAGACTCACCCGCACTGACCCAGGCCCACTAGCATGCTTCAACATTATTAGTCGAGTGGGGGTCCAGCGCCAGCCGTGATCGATCCACCCTCGGGGTCTCTGGGTCCAGAATAGCCTGGTGATTTATCGCGAACAGTCAACGTCTCAGAGTTCTGCCACCCGAAGTCGGCGGCTCAGAAACATGACGAATATCGAGATCAGCATGTACGTATGTATCAAAGAGCGCGTCGGTATGAAGACGTCGTGCTATAAAACCTCACCTCGATCCATTCAGTTCACCTTTGGAAATCAAGCAGCTCAGTTGATCTGAACGCCCATCACCTGTCCTTTCAACGAAGAAAACTTCAATCCACATTCCTTCTACTTTCTTAGTCTTTTAATTGTCTTTCTCTTTCCCTTCCCACCCATACAGTCAATCTACAAGATGAAGCTCTCCGCATTCGCCATCGCCTGTATCCTCGGCTACACCTCCGCCCTGCCCGTCTTCGGCGAACAGGCTCCCACACAAACTGGTGTTCAGCCCACCGGTACTGCGGCCTTCCAGAACCCTCCTCCATCTGGCTCGGCTGGACCTGCTCCCTCTGGTGGCCCTAGTGGCTTCGGTCAGCAGGGTGGACACGGTGGTTCTGGAGATGCTTCCGCTGGCGGTCAGGCATTCCCCTCGGTGACCTTCTCCGGTGCTGCTCCTTCCGGAGGTCCTGAGGACCACCAGAAGCGTCAGGTCGAGATCCCGGCCTCCTTCACCGAGGGTGGCTCTGCTCCCACCGCTGCTCCTTCTGGTGGCTTCGGTGGTGCTTCTCCTTCCGGCTCGTTTGGAGGCACTGTTCCCTCCGGATCCCCCAACGGCCCCTCCCCCTCTGGCGGCGTTGGTGGTCAGGGCGGCGCTTCTCCCTCTGGTTTCCCTGGTGGTGCCTCTCCCTCTGGCTTCCCCGGTGGCGCTTCTCCCTCTGGTTTCCCTGGTGGTGCCTCTCCGTCTGGCTTCCCTGGTGGCGCCTCTCCCTCCGGTTTCCCCGAGGGTGCTTCTCCCTCCGGTTTCCCCGAGGGTGCTTCTCCCTCCGGTTTCCCCGAGGGTGCTTCTCCCTCCGGTTTCCCCGAGGGTGCTTCTCCCTCCGGCTCCCCTCAGCAGGGTCACGGCTCGCAGAGCCACCACGGCGGCCACAGCGGCAACAAGCAAGGCCAGTCCTCAGACAACGCTTCCTCTGAGTCTGAGCAGAAGGTCGAGCGCCGCCAGTTCGACCAGAACCAGGGTTCCTCCTCCGAGGGATCCTCCCACGAGAGCGGACAGGGCCGACAGGGCCAGGAGGGTGGCTCTTCCGGCTCCAGCGGCAGCTCTTCTGAAGGCCCCTCTCCCTCCGGCACCGTTGGTGGCTCTTTCCCCTCCGGCTCCTTCGGTGGCCAGGGCGCTTCCCCCTCTGGCTTTGCTAGCGGTGGCTCTTCTGGTTTCGGAGGTCAGGGTGCCTCCCCGTCCGGGTTCCCCGGGGGCGCTTCTCCTTCCGGCTCTGTTGGTGGGCAAGGTCCCTCGCCCTCCGGTTCTTTCGGTGGCCAGGGCCCGTCTCCTTCTGGCTCCTTCGGTGGTGCCGGTGCTGAGCCCTCGGGCGCTCCTTCCGGCGCTGCCCCCACCGGTGCTTCCGGCTCTTTCTAAGCTTGTGTGGGAAGATTCTGTTTCTCGCGCTGCGTATACACTCCTTCGACTGTTCGATGTTTAGGTTGTGGATAACCTCTATAAGCACCGCTCTTCGACTAATGGAGAAGGCATGTGGAGGAAGCGTTCGATTGAGTACGAACCATGGGTCTGCGCATACGATATAGGCCAGAGAACTGTCTTGGTGGAGAATTATGTACAGTACAATAATCAGGCAGCTTGAATCAGACTATTCTGCTATTTGAAAACGGCTTCATCCTTGCATTTATATGGTAGCTATATTTACTCTTCACATCGAATATATCCAGCATCCAAAATGAAGTCATTAGAACACATGAGTTCACCAGATCCTTCTCCACCAACGTAGCCCACCCACTCCCAACATCCCCAAACCAACCACCCTCAACCCAAATACTGCCCCTAATCCTTCACAGCAGCCCCCTCCCGCTCGCGCTCCTCCCCCACATCCTCCCGCCCCTCCCCATCCAAGGACCCAGCCCATACCCCCAAACGAGCCCGACTCCCCTCCTCCCCCTCCAAACTCCCAACCAGACTTGTCGCCCTACAGACAGCAGAATCAGCATCAACCCACCCCAATCCACTCTCCTAATCATGTGCCAGAAGAACAAACTCACCTCTCCTCCCACCCCTGCAACCACGCCGTGGCGACCGTCACCACAATCAACAACCCCGAGATAACCGTGGCCGCCACAAATCCGCTCCGGTACCGCGGCGCATCGACCTGCTGCCACACGACGAGGGGCAGCCACGCCTGGAACACGTAGGCCATCTCGTTCATGCTCCCGACCACGAGGGCGCGCTCCTCGTTGTCGGCCGTGCAGATCTCGTGGGCCCAGCTGTGCCTTTTGTCAGCTTGTCTTATCCGATGCCCGCCAAAACACTCAAGATGATCCCGAACGAGGGATTGGAGGGAGAAGGGGGGGGGTTGGTTATAAGGTAGAAGAAATGGTAACGCAAAGGCAAAGACGTACGCCATACACAACCCACTCAGCCCGAACCCCGCGCCGGACAGGATGTAGCAAGTCCATTTCCAGCCTACGGGGATATCCCAGATCGCGAGGGAGATGTAGCAGGTTATGTTTATGCACTTCTGGTGGTTAGCCTTTTCGTGGGCTTGAGTGAGAAGGAAAGTGGTGGGTCGGGAGGGTGGAATACTCCGCCGAAAATAATCCACGGCCAGCGTTTGCCGCGGAGGATGGTATCGCTGGTCCCTGCGCTTTTTTTCAGTACGACGTGTATGCCCAGAGTGGTGGATGGATGGACCTACACGCGTAGATTAGGGTGGTGACCACCTGCACCGCCGAGGTGAGCGTCGGGTAGGCGTTGATCTGGTCGATCGTGTACTTGGGGCGCGTGGAGGCTTTAAGAAATCTATCCCTTACCTATCAGGCTCAGCCTTCCCTAATGTGAAAGGGTGCACGTACTGCTGGAAAACAGGCTGCGCGCCCGCTGCCCCGTTGTTGAACGTGCTGTCATCAGATGATCCCATTAGCCATCCCCTCATACAGTACCAGTTGATGGAGGTGTAGGAGGACTCACATGTAAACCAAAGTCAGCATATAAATATGCCACGAGCCAAAGATCTTCTTCAGCTTGGCCTTGGTGTAGGGCTGCCGGTTCTGGCGGCCTTCGAGCTGCATCCGTTTCTGCGCGAGTTTCACCTCCTACCCCAGTAGCATCGATTATCAGGTCCGTCATGCACTGTGCTGTACCCAGGACTGAGAGAGCGACTCACCTCGCGAGACAAATACCACGGCTCCGAGATCTCCGGCACGTCCGGCAAGACAAAAAACCCGCTCAGCGCGACGGGGAGGGAGATGATCCCGTCGACGAGGAATAGCCTGTTTTTCTCGTGAGTTTATACTTTTCAACAACTTGTCAACACGATGAGGATAGGTCCATGGGGATATACCACTGCCACCCCTTAAACCCGCCCCTCCCGCCCAGCCGATACACCCCCGCCATCAGGTACCCCGAGAACATACTCCCGATCCCGCTGCTCGTGTGAAAGATGCATGATCGCTTCGCGAGCTCGTCCTTGCGGTACCAGCAGCCGATTATGTATTGCATCCCGGGATAGAAGGAGCTTTCGGCTAGTCCTTTTTGCCATTCCGTGTGGGTTAGCTGGGCTGGGGGTGCGCTGGAGGGGCAGGGGGTCGAGTACCGATGAAGAACCGCAGAACATAGAAGTGCGTTGGGGTTTTGGCCCGGGAGAGTGTGAAGGTTAGGATTGTCCAGAGGAGCTGGCGTGTTGTTAGAGCTGGGATGGGTGATGAATGAGGGGTATGGCAGGGCAAACCTCCATGGCGGGAATCCAGTAGCGAGGGCGCACTCGTGTGAGAAGCATGTTACTCGGGATCTCGCCAATGACATAGCCCACCGTCCAGCAGGCTTGCATGTAGTTCAGTTGGTTGCCATATAGCCCGAGGTCTTCTTTCCTGGCGGGAGTTAGTCGGGTTGGAGTATGGAGTGTGAATGTTCGGGTTTGTGTACGAACATCCCGGAGACGAAGGCATTGTTGATGTTCACTTGGTCGAGGTATTTGATGAAGTATCCTGGAAAATGAGAGGGTCGATTAGAATCGTAAGCAATGTTGGATATGTCCTGGGAAGCCCACCGAGAGTTGCAAAAGTCAATATCGCCGTGTCAAGCTTGAAGAGAAGTCGACGCTCCTCGGGCGACTTGTCGAAGGTATCCCAGATGTAACTGACCCATTTGCGCTTGGGTGCTTTGTGGACAATGGGTTCAGATGAGGAGACAGCGCTCTCGTCTACTATAGCTGGTGAGGGAGCCATTGCGGCTGTCGTCTTGATCTGAGTATCCCTAGCCGCGAGCTTCAAAAGAAATAAGAGGTATGGAAGCCTCTTGCATGATATGACACGTCATCCTAATGAGGTCACTGACTACTACGAAGAGAACGTATGGCCTATTCTTCTTCGATTGAATTTGACTGACCGTACAACCTGATCCAGCAGAGCTGTTCCCCTCTCGCAACGATCTCGGAGCTGGGACAATACAACACAACCGAGTCATCATTACCTACCCCACTCACGCCATTCGTGCATGAAAATGTCAGCCTGTGAGCGCTCAAGTATCTCGGAGATAAGGAATCGTGCTTGTTGGTGATCATGCGGGAGGTCTAAGGCGTGAGGGGGATGCATTAATCACTGGTTGTCATAGGGTATTGGAAGCTCGTCATCGACGATGCAGATGATGTGCCTTGACCAAGAGTTGGTCCCGGCGTAGACCCTACTTCGGCTGTATGCGCTAGGCTGTATGCTCTATTTCTACCAATATCTGAAGTTCCAGTCTAATGACAGGATATCCACTGCTCGCCAACGCCACTATCTCGTCTCGCGCTCCCTCCGCCAATTAACCCTTTGACTCGTTCGCGCTGGATCGCCTTGGCTGTATGCCAGGTCTCCGTATGGCCGTCAATGACAGGCAATCCGCGCTTCTCTCTATACTTATTGATCCAGCCCATCAGATCGTCCACATATACCTCCTCGACATCCTTGAGCGAATGAAAGGTCTTGCCGCTGCCTTTCGTTTTGATCTTCTCGGCATACTCCTTCCGCATATCATCCTCTGACGGAACTTGAGCGATCCCCGCGAACACGTTCGCGACAACGATTGCTTGGAACTCGAACAGGGTGAAGGTTGCTGTATAGTAGGGGACGCCCACGAAAGCGAGAGTGGGATCCGGGATGTAGAAGATATCTTTGTGTAGGTTGTGCACCTGCGTTCCGTCGGTAACAAGGATCGTCTCATTCGCTTTCTCGGCTGGTGTCGCATCGTCGTGAAGTTCCGGCAGGAAGGGCAACGTGATATGGTAGCCGGTGCATATGATCACATCGTCGATCTCGCACAGCTTTTGGCCGGATTTGAGATGGATGTTCAGCGGGAGCGCTTGGTCGTCGGAAACTGTTCCGTTCTTGTTGGTGATCTCGAAGCGCTCCACTTCGCCAACTCTGGCCGCATTGTCCGGAAGGATGCTGGATGGCAGATCGAATATGCCATTCCGTGTGCTTTGGTAGACCCGCTTAGCGAACGGGCCGATCTCTTTGGCCACGTCGGTGGATGATACTCCGCCTCCGATAAGTAGAACGTTCTGGTGCAACGGTTACTCCTGTTCGTCTCGACTTTCCGAGACTGAGGTTCATACCTTGTCCTTGTATGCGTTAGGCTTTCGATAGGCTTTTGAATGAATGATCCGCGTGGGCCATCTTGTCTTTGTGTCTGAAAGTCCGGGAATATCCGGTACGCGGGGCGCATGGTAGTGACCGGAAGCCACGATGACCGCATCAAATGTCTAGTCATGTATATCAGTATCACAGTCTTCCACGCGCTTTCATAAGACCTACCGCTGTCTCCTCGTGTTCTTTCAAACTCTTCGATTTCCCATCCTCTCGCAGAGTCGACCAGGTGACATGCCATTTATGCCCGTCTTTTTTGACGCTGGTCACGCGCGCGCCATAGATAGTGACTCCATCGGCGCCAGCCTTTCTTGACGTGTCCTGGATATACTCCTTCATCACCGTGTGGCTGACAAACTCTGGCGTACCCTCTGGCCAGGCATTGAGCTTCACCCGCATCAACGTCGTCTCGACGTTATTCTTTAGACCGACATAGCAAGGCCTACCACCGTCAGCACTGACACAGCTACAGCGCGGATGGCAACACCTACCCAGGAGGAGCATGCTTCAGCGGCAGCGAGTCTTCATCAGACTTTTCGCCCTCCCTGTGCCGCTCGGATATGGATGGCTTCATAGCCGGGTAGTTCGGTTCAAGAGGCTTCCGCTCATCGTAGAGCCTATGCTTCTGGTTAACACGACTCTGCGCCCACCAAAGGAGAAGGTCACACATACCACACACCACCAGCGGCATGATTCCGCTCAAACACCGTGACATTAATGCCTGCAGCAAGCAGATGGCCGGCGGACGTGACCCCGCTGATGCCGGCCCCGATGACAGCGACGTGTTGGATGTGACGGGTCATGGTGATGTCGAGAATAAGGGACCCAGGTTTGCGTAAATTTTACCATCCTCTCGAAGCGATGGCCGTATACCGTGACATTAAGAGTACTGTTCATGGGCCCATATCGCTAACGCTATCTCAGGCGCATAAGGTGTAATAGTCCCACCAACTGGACCGAAGCGAAAGTCCATGTAGCCTAGGACCGATTATCGCTCGAACGTCAGCGCCCTGATCCACGATGGTGGCATTGACCAACCGGATCATGATGCTGAATGCATTACAAATGCAGTATGATGAGGCCATCGTATCCCTGCATGGTGATTCCTAAGCTAACTGCCGAGTGGAGACCCATGCGTGTTGGAAGGTTCGGTTGGAAAAGATAAGGACTGAGTCAAATGAGGGGAAGAGGACAGAAAGGAGGGGTTTCTGAGCATAAATCCCACGGTTTCGAGTTCATAGGACGAGTGGGATGCAAAGGCGCAATGCCGTGCAACGATGATGTGATCCCACTCCGGCTATTGCGCGGTGTTGTGTCTGGGGAGGATAATTGACTGAAGCACTTAAATAATGGACATTAAAAGCTGTAGCTGCAGCTAAGACCAAAAGCTAGGTCCCAAGAAATAAGTTCTAAATCAATCAAAATAATTCGTACCCATGGCTCCAGCACCGATTGACCCCCGGATTGTCGATGTGGCGGAACCGTTGAAGCAAACGCTCCCGCTCCCACCAGCAACCCAGGAACGCCTGGAGAAAGCAGGCATCGATCTCTCGGAAGGTTATCCTTATCGCCCATCACGTCCTTTGTATCTAGACGATGTCTACAGCATCCGTGACTATGACCGCCCACATGTGGACCCGGGTAGTCGAGCGGATCCCGAGAAGAAAGCGCTCTTATCAGCCGCCAAGGAGGTGATCCACTTGACCAGGCACATCGGAACCGAGATAGTAGGCCTACAACTAAAGGACCTCACCGACCAGCAGAAAGACGAGCTAGGCCTTCTGATCGCGGAGCGCAGTGTGGTCTTTTTCCGGGATCAGGACATCTCGCCGCAACAACAGAAGGAGCTGGGTGAGTGGTTTGGCGAGATTGAGGTCCATGTAAGCATCTGAGCATCCTATGGCTACGGAGTGACGGCTGATATCGTTCTGCGTCTTTAAGCCTCAAGTCCCGCAAGTGCCTGGCGTTCCTGGCGTAACAGTAATCTGGCCTGCTCTGCAAGCAACAGAGCGCCCGGCAAACTTCCGCAACCCCGGAGGTGCCTCCCGCTGGCATACAGATCTCGTCCACGAGCGTCAGCCCGCGGGAGTGACCCACCTGCACAATGACACTATCCCCAGTATTGGAGGAGACACCCTCTGGGCCAGTGGCTACGCGGCGTACGAAAAGCTATCGCCCGCGTTTCGTAAGATCATCGACGGGCGAACAGCAATCTACCGATCTGCACACCCTTATCTAGATCGCAAACACCCGGAGCAGGGCCCAAAGTATGTCGAACGTGAACACCCCTTGGTTCGTGTCCACCCTGCGACCGGCTGGAAAGCGCTCTGGGTGAATCGAGCAATGACCGACCGTATTGTGGGCCTTGATAAGGCCGAGAGCGATCTCATTCTGGGCTACTTGTGTGACGTGTTTGAGAAGAACATTGACATCCAAGTGAGGTTCAAGTGGAGCCCTAGAACGAGTGTTCTTTGGGACAACCGGTCAGTTGCCCTACATCTGGTATATCAAACCAAGACTAACAACTTGCAGAATCACCATCCATAACGCTAGCTGGGATTATGAGGGCACTGAGCCACGGCACGGCACTAGAGTCACGTCCTTGGCGGAGAAGCCATTCTTTGACCCGAAGGCTCCGACCCGCAGAGAGAGTTTGGGCTTGCTGGACAATGCGGAGAAGGAAGAATTAGCCAGAGTGAACAATTGAGAAGGAAATGACATTGAATATGATGAAGCGGTGGATCGGTATGCCAGGTTGAAATTCATTGTGATGTATCATTTCCGCTCCAGGGTATAGAGCCAGTGGAAGACGTCCGGCGTATGAGCAAAGGACGAGGTCTCGCCTTTCGGGGCTCTCAGGGGAGTTCGAGAATTCATGTTCCAGTATCGAGTCAAGTAAGGCAAGTTGTCATAGCGCGTAATCGAGTAGGATATCGTGGCCCAGATGGCGCCTTTCTGCGTCAACGGTGCCAGATGCAGAGCCAGTACCTCCACCGGCGACAATGTTGTCTCTCCATATTCCTTCATAGTCTGTCGGATAGTCGGACATGTGTTCGATGCTTCAGAAGCGGGGAGGAATGTCAAGGGCGCCGCCGTCGCGATCGCATCACTGGTGCTCTTGTCAAATACCACATCGAAGGGACCGTACGGGATCGTCCTGGAGACGTCATCCCAAGACCGTAGATCGACTTGCATCCAGTGCATCGCCTGCAACTGTTCCTTTGTGGCTTCTGTTTCGCGACCAATGCGGACGGCCTCGAAGGAGAAATCCACGTTCTGTTGCGACAGCTTCGCGTAAGCTGATGGTTGTACACGTGCAGGGGCCGTCCATAACTAACAAGTATTTGGCTCCCGGGCCAACCACGCTTTATAAACTCATCGCAGAGTTTCGATCCCAGCTTGGAGATACCGGGTCCGAGGTGCAAGGCACGAGGTGAGGGTGCTGGCTCATCGAGCGCGGGGCAGCGGTCCAGATGCGACATGACCGCGTCGACGAGCGGTTCGCCAGGGTTCAACCATTCGCCGACATCGCGACCACTAGAGAACTTATTATCCCAGAAGAGTGGATCATCGTAGTCTGGAGTACCTGTTTGCTTTGTATGTGTTCGGCCATTGCCTGCGGTCGCCATCCTCGGTGGGGCTGCGTGCATAGGAAGAAAGAAGAGTTGGGGGACATTTTCCTTTCCATGCTCTTCCGCCGGTCGGTCGGATAAGACTTCAGACACGTGATGCTTTGCTTATCTTATCGTCAACTAGTGCGGGGACCAGCTCAGCTCCTTTAGAGATACTAGCTGGCGCCTAAGAAAGTCATGCTTATCAGCCTTGAAATTGAGCACCGATCCATGATGCCATGGTTGACCTTATGTTGTGGCCTAGTAATGTAAGGTGCGCCGTCAAGTCAACGTCGTCGTCCGTCTGCTCCCAGTTATCACACGACCGCAATGGCTGGCTTGAATATTATTCCGAGGGCATTCATTTCGCTGATTGGCCTTGGATGTACCTTTGGCAGCTCTTGACGCCTACTAGTGGGCCACAAGGCTTGCTCAAGGAAGACAAGCAAGACATTCAATGTCAACATCCTTGATTGTTGCTTACATTGTCCAGACATGCCCAAGGTAGCCATGGTCTCAGTACAAACACTGAGAAGTCAACATACACAAGCATTCCGGCAACACGAAACGCCCAGTATGACCCCGCGTACCATTCATCTTGTGGCCTACCGGCACGCACCCTCCCAGCGCGCTCACTTTGCCATATTCGTGCCAAGAGCAGAGGGCGCCCCGGATGGTAGCCTAATTCATGTCGTAGGTGCCCCAATGGCGGGCTGTTCACTTCAGTTCAAACGAGGTTACAGCCCAGATCAGACCAACCGACCTTGCCAGGGGTGGCCTATGGGTCAGGTTGACTTCTTACATATTTATGACTGGCCAGAGGGGGCTCGTGATCTTTTAGACACCAATCCAAAAGGGACCATCGAAATTGCCGCGGCTCAGGTGGAAACCTCCGTATATGCCAGGACTTCATGGCCTCGGTGAACGATGTAAGCTTCTTCGCCCTTCCACCACAAGACCAACATGTCACCTACTTACTTTCTGTGGGCACAGACCACGAACAACGATGTCAGGAGTGGACCACAGAGTAAATTCACCATCTGGTCTCGCAGGGATATATCCAACTGCAAGCGCTTCAGATCGTCCAGTCCAGACGTGACCCATCTACCCTTGGTATTGGACTACGGCGAGTGGCTGCCTAGCCTGACGGCGTCGCTTGGATTGAAAGCTTCGACAGGGCTCTCACCTCAGTTGTTGTAGGCAGGCGCCGTTCCGGGTTCAAATTGAAGAAAGAGGAATCGGTGAAGTCCAACTCTTTTTGCGTGATGTTCGGAAGCTTAAGCGATATAGCCTGGTCACCTAGGTGATATCGACCCGTTGTGAAATGTAAAGAATATGTGTTCGTCGTCGATCGGTTTATCTGCAAGTAGCCACAGCGTACGATATGAGCGGTCTAGTAAGCACGCGGAAGAGATAAAAGGCACCTCTCATCTTGTGGTGGTCTTAGGCTCCAATCTGCTAGGATGGCCCAGGCATTGACAGCAGATATAATTGTGATCGCGACCCCGACATCAAATCTTCGAAACATGACAATTGAGTAGCTTAATTTTCTGTAGTAGCGGAGCCCGGTAAGTGGAAGTACCATATCACAAAGATCTGGGTATAAATGGCAGAAAGTCGAGCCTAATACCACCTGACGAAGGCACACTCACCTACTTGGCATCTGACTAGCACAGCAGACTGTAAACATAGTACTAGTAGGTAATTAGTCACTGTCGTGGGCACCTTCACTGCAATCGAAGACAGTCTCACATAGTACAATCCGATCATGTACTCCTCATCTCACGATTTCAAAGGTCAGTTTCTAAACAGGAGCTGCATTTTAACGCCTCATCGGACTTCTTCACCTCTATCCCTCGCGTTGTACCCGGGTGATTTAGTTTCGATTGAGTAACTCATAATTCTACTCTACGATTGCCTCTTTGTTTCCGTCATCCCAGTATCAGACATGGCTTGAACCTTTAAAGTACCTCGAATTCGCTCCTCCGCCGGATTAAGGAAGCCTCTGAGCCTTCATCATAAACAACACGCGGCACACTCCAGAACCCGAACCCCATTGATTACTCCCTCTTCAAGCCACCGACCGATATTCTGCAACATTTATATTACAGCACCACCGGCCCTCTGCATAAGTCTAAAGCCGAATCTCCGTACACCGGAGATTTTTTGTCCGTGGAGGAAAGTTCCTGTGTAATACCTGGGGGTCAAACAGCAAAGATGCTAAGCCCCAGTGACGTCCCGAATTTGCGCGATTTTATGGTTGCGAGGGTGTGGGGCGACGACTGGGTACAACAAGCGTTGCACCAAGTGGGACTTCCTCCAGCCAATCTGAAGATGTGGTGACTCCAGCTACTTTCCAGCCTAATGCAAGTATTTTTGTTCCCTCAAAGTTCAGTCAATGGGGTGTCTGATCAAAGCAAGAAGTGCAGTTTGGCTACTGTAGACCAAGCGTTCCCTGGATTGAATAGCCAGGCCGAATCCATTTCACCAGATGCTAAATTGGTTGCTTGTCTTCGGGTTGCTTGTCTTTGGGATATATAACACGATGACAAGTATAGGAGTAGGTTGCGTGCGATCTCGGGTGTAAGTCCCTAGCCGGAAGCGTAGTGCTACTAGGTAAGGGTCTTCTCAGAGTATAGAAGATATTAGTCTCAAATAATCAATTCTGTTGTTTCTCAAGTGAATGGGACAACAGGGTCTCACTCTCGAAGCCCTAGCCGATGATGTGCATGGGAGAATAAGACTTGTGGCGCCGTCTCGTAGTGGGAAGTGGTTCCGAGGCAATGCTGCGATGCGTTTTCAGCAATGAGGCTAGTGTTTACCCACATGTCTCAGAAACCTCACGCCGGCTATAGTAGTCTTAGGCTGACGAATGAGACTCCCCTAGCGCTTGAGTTGGAGTTGAATCAGGTTCCTACAATTTGGCAAAAGAAAGGAAACCAGGAAGAGAAGACGAAGAGCTTATACTGCTGCTGCTGGGGTTGTTACTATTACCAGAAGGGCACGGCGGAGAAAGGCGAGGATTGCGCCCGATACCACCACAGAAGATCCAGAGCCAACGACTATAGTCCTTCGCTGATAAGGACCTATACTGTGAGGGGCGCCATTTCAAGGCGAGCTATCAAGACACTAGATAGCTGTAGTCTAGCCATATCTAAGCCCTTTCCATGCAAGCGACTCTCTAACACGCCACTTTCTTCGGCCGAAGCTTCATGCCACCAGTCTCATACTACAGAGCTCCAAATCGAATAAATAGCATATAAAGGGCGCTGTTACCTTCATCTGTGGCTCAATCAATCCTTGGTTCACGTCCAAGCCCTCATCCAACAAGACAAGTCCATGGATCTCGTCGCCTTCGTGTCTCGTCTCTCTATATCTGGAATCCTGATCTCCTCCATCTGCTGGTACTATGCGGTTTCTCGCGGCGTCGATGCTGACATTAAACACATTCTATGGTGTCACGCTATCTCAACCATCTTCCCTCTCTTCTGCTACCGATGGCCAGCTCATAAACGGCCAACCGCTGCCTGATTCGTGGTATCGTCTGCATCTCGACGACAGCGAGACAGTATCCAACCTCACCTCTCGCAAGGCAATGGCCTCAGATGTGAGCAGCACCACGTCGTCGCTAGTAGCTCGAACCCCCATGACGGTCTGCGAAAAGATCACCGCGGTGGCGGCCTGCGCCACGATCGGTAGCTACGTATACACCATCTCGTCTGCCATCGCGGGGCTCATCTGGGCCCAGAGCCACGAGAAAAGCTGCACCACGAGCAGCGGCCTCCATTGACGGCTGGTCGTACGAGTACTACGCGACCGGCCGCAACTGTGATACGACCGCCCAGCAGGAGACGATCCACGGCGCTCTCTACCATTACCTGACCACGGTAGATAATGATAAGGTGTGCGGCACGCAGTGTCTGTCTCTGGACCATGGCGGCACCTATGAAGGCTACCTGAAACTGGGCAAGGTGGCGTATTTTGACCCCAGTGTGTACTGTGGCCCGCTGCTGTCTTTTGTCAATTGCGCCTCGGGTGGAGTCAATAGCTTCCAATGGGGGCGAGTTTCTTGGTATCGAGGACCGTAAGCGAAAGCGGTCGATGCCAGATTTCGAGGACAATTTGTTTTAGATGATTCCTTTTAGCAGATTCGGGGGGGGGGGGATGCTTCATGTGTGGTGATGTGGGCAATGCGTGCAATGCATCTTGTGAGGTTGGAGGATATTGTTGTTTAGAGACGTTGAAGGAGATTGTCTCGTACAAGGGCTGGTCATCTAGATCTCGACGCTGGGAGGGGAGAGGGCAGTGGGCATGATCGATATCAATGGGGAATCAGTATTTATCCACAGCCTCAAGAGACTGTGACTATTTCCAGAAGTCAATTTCTAAGCAATACACCTTATGAAATCTTGTCTCCTATCTTCGTTGCATCACCCTAGTTCAGGTATACTCGTTCAGGTCTATTCTATAGGAGGACTGGTACTTTCTTTTACTATCGCCTTTACTTTCCTCCATCCTGGGACAAAACATTCCTCAAAACTCCTCTAACGTATTTTGATTTGCTACTAGTTCATCGTATAATTTTAGCCTGCGAAAAGAAGCAAACCTGCCAAGATTCTATTCACTCATGCTTAGCATGGATATTCTTCTTTTGTTTCTTCTTAAAAAGGAAGAACAAAGGATGTTCCAGCATCCATCTGCTCTAGGCCTCCGTTGCAACCAACACGTGGTAGTTCAGAGCCCTGACATTCAGCGATCACTCCCTCTTCAACCCAATCCGACCAACATTCCGCAGCCCCCACAATCCAACACCACAAGCCCCCAGCATGAGCCCAAAGCACGTCCAGAAGACGGCGCGGTAGCCAACCATGAGTGCCTCGTGGGACTGCTTGTCCGCGATCGAGGAATCCCGCGTGACGCCCGCGGAGATGATGGCAAAGATGGTGAGTCCCAGCGAGGTTCCGAATTCCGCGATCGTGTTGAAGACGGCACCCGCCGGGCCGCGCGTCTGGGGGGTGAAAGCGTCCGCGACTATCAGGTTGGCAATTGTAAAGATCACTTTGTAGGATGTGCCCAGGGGCCGTGGTCAGAAACTTGGTCTCATGTTTGATCTTATATTTTTCGACCAAGGAGGAAAAGAGAAGCTTTGGAAGGCTTACCATCAGCCGAAAGGGGGCTTAGCAGAACCGCCCAGAAAGCACAGTACCACCAGGACCAATGAGGGTCAATGATGGCCATGAGCAAGGGAGACCCAGCGCTGAGTAACGAGCTCACAAGCACTAAGTGATTCGCATACACACGGTGAACCAAGAGACCTGTTCCCAGGTTCAGGAGAACGTCAGGGATGACAATTGGGAAGAAGCGAAGAGCAGACTGGAAGCCGGATAGCTCTTGAACTTCTTGGAAGCTGCGGGATGGTATTTAGAGACGATTGTTCCCATTGTGCAGACGGGGCTATCGTCGTCCGGAATCAACTTACAAGAGACTGAGAATGGTTGTCACGCTGTTTAGCACCGCCCAGGAGAAAAGAACAATGACACACATGGACGAGAATGCCGTATTCTTCCACAGAGAGTTTGGGATCCAGGCAGGCCTTCCCGCCCGTTCACGCCTGCCCATCCAGACCCGAAACCCAGGAATCATGGCGCCCGCGCAGCAAGGCAGGGCGATGTTCTGAGCTTTGTGGACATTGGATGGATCGTCAGAGATAGTACTGTGACCATCGTCAGCAGGCTCCGCCCGCCGCCAAACGTGCTAGGTGTGTATAGTACATAGGCGAACACGTAGGAGAAAATTCCTAGGCAAGAGCTTGAAAGGATTATGCCAATCCAGTCGATCTCTGCTCTTAGCCTACGCAAGGTGATGGGTTCGCGGGCAGCATCCCGTGGAAGTTCGAAGTAGTTGATAACCATGAGAGTCCCGGTAACGCCGGCGCAAAGATAGAAACCGAATCTCCAACCCAGCGAGATCCTTGGAAAAGACCCCCAAACACAAGCCCGACCGCAAATCCCAGAGGCTGTCCTAGACCCAAGAAAGCGAAGCCAATATTCCTTGGCTTACCCATTGGTAAAGTCCGGGTCAAGATGCTAAAAGCTGTGGGAAGACACATTGAAGTTGCTATGCCTTGAAGGTCCGAATTAGGATCAACTGGATACCAGATTCGGCTACCCCGCAATCTAGAATGAACACGGCCAGTAGAAGGCAGCCCAGTAGATTGATCATCCGGTTGCTCATAAGGTCCGCCATAGACCCTGCCAGAAGCAGGCAGCATCCGTTTGCGAGACTGCTGCGCGCTTAGCGATGGATTATTTACAACGGAGACTGACCACTTACTGGTACACCGATACCGGCCTAGTAGATCATATATGCTCTCATCAGACATATTGCCATGTGTAGGACTATGAAGTTTTACCACATCAGCAGGTTATCTGGTAGTTTGAAAATCGGCTGTTATCACAGGTAATCCGATAGTCGAAAGCCCGCTGCTCATGCTTCCGACGAACGTGATGCCCGTGAGGGTAGTGATGAGAATCACCATTCTACTACGCGACAGTGGAGAAGCTTGCACATTTCGGCTACTGTCGAATGACTCTCGCTGCTCAGACAGAGAGGTTCGAGGACCCGATGTGTGTTGAGATAACAGACTCAAGTCACGCAAATCTAGGACCGGGTCGGTCGTCTGAGCAATGAAGAGGGATTGAGACATGATTTCTCCGTCCTGGAATCCGTCAAGCGTGTATGTGAATGGCGGCGATCGATAGCATTGTTCGGGTAGGAACGCTTGGGTTTATATTTCGGCGTCAAGGTTGAATGAATCGGAACAGCCCGCAACACCCCGTTAGCGTACCGACTGTGATGCTATGTCGTCCTGGTAGCGGGGCTCGCTCGGGGGACTTGAGCTAGCATCATAGAGTCATCAGGCGCGCGCTGGCGCTAGCAAGAGCTAAACCAGGGAAGGAGGTCGATAACAGATTCATCGAATCTTCTATCTACTATACCTGATTTAGAACCTCCTCGAAATGCCTCCGGAAGGGAATTCCGGCAGAGAGGAAGTGGTGGTTGGCAAGGCCCACTGTAAACCACATAATTAGGTTTCCGCTGAGTAAGCTGCATTGTAGTGGGTGCATAATTTCAATAGCTGCCAAGGGATTCTTCCACAATGTATAGACCGATGGCATCCATATCAACCCTGTATCCTAGTTAATCAAGCACTTGGAGACTTCACCTGAGACCATACTTTATCCCTGGAGCTTAGGTCTTTAGTCATAATAAGAAGGAGTTTGAGCGATACTACATCATCATGGCTTCCGGGGACTCTGCCACGACGATTTGACTCTATACCTCTGTTTCGACACACCATATCCAGCTTCGGGGCAATTCAAAACCAAAAATAGAAAAGTGCCATATACCGGGTCATCACATTGGCTTGGGTCAAGAATATGAGGCATGAAAGCAACGTCAGCGACAAGATAGCGCGTTCCGGGAGGAGTGACACCTAAGGTATACATACAAGTAGCGGTGATATTCACCTCATGAGTTACGAAATCAGGGAAGGGCAAGAGATCACTAGCTTGAGTGAGTCTCAGTGAGCTCATCACTACCAGCGGGGTCATGCTTCGGAGCTAAGATCAGCAAGTCTGGCTTTTCCTGCCATGAGACTACGTGTTGTATTTCGATCAGTCTTGCCACGCTGCATCGACTTTTTCATTCATGTTTCCATGTGTGCTAGATAGGTCATAAACTTTAGGAAGCAGTTTAGTAGCTTGTGGTATTACGGCCTTGATGAACATAGTAGATGAGACAAAGAACATTCACATTCGGGTTGCTATCAAGACATTATACAACTATCATGCATCACGATATTTCTATTCAGTAAGGCAACCTGGCACACTTAATGTCTCAACCCCTGTCTGCATATCACGCCTACTGGTCCTGTCCCTTTATAGCCCTCATATGCATAAGTAGACTGATCATCGCCGTGGAAGCAAGTAGGTGTACGAATCAGCGGCTTCCTAACTCGGCCTGAAATACCCTTGGAAACAACAACGCCACCCCAGCGTCGATCAGTCCATCCAAGCACCTTATGAAAGCAGTGCCTGGGGGACATCTGGTTGCACAGTAGGGTTACTTGTCATTCGTACGGGAGGAGGGGAGCTCAACCGGTGGTCGGTTCCAGGGGCGACATCAGCGCCAGCGTCGACCCGGACCATCAATGCCAACCAATACCCACCCATCCACCCAATCATCCAGATCATCGCAGAGCAGGGATAAAGGCGGTGCAGTGGTAGTATTTGCTCCCAGCTGTTTGTGCTGCATCGCACACCCTCTCGTGACTACCCCGCGTTTCTGGTGACGAAGGACATATAAACCTTGTGTCACCCAGCACCTTTGTCAACACAACACGGTGGAAAGAGCTGGTGGCCTTCACTTTCCTTCCTACAGCTCGCAGCTCTTTCTCCCTTTCATCTTCAGATTCATTGAGCAACACATTTACCCTTCCAACTTCAGAAGATGTCAACCCCTCAGATCATCCAGGGACTCTCGTCCGCTGGATCCACCCTTGGTGCATACTCCAGACAGCAGCTGGCGACTTTGCGCAACCGCTTCCTCAACACAGGTAGGACATCCACATCAGCAATCTCATCAAAGCAAAGGCCCGAGGAGCCATGATATCTAATCCATTCATTCAGAGAAGCGAAGAACAAGATACCAGCTCGTTCAGACATCCTTTAGCGTTCACCGACCAGTCTGGATTGCCGCGGGTGGTGCGGCCTATACAACCATGGGCGCCGTCTATCTGACCCTACGCTACATGCGACACTTAAAGTAGACCTTTTCTTGTTGTTGTCCTCACGCGACTTTTGCAGGGAAGAGAAAGGGGTCCAGCAGATTGAGTCTAGCTGTCTGAGACAGTCAGACTTCGTACTTTCGATGCACCAGTCACATTTTCTTTCCAACCAATCATGCGATTTATTTGGGGGGGGGGGGACATTCTAGGACGGGATCTTCCAGGTGATGACCTACCGGCGTTTAGGAGGGTTTTGTTTATTTTTGTCGAGGGACGGAACACAGTACTTCAGGTGTACTTAGCTACTACTACTGCCTAGTATCTTATTAGCATCATAAATCTTATGAATCGGATTCACCAAGATAAATGTCGCAGAAGAGGGACACTGCTCGACGAGAGCGCCAGCCAGCCAACCTCAGGGAGGGTCGAGGCAGGGTCAGCGTGGACTGCAGCTTGACCCCCCGGTAGACTTCAGAATCCATGTCCCTTTTGTTACTTCGGTTGGGTGGGATCCAGCCAATGTGCTCGCGGTACGCGCGACAGGGATAGGCGTCGCAAACAGGCAATATAGGTCAAGGGCTCACCCAGCACACCGAACAGACGCACACGACAGTAATATACTCCAAACCCAACCCATCCATTGGATCCTACCGGACTGCGTCAGTGGCTGCTCATGCCATAGTCAATGATCGTAGGTGACGGTGGTCTGATCATGGCTCGTCTACCCATCCGTCAGTTTGACAACAGCATCGTCCCTTTCTAAATATGAAGCCTAAACAATGTATAAAAAGCCTCCCAAGGCACCACACCCACCACGCGCCTTAGCCCCTGAATCCAGACCTAGAAGAAACAAGCCATAGCTAATGTTCACCGGCGTCGGAGGGAAGTGGGCCACTACCCCAGATTTTCTGTTTCGGCAGCTAAGGTTTTTTTGCCTTCGAAGCCGGGTCGCTTCCTTTTTGCTCCTAGTCTACTCCTGTCGTAACCTAGAATGAGAATACTGTGATAGAGGGTGGCCCGTGGGGAGAGGAAGGAGGGCTAGTAATCAAAACACGAGTGAATGATTTGCTGACATAGGCCTGTCTCTTTGACATTTGTGTATTACCCCGCTTTCTGCGGTGGCCAGTCACGGATGGAACTTGGGCAGGTGTTGTTGCATGATGACTTCTCCCCGGATCCGTGGCTACCCCGCATTGACTGGGAAATTGAAGCTGACCACCGCTGCCTAAGTGATACTTAACCAGATACTTGGCTGGTACTTTGTTGTTACCGGACTCGAGGTAAAGGGGCAATGCTTTTGACTCGCTTGTAGAAGTCGGGCCTTTTTATATTTAGCAAGGGATGCTACCTGGGCGATCTAATGTGTCCCATGTCTGATTCTATGCCTCCAACACTTCCCTTGAGCCGCTTTCACGATTTTGATCGAGGTGTTTTACTGGCTCAGTCGCTGTGTACGGTTGAGGTTGATTACGTTCCATGCAGGGAAACATTTTTCTGGGTATATATGTTTGCCCTGATATTTGGCAACACTTGACCGTGAGGAGATCGTCTCATTTGTTTATCAAGATGGCAAAAATAAGAAAGATACATTTACAGAGTACAAGAAGTCTCAGGTGAATTGTACAGTACTCAGTACATTAAAGAGTGGGGAGTGATAAGGTTCCAATCAAACAAAGAAAATGCAGTGTTGAAGATGGCTACCACACGAGTCCTAACCAGATTAGGACTCCAAGAGGTCTCACAGATGATGTGACCATGCATTGGGTATTGTTACATATATAAAGGCCCTTTGTCAACAGCAAGGCCTGCTGGCCCAATGGTAAGGCGCTTGACTACGAATCAAGAGATTGCAGGTTCGAGCCCTGCGTAGGTCATCTCTTTTTGCTTTTGCCCCATCATGCCGGGCTCCACTTTTTACTTGGAGTCTCAACACGCCTGGAATCTGCACAAGACACGGCACTGAGTAGAAACTACGTTCCCCCGGTACAAATAAACAATGGCAGCCTGCAAGCGACCGTAGAAACGCATATAGGGCGGCTGTCGCTGCAAGGTACAGTACTCCCCTCACGATCACACGTCCCTCGCTATATCCCGCTCAACAACACCCGGCAAGTCATACTCGAACAACGCCTCTTGCTGCTCCCTAAAGACACTCGGAAAGCAACCTATTCCCGCCATCATCATCAGCGTCAATATCATAACTCATTGTCACACTCTTGAGGACCACGACAAGACACTCACCCATGAGCCACATAAACGCATACATCACATACTCCTGCACAACCCCCATATCCCGCTTCCGGTCCTGCATATTCTTCGCCCTCGCAAGGATAGCTTCCACCCTCGGCCGTCTCATTTCCTCATACTGTTTCGCAGCAACCTTGATGGCTTCCTTCTCCACCCTGGCACTAAAGGGCTGGCCCTTCTCAGCATACACCCGCCGCAACTGATGCGAAAGGAACATAACCAAAGCCTCGACATCCTCTAAAGCTTGCGACGACCCCTGCCCCGACGTCGGCGGCAGCGAATGTGCGGCATCACCGACGAGCACAACCCCATCTCGCTCCCAGGTCGGCAGCTGCGGCGAGGTCCAGGTCGGCCACATGCTCTCGACGCTAATCTCACGGATGATTTTTTGGACCACTGGATCCGTCCAGTGGACATACCGCTCCTGCAACTGTCGAGTGACATCTTCTGTATCAAGGCTCCTGGAGTCGGGAGGACTCTTCTCGATCGCGTACGTCGACCACCACGCCAACAGATCCCCCGGTTGCGAGACATGACACGGCGAAGCACGATTTAGGTCCGAGCTCGCACTTTCCGCGTAGAAGTAGCCGAAGAAGCCGTTCCCGCCGAAGATGAAGTTCATTGACCCCGTCTCGACGAGATGCTTAACGCTGTCTGAGGGGATGAAGCCCCCCACGCCGACGAGGCCTCTGCACCCCATATCCCGCGTCAGTAATTCCGGAGTTGACCATGGGGATATGAGCGGAAGAGGAACATACTCGTAATGCGGGGGATATGGATCCGCCTCCGCCTCGGCAAACAGCGCATGCTTAACCGTGCTTTTCAGCCCGTCAGCCCCGATCACCAGGTCCGCATGCACGGGAGGACTGCCGTCGTCGAAGCCGACGAGATTTGGCCCATCCGCGACGGCGATAACCTGCGAAACACGTTTGTTGACGATCACCGTGTCTGGTACCGCGCGACGTAGACGGCTCCAGAGCGCATGGCGGCTGATTGCGAGCATGTGCATACGCGGCTGTTGGTCTGGCCCCCGGGGACGGCCACCTGTCCCCGATGATTCTAGCTTCACGAGGAGACGACCGTGCTTGCTTTTCAGATTGCTGTGGTCGACCATGTATCCACTGCTCACGATGTCGCGCAGCAGATCTGCGTCCAGCCGGTGGAGCACGTGGAGCCCGTTGGGCCCGACACCGAGCCCACCCCCCACGGTCAGGGCCGAGGAGTGTGTGGCACCCTGCGCTCGCTCGTGAGACGTGGCCTCTGGAGAGGTGTTGTAGGGCTCGTAGATTGTGTATTCGTGGTCGGGGGCCGGCGGTGCGGGCTTGGGCAGGTGCTTCTGCAGGGCCAGGTACGCCGTCAGCCCTGAGATGCCACCGCCCACGATGACGATTTTCATGATTTGTGATCTGCACTATACTGCGTGACTGATGATGTTGGATTACAGCATCAAAGCGCCGTTGCTGAAGGTTCCCTCCATTGCTGGTTGCGCTGAGACGGTTGGAAGGATGATGTAAGTCGAAATACGAGCCTCGGATCATTCGGCACAACTAGAGTTTCCCAGCCTTACTGTGGCATGCCACAATAATTACTGGAGCAGGAGATACTTTCACTCTTTCAGGTTACATATTTTGGAACAGAAGCCATGATCATACGAAGCGACTTTCTCTCATCAACACCGACTCCTTCTTATTATGGTAGTCGGCTTGGAGATTTCGGGCTCATTCGGTCTGGATCAGGAACTTGAACGAATCTTTCATCAAAATGCCCTTGAGTCGCACAGTCATGTATTATGCTATGACAGTGACTTCTATATCTGGGGAGTCGTCAAATGCTTGGTTCTGTTGCGATGCAATCAAGCCGCGTGTTTCGCATGGAAAGACCCAAGCACTATTGTAATGTTGATCAGAGAAAACTAGGTCTTTACCACCAAGGATCAATATTCTGTGGTCGCAGAACTACGAGGCATGATCAGAGCATAGGTCACGGTCGGCCTGCCCGTGAAGCCAACACGAGCCCGTTAGAAGGCACGACCTCTTACGTTTTGCGTGAGAAGACTATGGGAATAACTTGGCGTATGGACTGCTTTGGAGAGACTTATGCCCAATGTGCAAAGCAGAGCATTGCGAGGTCTTCAGCATCCGAGGTGACAGCAAGGGTTCACTTGCGGCACATGACCTGAGGAACCCCCCTCGATGGCAACCACATTCAGCACGATACCACGTTCTGCTGCAAACAGCGGTCATTCCGGGCGAGGCCTTCCACTATTTGACGGACAAGAGCCGCTCAAACCAGACTTCGAGTGATACCCACCCCTGCGAAGATCAGGCGCGTTCATGCAATTTGGACTCGACATAAGGATAGAGTTGACTCTCACAGCCCAGGGTCCACTTAGACCCCTTGACCGCCACCAACACGTCTAGGTCTGTCCAGGAGCACCAGGGAGTTCTACATTGGCAGATGAGCGAGTTGCCATGGTCTGGACCTTTTGTTTCGCTCGGCCAAACATGCTGAAGACATGTCCAAGCTAGTGGCAATTGGCAGAGGGATAGTCACCTTGTCCAGACCAGCTGGGCTCTGGACCGAGCGATTGGGCAAGGCTCTTGGCAACATCAGCTGCCCTGTTATGGAAACCACGGCACCGTATAGACGGCTCGCGATCTCATACCTTGAAGCAATAGGGGCGCAACCGAAACCAAGAATGCCTGAGATTGTGCACTGATGGGCGAAGACACAGCACAGACACAAGAAAATTCACCGCTCAGGTTGCGGCAGCTTGAACCGAACACGAGCCAGCCACAATCGCGAGGGAAAATAGAACAATAACGCGGCTGGCTGGCGCTGCATCGCCGCTGTTATGAAGCTTTCTTCTCGGGCTGCTTATCTCGATTCAGCTAGTGACGTGGTCAGCCACATAGGACTAGTTCGGAGGTCGCCAGCTGAAGCGAGCGGCTGAAGGCCCAACGCAGCCTTGAAATAGGAGATACGACACGGCCTTCTCCACATCAAATTTTCATGGTCGCTGAAGGGAGGGTGGAGGTGGAGCCGCGCTCGCGTCTGTATCGGCATCTCCGCCAGAGGTAAGAATTGCCGACGCCAATCACGCCCAGATTTCAAATCGCTGGTTCCGTTTGGGATACTATTTTCGCGACATCAGCAAGTGCTCTGTGCTCTTTCCAAGCGATTGACTTTTTTTTTGTCACTCGTTCACCAGCTGTGACGCCCAAGAACCCTGAATATATAAAGTCAAGGAACGATCGACACGATGATCCTCTCCGGCCGTGCCATCCGGAATACCCACATAGTGTCTCCGCGTCAAAGCCAAAGAGACACTATAACCATACATATCCCAAGATCACGATGAATTTCGTGCAGATCCCCTTCTTCGACACCTACTACAAGCACCTATCGACCTACCGCCGTTCCCTCCGCGCACGCAGCACGAACCTAGCCAGCACCATGCTGGGCCACGGGGCTCCTGCAGTGGACATCAACTCAGTTGACAACCAGAACCCAGACCTCGCGACGAGCATCTACCCGCGCGTCTCCGAGCTGGACGCACCGTACTCCATCCCCGAGGCCTCCCTCCGCTCCGCCATCCACATCCCCGCCGACTTCCAGTACGGCCGCGACGGGAGAACGCCCGTCCTCCTCGTCCCCGGCACAGGCACCCACGGCGGCGAAGCCTACGCGCCCAACCTTACTAAACTCCTACGCCAAAGCCCCTTCGGCGACCCGGTGTGGCTGAACATCCCCGGGCGGATGTGCGACGCCTCCGCCCGCAACGCCGAGTACGTCGCCTACGCGATCCACTACCTCTCCGCCCGGTGCACCCAAAAAATCGCGGTCATCGCCTGGTCCCAGGGCTGCATCACAACGCAGTGGGCGCTGAAATACTGGCCCAGCGCGCGCGGCCCCGTGCAGAGCTTCATCGCCCTCGCGGCGGATTTCGCCGGCACCGTGGCCGCGTGGGCGCTCTGTCCGTTCCCCGGCACGCAGCCGGGCACCCCGGCCGTGTGGAACCAGACCCGCAATGCCACGTTCATCAGGACTCTACGATCCGGCGGCGGGGATTCCGCGTATGTACCGACGACGTCCATCTACTCCGCGACGGATGAGGTGGTGCAGCCGCAGTCCGGGCCGGGGGCATCGGCGTTCCTGAGGGATGCGCGCGGCGTCGGGGTCACGAATTGCGAGCTGCAGCTGCATGTCCCGCGCTCCTTCGCGGCGGCCGGGGGCCTGTTTTGTTCGCATGAGGCGGTGCTGTATCATCCGCTGGCGTGGGCGTTGATCGCCGATGCGATTCAGCATGGTGGGCCCGGCAAAGTGGAGAGGATTGATCTGGCGACGGTGTGTAGGCGCGGCCGGGCGGAGGGGATCGGGTTGGTCGATGCGGCGCGCACGCAGGCCCTGGCGGCGGGCGCGTTGAAGCAGATCCTCTTCTTCTCGCCTAAGCCTTGGCGCGAGCCGGAGTTACCGGGTTATGCTGTCGAGGGGGAGAGGGTTGAGGTTGAGGAGGCGGTGGTTCGGGATGTGGTGAAGGGGCCTGCGGTGGCTGTTGCTTCGGAAATGTCAGGGTTGGTTTCGGTATAGCAGGTTTGGGATGGAGTTTTTATATGGGTTTGGCGTTGGGGATAAGGACGGTTGGGTTATATTCTATATGGTTAGATTCCTGGTATGGCGTTGTTAGAGCTCTTCGGTTGGATTGTACATATGATCATGATATTCTGTTTTCCTTCACATAAGCAAATTTTGGATAAGGATGGTGGTCTTAGTCTTCATTCTGTAGTTGACGTTGCCCTAAGTTGTGTGGCTATAGAGTCGACCAGCGCAATGTACCTCCAATTGGTATTTGGAGACACATGGCATGCTGTCTGATACATCTCCTGCGCTTTTGAAGCTATTGGTCTAATTAAGAAAGGGATGCGATCGGTCAAGATCCAACTAGAGCACGAATTCAGCCAAGACCGAGACAACAGTGCGGCGCATTCTGCAGGCTAATGTAAAGGATCGTCCGCTGGGCGGATCTCCTTGGACCCATTACATCATTTACCCCTATCAATTGACCTGCACAGGCGAACAGGTGTTGCTCACCTCCTCATACAATGTACAGCCATATTTCCACCTTATTCGTAGGTCGACTCGTTATCGACGAGTATGCTAATACGAGAGTCGAGTCTGGGAGCATGGTGACACAACACCTCGTAATGTTCAACTCTCACCGAGGACAACCCATGACCATGAGCACCTACCAAATAACTGTAGCAATAGCATACCTCCAGGGTGGAACCCCCGATCGAACAAAAAAAAATCGGACAAAGGCGCCTGGACTTCGATTCAGAGAAAAGCGGAACGAACACCTAGCAATACGCGTCAAAAGTGGGTAATATTTTCCGGTCGCTCAAGCAGAAGCCTTGCTCCTTTTCAAGGTAAATGAGCCTCTCGTATACCCATAAAAGTTCATTCACTAATTCTGTGGTGTCGCGTACGATTCCCCAGAAACCAGGGCTCCACCCGTCCGGATTGATCGCGCGGTGATGGTCTGTCTGGAAAGGTGGCGACGCTGAGATGAGGCATCTTGTGCCGACGGGGTCTGGAAAAAAGGGGCAGGGGTGTATATATAGCTAACCATGGGTGGGTTGGATTGTTACATGTCAATTAAAACCTTCTTGATCCGACACTTTTCTCGGGGCAAGAATAAATAAATCAAGGGTTTGACAGTTGCTGGGTTCGCTGTAGCCTTGTCCATGTTGCATGCAGAGACGATGTGGGGCCTGGGCCCTAATGTCAATTAACAATGCATTCCGACTGCAAATGTTGTCATTGCAGATGCGGGGAATTCTTTGACCATTGACTTTTGAGATGCACATGACAGGATAATGCCAGCGCAGCGTGAGTCGATTTGGGAGATCAAGAGCCAGAGCAAAATAGAGAGACAACCTGAAGGAAATGACATAGGGAAATCGTAGGCCAGATGTGATACTGGTCGTTATCGACAGTGACTGTTACCACAATAGGTAGATGTAGTGACGGGCCAGAGTCCCGCTGATATCATGGGTGTACTAAGCCTTTTCACTCTTGACCCACAGTGTTCAAATGCCGGGTTGGACCAATTATTGGATGGCCACGAGATAACTGTGTGAGGTGCGAGGAGAAATGGCAGTTGTGACGTGGTGGGTGCAACTGTGTTTTGTGTCTGTTGATTATTCATTCCTTTTCTCCTGACGTCACGTTGCCGATCCCGACCGGACCCTGTTCGTGGCCCATGGCTCCGCTTTCCTTCTTTCATCAATTCTTACATTCTTACTTTAATACTCCTCTTCATTCATTTTATCGGTATCTATCTTCGAATTACTCTTTCGTTTCTCCTCTTATTCCATCTCACCTTCCCATACCACCACTCCTTCTTCCCGCCCCGTTCCACCTCCCACATCACACACCACACACCACACACCATACACAGCAATGACAGTCATCTGGGGCCTGGATCTCAAGGAGATCCAATGGAACAAATTCAAGAGCTCCAACATGTTCACCCGCATCTACCACCTCCGTCGCACGAAGATGATCGTCTACCAGCTGGCCATGATTCTGTGCGTGTGCTCCGAGTCCACCGGCACGGCCGCCTTATCAGGTAAGTTCAATCCTGTACACTATATTGTGCAAAAGCCAATTCTGATGACTTTTCTGCCGGATAGACTACGTCGACCAACAAAGCTACATCGAGCGCCACCACCCAGGAGTATCAGTCTACAACAACGACTTCGTCGGGGCCGCCTCCTATAACATCTTCGTCGGTGTCGCCGTCGCCACTATCTTCGGCGCCGCCTTCTTTTTCGACCTGTTCTGGCCTGAACGCCACGAGAGCAAGTCCGTCCGTTTGGCGTGGAAGATCAGCGGTGTGGTGGTGTCCATCATGATGCTTAGCTCGGCGTTGACAATGACGGTATGCGGATTCTTCAGACTGAAAACACTATCACAAAAGAGAGATGCTAAACCCTGCCTCTCCAGATAATCACCGCAACAAGAAGCGTCCAGGTCCATGGCACGGATGCCGCCGGCGCGAGACAGTTTTGGTCTGAGTCGAAGAAGAAGCCTGCTTTCGGTGCGTGCAACATTTCTCTCCATTCATTCCACATCTCTATACTAACGCTGAAGCAGTGTACCGCACGAACCCCAAAGCCCTCGCCTCGGTGGTCCTCGCATGGCCCGGTTGGGTATTCACCGTCGTCAGGTATGTTCCCCCGAATGACTCTCCTTCTTGGCGAGCCATCCCCTAACCCGTGTTTCCTCCTGCAGTGCAATCATCCTAATCGCCTCGCACAACCACGACGACGTCCACGGCCCCAAGTCCAACTACGGACGCCAGATGGAAGGAGAAGAGAAAATCCCCGAGCCCGAGACCACCGATGGCCTACACAACAGGACCCTTCGGGAGTAGACCAATCATAAACTGGTTTCAATAACGACACAAAAGAGATTCCCCCCATGTTTTGTTACGACACTTTCAGGAAGCACATGGTTTGGTTTTGCAAGGGAAATCAGCGTTCGGATTTGGATTGTATAGATACGGCGTTTTAGGATTCTTTTCACCACTTGATTTCCCTTTGGGATCGTGAGAATCAGGGTCACGATTCGGCTTGGTTGACCTGACATTGTTTTCAGCTTCATTGTACAGTACACTATCTATTACCCCCTAGCTGTAATTATAGAATCGACCGCCACCACATCTGGCGAATATGATTAATGATTGATTGCACGCATTCGATCTATAATGCCTTATTAGAAATCAACCAGATTAGATTCGCTTCTGGAACCGGATTCCGAGGGATGGCGCGAGGTGTTGATGGCTTTCTGAGGCATCAAATGACAAATCCATCCTCGTAACGTTATTCGTACTTTGTCAGCAATGACGTCGTCGGTTCCCCCCTGTCAGGAACCCTGGGCCCGATTTCGGCAATAGTTCTCGGATGGCAAAGATCGGCGGGGATGGGGGGAGGGGGAAATACGCCATTCATTCCGGAGAGGGGGTTTAATCTACGCCACTCAGAAGAATTCCGAGACAAGCGCAGATGCTCAGATGGGACAAGCGTGAGTGCCATGAACGGATCCCCGAGCGTTGACGTATTGCGCCCGGACCACCGGGGCTTTCGAGGGAAGTGATCGGCTACACATGTCATTGTTCATGAAGATCTTTCTCGCTTATGGACTTCTACTTTACAAGAAAGTGCATCAATTCTGTCTGGGGGCATTTGCGAGATAGCGGGAGTTGCCTTGAGCCCTGCGTCACTTGAACACCTGCACGTTTCGAAGCCCCTTGATCCGAACTCTCTTTAAGTATAGGTGGTCGCAACAGCGGGATACCGATCCTCCCCGTAGGTCGAGTTGAGGCTGACCTGGCCCGAGACCGACCCATCCTCCAGCCGGATCCAGGTCGCGATCTCCGTCCCCAGGGTCGTCTCGTTCAGCAGGATCTGTCGGGATCCCCGCGTCCAGGACCCGTACCCGCCGTAGCCCGTGTGACGCCCGAAGCACAGGTTTAGTCCGTTGCCGGTGAGGTTCATCCCGGGGAGCTGGGTGTCCCATTTGAAGCACCTTTCCGGAAATTCAGTCCTGGTTTAGAGTATAACGTTGGAAGGGGTGGGAAGCCAAGAAGAGGAAAGTGCTCACCAGTCATCACCATGGTCATGGCCGCTGAACGTCGCCAGTAGACCCTCGGTGTTCAATAACGCCTCCATGAACGGGATATCCTGGCCCGAGTAGCTGAACACCGTCCCGGATACCGCGCCCTGTCCGCTGGCCTCACCTTGCTGGTCCAGGGGGTCGTCGGCGTTGATGCCTGGTTCTGAGTGGGCGTCCACGCCCTGGTTCTGGAAGGCGAGCATCGCATTCACTGGGATGTGGTAGAAGGCGATCGAAGGGATGACTTTATCGTATTGTTCGGTGAGGTCGGCGTTGGTCTGCGTGAACCATTCGACTACCTGACCGCACTGGTGAGATCATTGCATTGAGGGAGGCAGTAGAGCCGAGGCCCATGTACTGTACTGACCGACTCATCCACCCAGCACGGCTGCGGCACTTCGCTGCCATTCTCCAGTTCCTGGAAGTAGTTCCCACCGCGGCTGTCGAAGAACCACATGATCAACGCTGGCGTAGTCGCTGAGGGGTCGGAAGGATAAACGGGCAGGTAGTAGTTCGACACCCCCGCGAGTTCCCCGGCAACCAGGCTTTGGGTTAAGCTGTTGGGGTAGGATTGCTCTCGCTGGAGGATGGCGCTGCGCGACAGGTTGTAGTCACTATCGTGATTCCCTTAGGTGGAAGCCCACAGCAACTGGCGTTCAACCAGGGGAGCAACGATCTCGTCGATGTAGTCGGTCGCATTCGACAGAAAGGTGTTTTCACCAGTAACAAGATCGCCGTTCAGGATAACCAGGTCCGGGCTTTCATTATCGAGGATGGTATTGATCACCGCAGTGCTTTCGATGTCCTGGATTGGTCCCCAGGTTGTGTCTTCCGCTGACGACATCGTCAGTTATGATTGTGCAAAGGATGAAGAACAGACAACTCACCCTCGCCGTAATGCAAGTCCTCGAATATCGACAGTTGGAACATGCCATCGCTGTTGAACTGAAGGCGGGTTCCGGACTGGTTTGTCGAGTTGACGTTTGGGAGTGCACGAATGCCAGACGCAAGGCCTAGAAGTGTTGGCACAATGTAGCGCACCATGGTGACAGCGCCTCGTCAAAGTGGTCTTTTGTTGAGGTGACCAGGTTGGGCTGTCCTTTGCTGGGGCCAGACAAATTAATAGCCCAGTCAACAAAAGCATCCTCGGCAAACTGCGGTGCACACGTGGGCATGAATCTATTCAGCAGCCCCCAATACGTTTCTTCAGTTGCTTACAAGTTAAGTAGCTCACAATTAAACCACCCTCCCAGTTGCTCTCCAGCATGGAGCACGTTGTGGCATCCCAGTCAATAAGAGGCTTGACGGGACGGGCACTGGCGGCCGCTAATTGCCGCCGTTCCTGCACCGGGTCCCGTAACTGCCACTATCGTGCGGTCAGTTCATTGCCAATTGGGCTCAACGGGATTGTTAGTATATTAGCATAGAGTGCTCTTGATGAACAGTATAGTTGGAGTGGTGATGTCAGCGGTTGCTTCTGGAGGTGTAATGGACTTGAAATGCAGCTCTTCGAAGCAAGGATCCGAACCGCAATATACTGTAATTTCGACGCCTGAGGCAGCAGAGCCACTGGCGCTCCGCAGATCGTTCACACCTACTCCACATGGTCTCTATCCCCTGGGATAATTGCTCAGCTTGGCTTTTGATTTTAGTCAATGTCAACTGAGTCCAACTGAACGTGGCCTCTACCATGGTGAAAGACAGACTAACCATGCAACACCTCTCAGCCTAAGGGCGCTGACGCCTCCAAGCCACGCCTATAACAAATAAGCTCGCGACAGCGATCGCAGTGACTAATTCTTTTGGGCTCTTGCCTTCAAGCTCCCAGTAGTCAAATGAGGCAGGTGAGGCAGGGGTGCCCTTATTTAATGTCTCCGGTGTCAAATGTACATGAACCTTGTCAGTCCTTTTTCCGTCGTCATGCGGCTCTTCCTCTTCCTCAGACCTTACGTCGGTCGCTTTACCGAGTTCGGCATAATAATCCTGTGATTGCACATTTTTCGACCGTACAAAGTTCTCGCGGTCCTTGTGGAGTCCAATGTTCGTTGTGAGGGAGCGTACCCGTTCTGCGACTGACGACCTCTTACCCCAGCAGTACTCATCCAGCTAGTCCCAGTACAGTAGATCGACGGATGAGACTGACCGGCAAGCGAGGTAGAACCATGCGCTCTTGGTGTCGATAGATTGCCTCATTCTCACCGATAATCGATCATCCTCCACGCCCAGCCCTCTGGCTTTCTCTTTAAAAACTCCAAGGCCTGCAGGAAACAGTTGGCTCGCGGCAAGAAAGACCGAAAGAACGCTTCGGGGCCCTGACTGTTAAGGATGTTCTGCGGTCGCTCGAGAAGCAACCACCATGGAATACTGCCTGCAAGCTGGGCAGGCGCAGCATAACAGAACTCCCAGTCGATGACGCCCGTCATGTGAAGGGACTCATCGACAAGCACATTCCCAGGACACAGATCATCACAGAAAAGCTTAAATGGGTCGTCATTATCAGTGGGAGATATAAAGCGCAGAGCCACCACTTTTAACAAACTGCGACAGGAATATTTCTCCCGACAGTCGATTGCATGTAGATGCTGTTCCGCTGTCTGTCCAGGTGGGTGTCCTGCAGGCGCAGGAGAGAATGTATGTACTCCAGCGAGCTGTGATAGACTCTCGACGGGGCGCAGTCTTCCAAACCACATGTTCTAGTTAACTCGTTCACTTCGAGAGTCAACGGTCTGCCTTTAACTCTGGTCGTGATTGGTGTCTCCTGTCCGCGATGCTTGCGAAGGCTGCCAATATGACTGAAATTCAGGCTCCACAACTCTAGCAGAATCTCTGCCATTTCTCCATACAGGATCTTCAGTGTCTGCGGGTCGACGTCTTGATCCAGTGCATCCTCTCTTTCAGATGTATCACCACCTTTGCGAAATTCGGACGGACATCCTTGCGCCCTCTACCCAGGTCATGATAATGAAAGGGCCGAGACCGGTAGGATTCTGCTCTGCTCTACCGTGAGCAATGACGCGCAGGACAGGGATGCGCGTCGTTGCAGCGATGAATTTCATCAGGATGGCCTCATTCTGAACCTTTTCATCCAAGAACACGGACTTTCCCGGCAGGGGAAATCTAATCAATCAATCTGGGCCCCTACCCTCTCAATGAAGCCAGAAGCCAAAGTTGAAGAACCCACAGTACATGGAGCGGAGTAAAAAATCGTCGCGACCGCGGTACTTGCTGGCAAGTTGGCAGATACCCTGGGAGGAGGCTGAGCACAGAGCTATCCATTCTTTCTTAACTCTCTCCAAACTTGCAAGACTTATGTTGTGAAAATACATTTTAGCCTCCAATTTTACCAGATACTAGGTAATGTTTAGAAGGTCAGAGGAAGTTATCGAGGCCTCGGCCTTCCACTGGGGGGGAAGTGGTGATACGTCTGGAGCATTACCTCTTCCCACTCCGATCCGCCTTAATGCATCAATTCCATATACAGGGATGCGAGGGTGCATCGAAAATGCGAAATTCACTTCATTATGTTAATCTAGGTCTAATACATAAAAAATCAACCCTGCACACCCCGAACCTGACCACAGGGCCCATTGGACATCTGAATCGTGGCTGCGGAGCTGTGAATGGAGGCCTTGGCGTAGGTCGACGCACTGTTGCAGGTGGTGGTATGGATCAGGTAACAGTAGCTGACCGAAGACGTAAGGTGGTTATAGTACGACATGGCGCAGGTGTTGGACTCCTGGCAGCTGACGCAGCAGTCATAGGCCGAAGCAGTGTTACCGACAGTTAGACTCTCGCCGGGAACGTTGGTGAAGGACAGGAGATAAGTATATTGGCCCGCGAAGTTACCGTAGTCCGAAGAAAACGGTAGGCCGGGGACGTTGTTCGTAGCGCATGCACCGAGCACGGTGGTGCTGCTGACGACGGAGACGGTGTTGGTGGAGGTGACAGTGGTCGTCACGGCTGGAGCAGTGGCAGTCTCGGTGATGGTGGAGGTGGTGCTGAAGCTCAGGGTGGTTGAGACGTCGCTGGGAACCACCACGGAGCTGGTCAGGACTGTGTTGGTCACCGTGGTAGTGGTGGTTGAGCCTGCAGCCGTCGTGGTGATAGGCACAGCAGTCACCGTCTCCACGCTGGTGGTCTTCACCACAATCTTCTCGTGACACTCCACAGCCTGCGGATACTGATAATCATCTAGCCATGCGGCGCAGTCTTCTTCCTCAGTGTCGAGAAGGGAGCGCTTAGCTGCCGTGGCGGTGGGCAGTGACTCAGCAAGTGGAGTGAACCCAGCTGAGGTAGCGACGGTGGAGGTAGAGGTGGTCGTGGTCGTCACCGTTGTGGCAACAGTGCTGGTCACGGTGGGGAGAGTGACTATCGCCGTTGAGGTGGTAAAGTCAGTGGAGGTGGTCGAGAAGGTATCGGTGGCGGTATCAGCGGTCGTCGTCAGAATGATGGTCACATAATCGGTGGCTGTCACCGTCACCAAGGCAGGAGTCTCTGTCACAGTGCCCTGGGTAGTCGAGGTGATCACAACTGCAGTAGGATCATGGCGAGTACGAGTAATAGTTGATGTAGGCAGGTCACCAGAAACAGAGCTTTTTCCTAATTTTGTATGGCAGTAAACACTAGCCCGGGCTTGAGATTGAACCTGGCTGCTGCTGGCCACCGGGGAACTTGAAGGCACCGGAACATTGGCCGCCGCCTGCCCAAGGAGCAGGCCCGCAACAAGGGGAATGAATTTCAGAGACATTTTGCGTGGAGAAGGAGGATGCTCGACTCTGTTCATCCGTATTCATTGGGGGGAGCGGAAGTTGCCCTAAATACCCTCTAGCTCCTCCTAAGTTTTTCTCCCTTCGGCGTCGCCGTCGGCTATTTTCACCTCGCATTGACATCGAGATCAATAGTGTAAAAAAACACGAGGAACTAACTCAGGAACACGATCCTGATCCCCGCTTGCCATGAGCGATTTTAATCTGGGTCCATTATCGAATGCCGTAAATACGGCAGTCTTCACCATTTCCTCATCTCATTCCCGGTCCTTCCCATCCACCCCAACTCCCCCCGTCACTCTTTCATTTTCAATGTATTGACCATTTTCACACCCATTCTCTCTTTTAACTTCCCCTAACCTATACATTCTTTATCTTTAGTAGGAAGAAGAGACCGTCAAAGCAAGATGGCGCATCTGCTGGCGCGAGGATGGATACTTGCCGCCGTGTTGGCGCAAGCCCTCGCCTTGACCGTTGATATTCAACCCACCACCACTGCTCTGGTTTCTACCCCGGTGGCCACAGCAACTCATCATCACTGGACCTATAGTTCCAGGCCATTGCCCAGTCGCAGACCCTGTAGCGCTCGTTCGTCTTCTGCCATTCCTTCGTCGGTGGCTACACCTGCCACATCGTCTGCTATTCCTTCATCTGTGGCTACACCTGCCACATCGCTTGCCATTCCTTCCTCATCCCCCGTGAAGGTCACGCCAGTGATCAGCCCTTCCGCCCCATCATCTTCTCCAGTAAAGACATCACCCGCGGCCAGCTCCGTGATCCCTTCATCGCGACCAGTTCCAAGCCATTCAGCAAGCTCGCGGCCTCACTGGACTTACGTCTCCCGACCTCTGCCGCACCGCAGCTGCTCGTCAAGTGCAAGCTCGAGCGCTTTCATTCCCTCCTCACGGCCTGTTCAAACTACGCCAGCTGCGCCAACGCCGACTGTTGTCACTGATACCTCGAGCTTGACTTCCACCGGTGCCGCTCAGTTGGGTACCACAGCTGCGCTAACGTCGACTGTTGTCACCGATACTTCGATCTTGACTTCCACCGGTGCCGCTCAGTTGGGTACCACAGCTGCGCCAACGGCGACTGTTGTCACTGATACCTCGATCTTGACTTCCACCGGTGCTGCTCAGTTGGGTACCACGGCTGCATCCAGCTCCTCAGGTCCGCAACTCACCACATCTACGGTGCTCACCACGCGGACCGCCACCATCACAGCTTGCCCGACTACGATCCCCAACTGCCCTGCCAGTGCGAAGACGACCTTCGTAACCACGGAAACGGTGGTGGTCTCAACTACCATTTGCCCTGTGACCGAAGCAGCCACCATCACCCAAGCTGTGCCCACCTCATCTGCAGGTCCTGGTGCCAATGGCCAACAGGGCAATGGAGGTTCTGAGCTGACCACCTCCACCGTGTTCACAACCCGCACTGCAACAATCACGGCATGCCCTTCCTCCGTGACCAACTGCCCAGCTCGGTCCAAGACAACCTATCTCACCACTGAGACCATTGTTGCGTATACTACTATTTGCCCTGTGGCTGAAGCCGCCACCACCGCCGTCCAAGCCGTGCCCACGTTCTCCTCATCACCTGCCGACACGGGTGCTCATGGTCAGGGCAACAGTGGTTCCAAGCTCACTACCTCGACCGTCTTCACCACTCGCACTGCGACGATCACCGCCTGCCCGTCTTCTGTGACTGACTGCCCGGCCCGCTCCAGGACTACCTATCTCACCACCGAGACAGTTGTGGCTTACACTACCATTTGCCCGGTAGCCGACGCAACCAGTGCTCACGGCGCGAACCCCACCGCCCTTGCAACTACAGGACCTGCCGGTGCGAATGCGGCAGGTAGCAGCCCGGAGCTGACGACGTCCACCATCCTGACAACGCGCACGACCACAATCACCGCGTGCCCGTCATCCGTGACTGACTGCCCCGCCAGATCGAAGATCGCCCAACCGACCACCGAGACCTTGGTGATCGGAACCACCGTCTACCCCGTGACGAACAAGCCCACTGAAGTCCGCGGCGGCGGCGGCGGCGGCGGCGGCGGTGCTGCCGGTAATGCTCCTTCGCAGACGACTTCCACCGTCCTCAGCACCCGAGTCGCGACCGTGAGCGCCTGCGTCGAAGACGATTCCCACTGTCAGACCTCGCAGGGCGCATACCTGACCACTGAGACCCTGGTCGTCGCCACAACCGTCGTCCCGGTTACCTCAGCCGGCCAAACCTCCGTTGCGGCGGAAGGCGTCGACGCTGTCACCGCTGTCCCCGTGCCCACATCTACCACTCTAGCCAACGGCGGCGTCGCAGCCGGCGCAGATACGACCTACACGACCACCATCACCGTGGACTCCTGCTCGAGTGACGGGACTTGCACCGGATACGTCAGCACGATCACTGTGTCGAAGACCGATGCCGCTCAGTCGACCGCCGTCGGCGCGGCGGCTTCGCACTACACCCCCGGCGGACAGCTGGGCTTCGCGACGAGCAGTCACGCTGCTTCGCCTACCTCCGCGCGTCTCATTCCCGCGAGCAGCAGTCAGCACAGTGGCAGTGCAATGAGCGCGGCCGTTGTGCCCTCCGGTTCCGGTAGCGCGGCGGGTGCGTTGTACACGGGCGCTGCTGCTACGGGAGCGCAGGGGTCGGTGCTGGGGCCGATTGTTGGAACGGTGATGGCTGTTCTTATGGCGCTGGTGATTTGAAGATAGGATTTCATTCTAGGATCACACTCCTTGCTTTATCGATTTGATTATGTCCTATGCAGTATATGAAATTAATCTTTTCCTAGTCATTTTATGTACATCAGTGCTTTAGATTGGGCTAGACCCCCTTCGGCGATCTCGGATCTCGGCCCCTCGGGTCTACATAGGTACATCTACACCATCCAGAAACACAGGATTCAATTATGCTCAATCCGATACCCAAAAGTCCCATGTAAAAGTACCTAATATATATTCTAGCCGCAGATAAAATGCCCTACTAGTCTCTTAATATGTACAGCACATCGCACATCGCACAAACAGCTCAAGCCGAGCCAATTCAATTGACAATCAGCCCATACCGAATCGACGACTCCAGCTCGAACGGCATCTTGACCATATGCATCAGGCACCGCTTCAGGATCTCCTCTGCGCGCAAGGCTTCATGCACATACCGCTTGGCGTACAGCGTGAGAAATGCGCGGAGATCCTTGGTCTCCTCTGCTGCCGGGTCAGGCATCATCAGGCCGGCGATCTGGTCGGAGAGGTTGCGCGCATCTCCGGGGAGGTACGCATCGCTGATCTGGGAGACGACCGTCGCGAAGCGCGGCACGAAGCTGTGGAGCATGCTTTTCAGGTATTCGTAGTCTTGGAAGGAGGCTTGGTCGAGGCCGGTGCGGCCTAGGGTGACGAGGACGCTGGGGTTTGTTAGATGTTGTTGGGGGGGGGTAAGGAGAGAACATGGGGGGAAAGAAGGTGAGGAAGGAGAAGGGAAGGGACGAGAAGGGAGGGGGCAAACACTTACACGTATAGAAACTGGCTATCCTCCTCGGTTTCCCCCGCAATGACCTGGTCCCTGCATCGTCTCAGTCACAGGCTCCGTTTGGAAGAGGGTCACACACCAGACATTGAAGCCGAGGAGTACCCACCGTGGAATCTCAGCGAATAGCAGTGTAGGGATGGAAATGTTCTTCAATAATGTTTCTACGAAGGTTCCAGCTGGTACGTAGGCGTCTTGTCGGTCATCGACAGATACCAAGGCGCGGTTGATGAAGCGGTACTGAGAGGTTGGCCCATCTGTGCTGTGGTCGAATACACTATGAATCGCAATTAGCGAATGAACTCGAAAGTGGTTCGTACATTAGAAAGTCGCGGCTTACATCTTGCCATGTCCATTGAAGACTAGAACCTTGGCCTCGACTGAAACCTCGGTATCGGGGAAAGGTAGCCGGGAATAACCTCCATGGAGAAAGAAATACCGCATGGATCCCTTCCCACCCGAGGAGTATAACGGGTCAAGCGAGGAAGTCAACTTATGCATTGGAAGGTTGTGTGTGGGGTCACAGAGTGGCGTGATTCGAGCGATTGCACGGGAATGATATGTTATGGGACCTTGGTTGAAGAAAATGGCATTTTGCGGGTCACGCGCCTAAACAGTGGCGGTGACGGGTATATGGAAGATTGAACAGAGAATTACACGTGGCGCCATATTCTATTTTTGGCCTTGGTGGAGAGCATCCCTTCGAGGCCTTCGTCCGACGTTCCCGAGATCCGAGTCTACTTGTACACTGGAAGCTAGGCTCGGGTTATCGGAGTATTCAGGGATGTGCGGACAGTGATCTGCGTAGTAAGAGCATCATTCCCTAAGGTGACACGGTTGTCTACTGCCTCATCAAATTGATCGGCCTTCACCGACTAGAGAAGTGTGGACCATTTGTGCCAAGATCGTCTCCTCAATTGGGTCGCATTCGAAGCAATCCTCGACCCTCGGGCAAGGGTCTATGGTCGTACTCGCCCCGCTGGTTGCGAAGCGAATGGTCGAATCCCTTAAGGGTTCGGGTGGAAAACCCTTAAGTGCATTGCATATGATCAGGTTGATTATTGGGCTCCCATAACTCGGTGCTTCTGAATAATCGTGACGAATCTGACGTGGTGTCGAGGTTATATACAGCATGGACCACCCTTCCAGGGAGGTCACTCGGCAGATTGGGGACCCTACAAAGCCCCCTGCTCTCAACGATCAGGAACATTGACTCCACTACCGGGAACCGTGCTCAAGTAACCGAGGGTGTGCGAGAGGCCCAATGGGTCAGGACCGCCTTCATACACGATGCTGCGACTGCAGCGCTATAGCCTTGCCACAGCTTATTTTTGTGACTGTCAGCATAGTCGCACACTCCCTTAATGACGACAGTCGGAAATGCATCCCAGGCCCCCGCCGCTTCCATCTCAAACCCGATCACTTGATATTGCTCAACAAACCGATCGCGATCCTGCGCAGATTTCATTACGCCATCACCACACGCTACACGACCAAAGTGCACCACTGGACGTGGCGAATCAAGGTTAGCCAGACGAGACCTACTCACCACACGACTCGCCTCACACCCCAGATTGTCACACGATGTGTCTAGGGCATATTGGCAAACTGTGCCGTCGGTGACGTTGCATGTTTCACATGCGCTTTGGGCACGACATTGATGTTGGTAACTGGATTCATACAGATGATCCCGATGGGCACCTGGGTAGGCGAGACTTTCGCCCGTCGCTGAGCGAAGAAGCGTTTTCAGTGTGGTACTCGTTTCATCACTTATGCGATCATAATAGTAGCTGGTTTCACTTAACATGCGCAAGAAAGAGCGCAGACGGTCCACCGGTCGCCCGAAATTATCTTCAGGGTCATCCTTCGGAACGAAGCCGTTGGCATAGTAGCGGCCGAAGTCGATCTGCTTCAGTCCGGTACTGATTATCACGTCCCCTAACACAATCTCCTTCTTTGCCCGAGAATTGTAGGGTGCACCACCGCACACTCCGACCACCAGGCAAAGGCCCAACTTTGGGAAGGTCGACTTGAGGCGAATTGTACTGTTGGCCGAATTGAGCTTGCCCATTCCGGGGAGGTGGACGATGACGACGGACGTTTTCCCAATGCGGCCGGTTGTATAGGCATTGGCATCCTTACGAGCTGCCTCAGGCAAGCTTTCATAAATCTCATCCATGACGCCCATGACTGCATTTGATTCCAGACCCAACGCGCAGATGATGGCCACGCTATAGGTATCTGGGTCCATCTGGAAAGATAGCTCGTCATCGAACTCAGGGCAAGGACTCCAGGTTCGGGATGGTCTGCATTGATCTGCGGTGTATCGCCGTTTGACCGGGTGCGACTGGATCGAACCATTGGGATGCGAGCGTTTCCCACCGTTCAGAAGTCGCTTTTGACGGGCTAGGTCTATGGCCCGTTGATCCTTGTTCTTGCTCAAGGACAAAAGAAGATTATCTATCTCTTCGATATCGGCGTTGAACTCTTCTGCCAACTGATCCTCGATAGGTGACACGACCTGGTCATATAGCAATCGACAGAGATGTTCTGGGTTGGCTTTTTCGGAGTCCCAAACATCCCAGTTCACACAAGCTCCAATTGCATTGCGGTATCTGGTGCTCATATCCCATTCGGACTGCTCCCATAATCGCTGCGCGGTGAAAAGATCGGTATTGGGATCCTCTGTCCCGTCGAGAGGCATATCCGCTGTATCACGCAACTCGCTGATATGCTTACCGAACCATAACTCAAGCAGGATGATTCCGAGAGAGAGAACAAACGGACTCGAATGAGCCAGGTCCTGCCAATCATGGGTCTCTTTATCTCTATCTTCTTGCTGTGCCGGCCGAGCGGCAATCAATGGCCGAGGAACGACTTGGCCCTGGTCTGTTTGCATGAAGATGACACGCGTCGAGGTTAGAGTCGTCGGCAACCAACGAGTCTCATAGAGCTGCAAAGCGGAATGCGCAAGAACCACAGCGAGAATCCGGCGCAGCTTTAGCGGCAACGGTGGCGTCATCCGTAGGACTTCGTCAAGTGTCAACGCTTGAGCGTATGTGGGCGCCGAGGCTCGCTCACGGGGAGGTGGTCTCTTGACCATTTTGCCGCCCTCGATACCCAGGTTGAGTATCGACATATTGCTTGCGGGAAGGGCAAGACATATTGACTCAATGGCGATGTCGCGCGACGGAGGCCCATTGGGAGCCGCAGTAAGTGTGAATCTGATGGCAATTTGCTCTTTAGGGCTCAGGTCCAAATCACGCTGGCAGGAAGAGACAGAAGTGCTCATACTTGGATCCGGAAGAGTCACGTTGACAATACCCTCGAACCACTTGTAGGAGGAGGCGGAGGCCTTGGTAAAAAGCATTTTGAAATTTAGCTGGACGCGCGAATGTTCCGAATGGGAATGAGTTTGAAGATAAAGCATTGAGCCATGACAGGAGTTGCATTGGCACTGCCCCTTGGCTGAAACACATTCATGCAGCACTCTTGCAAAAGCTCGGGTCTTTTCGAAAGACGGTTGCTTCTTATGACGTCTTGAGGGCGGCACTGGTGTCTCATGGCTACAAAGACGATCTAATTCGCGAGCGCATTGGCTAAATTTGTTCACTGTGGCGTACTGATCCCCCTCGGTAGAACACAATTCAAAATCGGTACAGGAGATGGTGCCAGCCCGGATGCCTTCGAGTAAAGGATAGAACGAGTTGACCTAGTCACGTTTGCTCAGTACAGACTTCCTCGATATCCGAGCTGCCCGACCATTACCTCGGCAGAAGTTCTGTCCTGTCGCAATATGCTCTCAAGAATCCCCAGCATCTCCGTTATTTGTTCCACGCAAGCATTCCTCATTTCTGTCGCTGCTTTGGGAGAGAGAGATGCAGCAATGGTGGGTTGTCGTAGGCCCAGGAGAATGAGATCGGCCTCGAATAAAACGTAGGGAATGCGCTTGTCTGCATTGTCGCGGTATTGCGTAACCCGTTGGCTGGCGATGGAAGCAAAGTGGGGTAAAACAGCTTGGAATAGCAAGAATAGTTCACCAGGAGGTTGATCCACTTTCCCTGATGCGAAAGCCATCAAGTCAGATATAAGAATAGGTATAATCTTGCCATGAGTGACACGGTGGGATGGTGATTGGTGAGTGTAGAAAAGTTGAGGTGTCAAAGAGTTGGAGAGTCGAGATAACGTTCAGTTGATCTCCAGCTCGATCTCGGCTCAGCCTCATTGACTAGTGCTGATGCCACGTGACAGCCTACGTTTTCCTTTCCCCTCTTTCCCCGTCTTAGTCAATTTAAGCTCCTGTCTGGAGGATTCCAGATATGCAGCCTCGATCATGGAAGACCCTGAAGACCCCGAAAAGCGTCAGATCACGGTGCTGGCTCAGAAAGCGGTCATCGCTTTGGAAAAGTGCCTCCAAGTCTCGGGCTCATTTTCCCACTTGGCTGAAGCTCAGCTCGCGCGCTTTAACCTGTGGGCTACCAATATAGGTGTTTTCGCTAAGTATAAAGCATCCTTGGAGTATCGTCTGAGGGACAGCCCAGACGTTCAGAGAATCATCATCAACCTGCTCGAGATTCTGGCTCTATATGCCGGTCAGGGTGCGTAATCAAGCGATAACCTCGCCTACAATGTCCTGCTTTCCCGACTTGGGCAGCGCTGCAAGCTGATATGTGTACAGCTCTTCGCACCGAGTTGGAAGTATCTAGCCCCAACAATGAGGAAGCAAGTCGCTCAGAGGTATCAACTCAGTGTGAGACCACAATCCCGGGACACGACATCAGTAACACAATACCTTACCATTCAGATTTTCAGATGCAACCTCTGAACAACTTGTCCATCGTGCCGGCATATCAAGCCGTAGAGGACACCATCACTCGTCTTCATCACCTTTCAACTGCGATACGTAATGCTGGAGTTAGGAATCCTTATTCGCGCATCACTCGTTTGATTATCCTTGACGAAGATGGCAATGATATCAATCAAGCCTTTGAATCCTTCATATCCCAGGTGCTGAAGCTCCGACACTCTCGCTTGTCGGAAGCCTTGCGATCTCGACTTGCGGATGCTATTTGCTTTCGACGACGTCGGTTTCTGTACAACAAGCCGTCGGCAAAGAAGTACCAGGGTGGCTTCGTCGCCCCGGTTCTGCCGAGTGGCCGGGGGGTCCACCATATACCCACCCCACCAGCCAGCCGGAAGCGACCCTCAATACCAGATGCTCCGCTCCCTCCGCCCGCGCAAGCCCTTACGACTCGAACGGCGTCTACCTTTTATCCTCAACGATTCCAGTACCCACGCTTATCGGAACCGTCTGTGGTGTCTACAGCAACACCAAGCTCTCACATTCCGCAAATGAATGAACACATTCCCAAACCCCCATCAGTAGCTTCCGGACAGAAAGAGGCGCAATGCCCATTCTGCCCTTTTGTCATCAATATCAAGTATCTGACTGGCACTCGATGGATGTAAGTGAACATGATTTACAAGCCTTCAAACGCTGAACTCTTTGGTAGAAAGCATTTTCAGGATGACCTGGAACCGTACATCTGTCTCTTCGAAGACTGTACGAGCCCTCGTGAGCTGTTCTCTTCCGCTGAGCAATGGCTGGCGCACATGAAAGCCCATCCAGCACCATCGGCGGAATGGATCTGCGCAATGCACCATGCATCGTCAAATCAGATAGTAATGAAGACTGCCGAGGAGTTTGCGAATCATATCAGAGACATGCATTCTGGACGTTTTACCGATATGCAGATCAAGAAGCTTCTGATCCGAGCCGCGCGACCTGGTCCCATATTTTCCAGTTGTCCATTCTGTGACTGGCTGGAGCATCCAGATCCTGAAAAGCCAAAAGTCTCTGGTGGGCCGACACCTATCGAGGAACACATTGCTGACCACCTGTTCGACTTGGCGCTTTTGTCGCTTCCGCCGATGCAGAATAACGAGACCAGCGACGAGGAGATAAGGGACAGTTTGGCAAACGTATCGATCGTTAGTGCCAACCGCCACAGTGCGCTGTCGCAGGATTTATCAGGCTTTGAATTTATCAGCTATCGGAGCCCCTCACCCGCTAGTGAAGCTATGTATACATCTAGACATAGTCACATCTCTCCTGTTCCAAGCGTTGATGCTCTTAGCTATCAACCTGATTCGCCTCCTCCCCGGGATAGTTTGTCTCCCTTTGAACAGAGTCCGAGACCTCTTCCCGCAAGCGACGATCCAAATTCTCAAAGTTTCTCCAGGTGCAGATGGCATGATTGCTCTTACTCCTGCACATGGGGCTTTCAAGGTACCCTGCTCAAACACATAAAAGACGACCACGTCGCACCCATTGGATTCCGCTGTTCAGCAGAAGGATGCAGTACATCATACAGTCTCCAGGAAGATTTGATCCACCATATCAAAATCACTCACGGTGGGGTAGTTGTGGATAACGCCGAAGTCCATCCGTTCAAAATTTTCGAGGAGCTGGAACAAAAAGCTCTGCAAACATCGGGGCAACCGCTCATATGCAGGTGGGATGATTGCCCACAGCGCGAATCTTTCTTTTCATCGCACTCCTTGCTTTTCCACATCGACCGCGACCACGTCGTGCCCGAGAATGGTGACTATTCTGGGAGCATTCGTAATTTGGATCCATCTATGATGTCCGCCCCGAAAAACCCGAAGGATTATTACGCCGTCTTCAATGACCATTTTGAAATCGAGCCCCCACGAAGAGAAAATTCGATGGAAGAATTGCCGGGGCAGGAGTCTGAAATGATCAAATGCATCTGCGGCCTCAACCACGATGACGGCCAGACGATTTACTGCGAAAAATGCAATACGTGGCAACACATAGTTTGCTACTACGGCGATAGACAATTCCCCGATGAACATATGTGCGGAGACTGCCAGCCCCGTCCTCTCAATTCCCATCGCGCACGAGCTCTGCAAGAAGCTCAACTCGAGGCGGCATCAGCAGCAACTCGGCGTGAAGAAGAGAATCGAAAGACACGAAAGCGCCGCAGAAGAAAAGATCGGGATCTTGGTGAAGCTGGCAGCGACTCCAGGGCTGCTTCAAGCCCTCTCCCCCGACGCAACGAGCCTGGTGCCGAAGCGGATCTATTTCCCAACGAGAGCGCACCGGTCCGAAAGCGCAGACGTCAAATCCCTTCAGCTCCTGTTTATATGTCTACAGACATCTCAGAGAAGGAACCCCCAAGCAAGAAGCCTCCCCGTAGCGAGCATCAAGAGCTATGAAGCAAGAGGAAGGCTAAGCACAATCAGGCGCTCGAGCGGGGGCGGAAGCAGTTCTGGCGAACCGATTACCGCGTAAAAGGCTCTCGGTTCATCGAGTGATGATCGAACTTATAATTCTGCGATTACACTCAGCGTCTTGGCCAAGACCGTCTAATTTTTAGAGTGGCGTGCTAATCGCTACTTTGGGCGAGATATCGGAGCGGGGATGACGATCTGCGACAAATGAGTTTCCTCCCGTGCCACCAAGGTACGCCAGGGACCTTGAGGCCGCCGCCGCCGTCACATAAATGAAAGACGATAGCGAGATCTTCTCCCCCTCTCAAAGATCTATCGCAGTATCTGCCGTACGCTACATCATCATGCATTGCATGCTGGACAAATTACCATTGGAGCTTCTGGAGCTCATCTGCGACGAGCTCGAAACTCAGGATCTAGCCTCTCTGCTGGGAACATGTCGCCATACATACAACCGAACGATCCACCGCCTAGCCCAACGCTACTCGGAGATCCACCTCGATTTCTCCAAGGGGAGCCTCAGTCAAATCCACGCGATCGCAAATAACGAGATCATGCGACAGCATGTTCAGCGGTTGGTGGTCATGGCTCCCGAACCGTTTCTCGGGCGCAATCTCGAATGGCAGCGCAGCGCCGCGGGCCATATTTTCAACCCCCTCGAAAATCCCACCATCCGACAGTTCCGCAACAATCTGGTCGACAGGCTGGTCAATTGCCGATCGTTCGTAATCTCACCACTAGGCAACCATCTTGCGCCCAGCGAAGACGAGATGGATGTGTCCGATGACCAACACTTCACCCCCGACGACGCCGCGAGCATCCTGCTTGACATTATCGCCGATACTGCTTTGCCCGTGAAGCTATTCTGGTATGGCAGGGGAACGAACTATAGGTCCGAACTCATGAACATTCAGAGATTGCCAAAAGCGCTCTTGCTCAGTCCAGGCTTTCGTGCCGGATGGGGATCGCTCACAAACCTCCATCTGGCGCACAAACTCACACCACACAACTATTCCTTCCTTTTGAATATGCTGCTCAGCACGCCGAATCTTCGGAAACTGTATCTCAGTCTGACACCTAAAGACCTGGCAATTGAGTTCTACTCGCATGTCGCCAAATCGGAGTGTTTATCCAGCCTGTTGGAAAGGATATCGCTCTGCTGTACGGCTATTCGGTCGTCAGATCTCATGCACATCCTCAATCGGTCTCGACATACGTTGAAGCGGTTGATCCTTTCCGACGTTGGGGGCTTGTCGGCGAGCTTATCCCAGTTGCAGGACCAGTTGTCTGGCTTCCCCTGCCTGGAGAATATAGACCTGAGCATGTGCCAATAATCAATGATTAAGCACGGTACGAAATGAGATACGAATTACGCCTTCTACCTGCGCAACCCATCCTTTCACCGCAGCCATACCTGCTGGAGGTGTAGCTTTCACCCCGCAATGTAACATTTACCAGCCACCAGCACCCTTTTCGGACACACGACAACCTCACCATAAGGCGTCATGCCCAGGACGGTCTGCTGAAACCTGAAGAAAAGCACGGAAATTTCTCGCTTCCAGGCCTTATCAGATACGGATGGTCATTCTGACTTGTCCCAGGGCCTTGAGCAAGGAGTTGCCAGCCGTCCTCGGTGTTTACGGTCACCGGAACTGCAGGCCGATTATTCAGTTATGATTGATTGCTTGCTGGCTCAGTAACGGCCCTTGAGTGATCGTTGAGCCTGATTTTCAAATTTAGACATATAATCATAATTGACTTCAGTCCCTCTATCTTTAACTTGTCATGCTCTTCCATACCCTTCTGGAACAGGAGTCGTAATTCGACAGCACTTCCCAGCATTGATGTTGAGTACCAGTCCACAGTCCAGATCTCCATGTCCCATCGTCTGAACAGCTCTATGCATCGAACCGAGTATCGACCCGCGCTGGCCAGCGGATACCTGCTGTCGACACAAGCGATGAAGACCGCCTGGGAGCTTGGGATACAATCCTTTTCGAGTCCAGTCTGGAATACTATCAAGGGAATGACTGCGTAACTTCATTCCAAGACTGTCGCAAAGCCTATTACTTCTCACATTGAGAACAACAGGTCTCCTCGTGATATTGGTGCCAGACTGTCGGGCTCTCTCTGTGTCCGGTTCACGTTGGCTCAGGCTCCTGCAAGTCCCCTCAGAGAGGCCGAACATTAGGAAATGAAAAAGCATTCCCTCCCAGGCGATACACGCCAGAATATGTCTGTTGCGAAATCCCGCTCTGTAGTTTGTAGCCAGCCCACCGCCACCCAATATTTGGGTTCAGATATCCAGCGTGGAGTGACTGTGATGCAAGCATTGTCTTCTTCATATAAACTGGAAATGACCAACCTCCTGTACCAGGAACAGCAGCAGAATAAATCTGTCGTGGACACGCAAGACGATCCTGGCACTACTGCGTGAAAAAAGCATCTATCTAGCCTTTGTACACCCGACTTGCTAGTATGGCTGATGACCACTTCGATGTAGGTTACTGGATCCTGGCGCCTGCAAGAGCCGACAGATTAGCAGCAGAGTAGATTGCTGGTCTGCGTAGACGCACTCGGCTACAAGCTCCGAATGGTACGTCTGTGTGCGGAGTTTATCCAGGAGCTTCTCAACCTCATCGGCCCGGGTACAGGTTGCGCAAAGTGCTATTTCATCTTCCTTGGCCGCACGTCTCTAGCTTTCACTGCAACAGAAACCCTTTTGCTCAATGCCGCAATCTTCAGACATACTTGTCATATGACGGAACAAAAATCTGCTTCGGTTGACGCATCCTACCACCGAAATGTGTAGGGCTCACCAGATCAGTCAGAAACCGATTTGTAAGCGGTTCCAGCCTTGAGGAGTTTGGGCTTGGCAGACTAGACTTCCGAACATGCATCAGTGCATCCGCTGCGCCTTATGCTTGAAGCAACGTACTTCAACCCCTCCGCAGCAAGCCAACCCCTAGAATTCCCAACAAGAGCATTCGCGTCTACTACCCTGCGTGTGAAGGCTCTGCCACGATACGGCTCGGTACCGGTGGTCGTCAATTTTTGAAAGGCCTGCACCAGACCTACACTCGTAGAACCGTGCAGCTGGTTGTATAGGTTTGGTAACAGGTGCACTCGTAGCTGGAGCAGTAGACGCTGGCGCTGTGACAGGTGATTTTGAAGTAGAAAAGTTCGCCATGTTGGTCCTGGTACACGTCTCTGGTGCATCTTCTGCTGGTCCCTTACCCTTCCATGCCTGTCCTTTGTGAGTCCGAAGCTCGTTCTAGTTGGGCCATCCGCGACTCGGTCTGCTAGTTCACCAACCTCATGAGCTTTCAAACGTAGTGATCTCTGCTTCGTTGTATACGAGCACACGGTCCTCGATGGACCCAATCCATGGCGGGAGGTTGGAAGTCCCAACCCGTTACTATTTGCGGGGCATGTGGGTTGATTCGGATCGTGTTAAGAGAAGCCGAAAAATCTGATTTGTCTGCTATGACTGGACCGATGTTTACCTAGTATTTTCGTAGTGGTCCCGGCCTCTTTCTCAGCCATGGATCTCTGAGAGTTGTAACCACATTTTGTGGTGACGATTTGAACAAAGATCAGCGTCTTGTCAGCCACAGCACTGCAACCCAGACGTCTTCCGCCCGTGGATGCCATTCAAGATGACCAATTAATTGAAGCGTCCCCGCTCGCAGTCCCACTGGCAGAGCGGTAAAGGCCGCGCCAGCATAAGCTAAACGTCTTGGAGCCCAGAAAACCTGTCTGAGTCAGCTTATCATGGATAAGCTTCTCGCACTCTGGACTTTTTTTCCCATTAACCTAGCCACACAGCTCGGAACAAGACATAGGAACCACACTGGGTTGGATGCACAGGCATACATGCGGTTGAAAAACCATTCTAGCAGGACATGACCATGTATGCACCGCTTGTCTGGATTCGTGTAATCGAGATATGTCGGTAAGAGATGAGAACAATCGAAGATCTCTTTGCAAATGTATGTCCAAAAGCGATATCGTCTCTTCTCAAGAAAGATGGTCATATCCATGATGGATGGATTAGGTTCCTACTTGAACGGATCACATCTTGTACGATGTCTCATCAATATGTTGTTCGATGGATCAGGCTGGATGAACAACATCTTGATAGTGGATATGTAGGAAGTGGATGGATAGAAGAAGGAAGAACCTGAAGAGTGGAGGACTGGCGCGGTGGATTGGTCGAAGGAGAGGAGTGGAGAGAAGAGAGTTGCGAGGAAGAAGAAGATTAACGGAGATATTTATGTTACCCTGGGTCGACAGCCGGGGTGAATCCAACGCATCTAGTTGATAGAAAATGCAGGTGAAAGAGGTGTCCTCACTATTAACCCTACCTAAGGGCTAACATGGTTGTATGATGGATGGTGTGAATGATGAATAGGTAGGGCCAGCCTAACAGAGAGATTCACCAGCGCCGTTTGGCAGTACTATGGCCAAGGCTTTGTCGCGAGTGAATAGTCTATACGTACTTTCTTCAAATCTATACCCAATTATTTGCAAATGCACCCCCCAGCAAACCCAGCAGCAGCAGAGCGAAACGCAGATACCCAGTGCAATGACGTCACAGCCAATCCCAACCAACAGCCAAACCACCTTCACTCAGCACTACTCCGGATTATAAAGCTAAGCTTCCACCTCCAGCACAACACATCCAATGACCCCCACTCTACAATGACATATCTCCGAGAAATTCCCAACCGGCAACCCGAGCCAAACGAACCCCATACACAACCTCGAATCAATACAGGCAGCAGACGATACCTCGGTTGGCACCTCCTTCCAGGCCCTCGGTTTGCCGAAGCGATAGCCGAGAGAATGGGGGCCAGCCCCTCAGCGGGTCATTCCCAGCCAATGCGACTGCAGTCTTGACTCGCCGGCGCCCCCCCTCTTCCCCTCCTAGTGCCTCTCCCAATGATTCAATGCTTCCTTTCCGGCCAGGTTCTGCACGCATGGTCTGACCTTACTTTGTAAATCACAATGATCCCGATTAACCAGCTAGATAACCACGGAATTCCTCAGGATGGGGGTTGAACCACTTACAAGAAGAAAATTTCTTTTCTAATAGCACCATTCGATCTGCAAACTCTCGTAAATGACAGACCCAAGCCCCCCACCCCAACTCATATAAAGTCGGAAAATCTTTCCCTGACTGTGAAAGCCCTCGCCTTGTTGGGTTCAGTTTCTTTACCCTTTGCCAAATAGGAACAAGCATCTTCGGCTTCAAGTCAAGCAAGCAATGCGCCAAGCGCCGCGGCCGCTACTCTCCCGTCGGACTCGGCAATAACCACTGGCGCTCACCTAGTTAAAATAAACCTGAACAATGGCCGCATCAACTGAGAAATCGTCCTCCCGACCGGCTCGGATCCCCTACTGGCGCGTCCTGGTCGACCACGGCGCCGTCACCGACGACATTATCAACCACCCCTACTCCGGCCAGGGCACCGAGGAGGACCCGTTCATCGTAGAATGGATCCCCGACGATCCGCGCAACCCGATGCTCTTCCCGCAGCACCGCAAGTGGACCTTCACCATCATCGCCGCCTTCGCCACCTTCGGCGTGTCGATGGCCTCGTCCGCCTACGCGGGGAGCATCGACCAGGTGATTGAGTCCTTCGGCATCGGCACCGAGGTCGCCACCCTGGGCGTGTCGCTGTTCGTGCTGGGGTTCGCCGTCGGCCCGCTGGTGTGGGCGCCCCTCAGCGAACTGATCGGCCGGCAGCTGGTCTTCGCCATCTCGTACCTGGGGCTCGCGGTCTTCTGCGCCGGGGCGACCGGGTCCCGCAACTCGTGGACCTTGATCATCCTCCGGTTCTTCGCCGGCTCGTTCGGATCGTCCCCGCTCACGAATGCCGGCGGCGTCATCGCGGATGTCTTCCCCGCTGAGGAACGTGGGCTGGCGATGAGTTTGTTCGCAGGCGCACCTTTCTTGGGTAAGATTTTCCTCCCCAAGGGATCGACATCACCGACAGCATGCTGACTATAATCAAAAATAGGACCGACCATCGGACCCATCATCGGAGGCTTCCTCGGCGAAAGCGCGGGCTGGAAGTGGGTGCAGGGCCTGCTGGCGGCCTTCTCCGGCCTCATCTGGATCATCCAGTGCCTCATGATCCCCGAGACCTACGCCCCCTTGCTGCTCCGCGCGCGGGCCGATCGGCTGTGCAAGCTGACCGGCAAGGTGTACCTCAGCAAGCTGGACCGGGAGCGCGGCCGCGTTTCCGTGGCGAACGCCTTTGGAGCGGCACTCCTGCGGCCCTGGGTGCTGCTCTTCGCCGAACCGATCGTGCTGCTCCTGTCCTTGTACATGGCGATCGTCTATGGCACCCTGTACATGCTGTTCGACGCGTTCCCCATCGTGTTCCAGGAGATGCGCGGCTGGAGCGAAGGCATCGGGTCCCTACCGTTCCTCGGGGTGATGGTCGGGATGATGACGGCGGTGGGCTACAACATGTACGACAACAAACGGTACAAGCGCATCCACGAGCAGTACAACGGCTTCGCGCCGCCGGAGGCGCGGCTGCCCCCGACAATGATCGGGGCCATCACCATCCCCGTCGGATTGTTCTGGTTCGCGTGGACCAACGGACCCTCCGTGCATTGGATCGTGTGCATCATCGCCGCCGCGCCCTTCGGCTTCGGGATGGTGCTCGTCTTCCTGAACATCATGTCGTATCTGATCGACTCGTACACCATCTACGCAGCCTCTGTATTGGCCGCGAACTCGATCATCCGCAGCTGCTTCGGTGCGGGCTTCCCCTTGTTCACGACCTACATGTACAACAACCTGGGCATCCACTGGGCCTCCTGTATTCCGGCGTTCTTGTCGCTGGCGTGTCTGCCGTTCCCCTTCATCTTCTACAAGTACGGCGCAAGTATCCGGCGGAAGTGCAAGTATTCGGCCGAGTCGGATGCGTTTATGCGCAAACTGGCCGACAAGACCCTGCACCACCCAGAGAAGGAGGTCGAGGTGGAGGATGAAGAGGCGGAAGCGGTGGCTGATGAGGTGGACGTGACAGCTATCGACCATGAGCTGGACCTGGAGCGAGGCGACTCGCTCTCCACAGAGGAAGACTCGCAGCGGCAGTACGAAGCCAATCCATACGACATTGACCGGGTGAATACCCGCAACTCCGCCATCACTCAGCGCTCGCGGTCGCGCTCCGTCCAGTCCAAGCGAAAGAAGTGGCTGGGGTTCTAGTCAATCATCATCATCATCATCATCATCATCATCATCATCATCATACCAACTCTAATAGTGGCGCAAGCCACCCCGTGATACCCTACCATACTATAGCATAGCATACCATCAAGATAGAATTAAATTTGTGCTTTATTACTTCCAATGCAGGAAACAAAACCAAGAAATGGCCCCGCTAGAAGTCTCAAGCTCACGGCTCCGGTAGCCTTTCGGGCGTATCCGACCGAGGAGAATCCCGAATCAAACTGCCAAAGCTGGGGGACCAGGCTACGCGGGGTGTCAGCAAGGGTAGATCCCATAGCTCCGCCACATATTTCAGGATGGAGGTGTGGGTGAAATCATTCGGTTGGTCTGTCGGGCGGTGTTGTACGGCTCCCTTGTCCACCCACGGCGAGATCAGCAAGGTAGGGACCCGTACACCGAGTCGATCGAATCGGAAAGTCGTCTGCGTGCCGTCCCGCGCAGCTTCGGTGTATGGAAGATCGTCCCCTGCAGGCACATTCTCCGGAGGGGGCACGTGGTCCGCGAATCCGCCATGCTCGTCGAAAGTGAGGATGAAGAGGGTCTCGTTCCACTGCGGGGATGCTCGCAATGCCTCATAGAGACTCTTCAAAAACCCTTCTCCCAGGTGAATGGGTGATGGTGGGTGGAAGGAGGTGAACGAGCAGCATTCCGGGTTGATCCAGGTGAACTGCGGCAGGGTGCCGGCCTTGGCATCCTTGTAGAACTGATCGATCGGTTTGACGTTCGACACCCCATGACCAGAGATCTTCGTCCAGGTATAGAAAAGTGCATCAGGCAGGAACCCCGTGGTGTTGGAGTAGTTGACCCAGCTGATGTTGGCCGCCGTCAGCTGCTCGAAGATAGAGACTTGAGGTAAAGAGGAGGTGTCGAAGTCGGGATCGTTCGATCCATGGCCGTGCGACGTGCCCGATGTAAGATACGCACGATTGGGATTCGTCGGACCGGGAACAGAAGCAAACCAGCGATCGAAGAGAACGAAATTCTCGGCCAGAGCATTGAGGATGGGGACGCGGTCCGGGGGGTAGTAGTTGATGACCTCGGCTGCACGGCCGAGGTTCCCGTCAAGCCCATAGGCGCGGACCTGTTCTGTCACAAAACCCTGCATGGTGGGACGGTCAGTGCCTGGCTTAGGATCATAGGTGCCATAGATCTGCAGATTGCCTCCGGCGATGCTGTGATCGGGGTCATCGGGAGCAATGTCCTGCGCGGTTGGCTTGGCGCAGACTCGAGGAGACTCCGGATCAGAGACATTGGCTGGGTTGCAGTATTGCGTACGAATCAGCCCATCAATGTCCGCGTTATAGGTCAGTCCCCCGGCAAAAGTGTCAAAAGAAAGGTTTTCCTGTACGACCACCACAACATTCTTGATGGGATTGTGTACTCCGGGAGGCTTTGTGTCACCGACAGGACCCTGTGGGTGGCGGGAAATAATGCGGCCAAGAAAGAAGAATAGTAGCAAGGATAGGATCGTCATCACAAGAAGTAAAAGAGTGGCGAGAGCTCTCCGGATGAGAGACCGCCATCGTGATGGCTGTTGGTGGATCTGGTAGTCCTCGGGATCTATGCTATCATCCTCTTGAGGGAGGAGTCTCCGTTTCTCTGGTCGGAGCATTCTGTCCGGTCCGGGCGATGAAGAATTCGACGACGACATTGTCAAACTGTTGGTACCTGAGGAAGCAGTGTAGCTCGGGATGAAGCCGCAGCAATGAGGGAGAAGAGAAGACATCAAGTTATCGAATGTACATGAGCGGAAAGTAGAAGGGCAGAAGACAATGATCAGGCGGGGGCGGGGCATTTGACTGAGTCAGCAGACAGGTGCCATCCGGTGATTGGCTGCAGATGCAAGAGATCAGCCATTCACAGAGCCTCGCTCTCACCGTGGATGCTGAGATAAACAGCCATTGGCCAGTGTCATCAACCTAAACAGTCTCTTTCCCAGATAGGAAGTCCCAGGGCAAGCCGGGAAAGGCGGCCAGGCCCGGTCACATGTGAAGTGAATGCATTTGAACATCGGTGTATCAACAATCAACATTGCACCCCATAAATCATTTCGATCTCACTATCCTCCCAGCAACTCTCACAATCCCAACCTCTGCGCAAATCGCAGCTCATTCTTCCCAAAATCATACACCGAGACCACATTCTTCAGAAACGACGCCCCCAGGATGTTCAGCACAATGCCTTCATACGCCACGCTCTCCGATGCCGCCAGCGCCGACACACAGACCCCATCCCCCGTCTGATAGATAAGATCTCGTCCCTCATGATAGAACGTCTGATCCCCGATGGTGACTCCAAAAGTGGGCGCTTCCGCATCACAGTCCACCACATACACCCCCGACGCATCATCATACACCGCCGGCGGGGCAAACAGAGCATTGATCGGCTCCACCACCGCTGCAGGCAGGAAGCTGAGTTCGTTTCCGGTGTCCGTGAACGCCTGGAACGACGTCGCATTTGTGGTGAGATCCTGCGCACCGGTTTCGCCGTAGGTGACGGCCGAGACACTAAAAGCCCAGTACGATCGGGTGCGTTGGCCGGATGTGAATTCGGTCGGGATGTTGTCTAGGATCTCCACGGGCACGATGGAGAAATTTGGGCTGTGGGCCACTGGGGGTAAGTCGCCGAGAGTGAGGTAGCCCCGAAGGTCGGGGTTGAATCGTTTTGTTGTTGTGGAGTGTGGGCTAGCGCGATGCTGAAGAAGGGGTCGACGAGACCCCGCTCGTACATGGTGTTGAAGACAGGGCTATACACTGCCCGGTTGTAGAAGAAGGTCGTATTGTCGGTGTCATTCCCCGGGTGGGCAGAGGTGAGGGATGGGTAGGCGAGACCCAGCACTCCGCTGTTGACCCCGTCGCCCATCGGGTTGCTGTGATCGGCGATCCCCACGGCTTGCCCCTTAACGGTGATGCCGGCCAAGGTGAGATCCTCGTATGCCATGACACCACTGGCAATGCCATTGCCGTACTGGACCCCGAAGGTCTCGTTGGGGATCTGGCGATAGGTGCTGGATTGGTGGTATGTCTGCGGACTGTACAGACAGTCGGCTTCGGGGATTTCAAGATTGGTCGTCGCGTTGATGCATTGGAAGCCAGTTCGCACGACATATGTGTCACTGCTGCCAGTGTCGACAAGGAGCTTGAAGGTTTGGTTGGCAAAAGTAACGTCGACATCGAAAGTGCTACTGTACTGAGCAGCGAGCAGTGGAGCACTAGGGTGGGAGACATGAGATGCACAACGTCGCGTCAAAGGAAGTGTAGCCGCAACACATCCGCTGACAATCTGGCTCGCGGTGAAGACTGGGAGGAGCTTCATTTTGAGGTCATTCGCCCAAGCAAGTCCTGTTGAGTGAAGATCTTCTTAATGATACTCGGTGAGGAGCTTGCCAGCAAAATATATAGCTCCCACGCATCACGGCTGCCTGCGAACGCCAACCCTCGTATATTCTCATCTTCAAAATTTGACCCCACGACCACTTTCTATCTTCAATGGTCTCATCCTGAGAACTAGGCAAGCAGTATTCGAAAAAAGATGAATGTAGTGTGAAGACTAGGCTAGGAACCGCCAAGCCTTCTCGTATAATTTAGTTCTAAATTAGTGTCAGCGCCCCCCTCAAATGAGCCTCGATGAGCCTCAACGAGCACCACTCACCGTTCCACAACCATGAAAAGAACACGCAGAAGCACACCGAAAGTACGGTCGGGGTGCCCAACTTGCAAGTAGGTCTTTCTTCCTCCTTTCCAAAGAATTGACTCTTAACCCAAATGCAGAGCCCGCCGCGTTAAATGTGACGAAGCCAGACCCAGCTGCCAACGCCGCGACCGCTCCAACCGCCCGTGCGAAGGATACGCAGCGCCATTCCAGCAACAACAGGCACCAGACCTGTCGATCACAGCCTACAGCATCCCCTTCAAAGTCCCCGGCAGCCAAGCCGACCGGCAGTTGCTGCACTTCTACTGCTGTCAAGCGGCGGAGAGTCTTTCGAGCTTCTCCGACCCGACTCTGTGGACGCGCCTCATCCTCCAGCGCTGCCACACCCAGCCCATCATCCGCAATGCACTCGTGACGCTGAGTGCCCTCTACCAGGATCACCACAGCCACAGCGGCCAGCTAACGGGCAAGGAGGGGGCGAGAGATATCCCGCGACAACGACCATCGCCCAGGGGTCTCCGGCTGATCGCCCGGTCGCACCGGCAGCTGCGCACGCATCTCTCCTCCCCGCAGGCCTCATACGAAGTCGCCCTGATCTGCGGGGTGCTCTTCTACGCCTTTGAATCGCTGATCGGACAGGCGGGCAACGCCATCCGGCACCTGGATCAGGCGTTGATCCTGTTCCAGCGGTACCGAGACCATCCGCCTCCGCCGCGGACCGCGTGTGGGGTGGCGGAGGATATCCTCCCCCATCTGGGGGCTCTGCTGGCGCGACTGGACATTCAAGCCAGCATATACGATGATTCCCGTCCGTTGGTGCTTGTCAGCCATGAACCTATACCAGCACCACAGATAAGGCATGTGTCGGGCGGCGATACCAACAACCGCCTCGAAACACACCTGACCAGCCTCGAAGCATGACTCCTGCGACACCTGCTCGTGCATCTTTCCCACAAGAACACACCACTCGCCAACCTCCCGCCAGCGATTCGTCAGGAGCGATTAGCGCTTGACGCTGCCTTCCAGGCCATCATCCACTCCATCACTACTACGCCGCACCCCAGGGACCCAAAGGTCAGACAGCACGTTCTCCTCTTACGGATTCAAGCACAGCTGTTCCACGGTGTTCTACTGGAGAACTTGCACCGCGCACCGGGTGCATCTTCAGTATCCGCTGCCACGGACTCTGCGCTAAGCGCCGCTCTGAGCGATATGTCTATGCTCCTCGACGAGTCTGACCTCGGCGGTGGGGGAGAAAGCAAGACTCCAAATTCACGGCCAAGTAACGATGCTCCACCCGGATTTACCCTCACCACGCAGCTCATCGCAGGGCTATACGTCGTCTGCTTGAAAAGCACCGATCCCACCACGGTGGACACAGCACTCTCCCTGCTACGAGACCCGCGACTGCCCCGACGGGACGGGCTGTGGGGTGCAAGTGTGGTGACCAAAGTCGTGGAGAGGCTGAAGGACACAGCCGAAAGCACTAGTAAGGCAAATGTTGAGGGCGTGTACTCGCCGGGATCGACTCCGCCCGATGTGCGGTTGGAGGTTCTTGGAAGGGGGATTCTCGATGCCAAGGGCATCCAGGGTGTAGATGCTATCCTCGAGTCGATGGCACAGGACGGGCCATTGGCTTGTTTGGATGGGAGTTGAGAACAAAAAGGGGGTGTCTCTATCCAAGTCATTCCGACTAATCCGAGCCATGGCCTAAAGTGCCCCCGCACATCTCGATAAGATCGTATATCTACAAATACACATATAGACATACTGTCCACAACTCCCATTTGAAAAAGGAACAACGCCAACGTCTCCGGAGATGTCTGCGCAGGCGTGCGGAGCACACTGTACTTAGTAAGTATCCTATGGCCGAAACGCTGCCACCCTTGCCCCTTGAAAAATGTTGAAAATATCCAACCAGGAGGATCTTGGATCATTGAACACGGCTTGGGTTCCAGCATGTGGTGGTCGCGGAGATTTGAGGGTTTCTCCTCCGACATGACACAAGTAGGTCTAATAGTACCTAGTACTCAGTAAAAAGCCTAAGCGCCTCTGTTTCTGGAATGGTCTAAGAATGATTTGCTTGATTACAATCCGGGTGGAGCTTAATGTCCATGGGAAGAGTTTTTTTTTGATTGGTTGTGGTTGATTTACTTAGTTCACAGAGCAGAACTACAGAGGTAGTACTGGGTACCTACAAGGTAGTAAGTATCTCGTAGGAGGTATTAGAAGTGCGGTGACCGCTCCGCCCATCCCACACCCTAGTCATATTCCCAAACAGAAGGAAAAAAAGAAATACCAAAAGGGAAGATGATCCCATAAGCGCCTCAACCCATGCGATTGAATCCCAGATGCCTGATATCATGTGTTCTGGTTTCTGTACTCCATCGTACGGGACGAGCAGATATCAATAAGCGTAGGTGGGAGTAAAATTCAATGAAAATTGAACCGCGTCGTAGTTGAAGAAGGGTTAGTTGCCCCGAGACCTTTCTGCCATTAGCTTAGAGCGTCCGAAGTATGTGTGCGTTTGTGAAAGAGAGATGGGGGGCGAGGGGAGGTTCGATGGAGACAACGGAACAATGGAAACAAACAAACAAGGAAACAAAGAACTCTTACGAAGACCCCGAATGGTAATGAATCCAACTGTCTTAAGCAGTGGCCTTGACCACCTTGAACGACTTCCAATCGCCATTCTGGCAGTTGCCTGTGGTAGTCTCATGGGTGCCGGAGATGGCCCACGAGGGACCCGCGCAGTCGGCTTCCTTATACACGAGGACGGCAAAGTTGGTCGCCACCACATCCACCCAGACACTGACGTAGTCCGACGAGCTGGTGCTCTGGCAGGACATGACGGCCGTGTCTCCGGTCGACCAGGTAGTACTGCCCGCGCAGTCAGACTCGGTGTAGAAGTCGACTTCCCATGCACGGCAAAGGGGAATGAGAGGGAGAAGGAGGGTAAGAAGCTTCATAATGGGCGGAGACTTGAGATTGACGAAGGTCAGGACTGAAAGATAGGTGCAAATGAAGGGGAAGCGAAGAATGATAGGCTTGGGTTTTCCGTCCGATTCAGTCCTTGAAAAGGTCAAGGCCCCGTATTTATACAAAGATATTCTAGATGTAGAGACTATCGAACCGAACCAAACTAGGTGGTAGTCAACTGGCACTAGCTTTTTTCCTGAATCTACCTTTCTACGTAGTTTAAGTCCAGGACGTTCTGAGTACAATGTAAGGATACCAGGTATGTTGTTGTTTTCGCCGCTAATTTTACAGAGTGGGGGTTTTGTTGTTACGCTAGGAAACATCCCTGGTGATGGTGGATAAATAAAACCACTAAAGTTAAGGCGTACATGCTCGGACATAAGAGAATCCTTCCCGCAAATCTTCCTTCCGGCTTCAACCCTAGCCAATCATTGTCAAACAGGGCAGAGCAATTTCTGAGGCCATGGCCGGGCGTTCTCATGCCTGACTGCCAGAGAGCGGAGCCCACCCAATCAACCTCGACTCGAATTCCTGATAGAGAGTAGGCTAGTCTCCGAAAGAGATAAAAAATTCAGTTGGTTTCTACTGTGTACGTACTTCGGCGATAGTTGCTCACTAGTGCATGGTGGGTACTGCGTGTGTACATACTCGATCAGCAGGTGACTGTAACCAAGCCGACCTAACCGAGTAGTTAACCGACATTCCTTTCGTTGACTTCGGACCTTTGAAAACATAGCGACAAATGGAAGAAGATCTCAATTCAGAGGCACATGTACCACTGTCCATACCTCGCAGTTGAAGGTTGGCATCATGTCATGGATACAGCCATTGATTCTAAGTCGTTGCTCGCTCGGAAATCTTACAGGAAAGAGGGTAATAAGGGGCGAGGGATAACGGAGAGGAACGACGAATTGGAAAACTCCGGGGTTTCCTGACTCCACACCAGAGCTGCTTTACTGGATACTGCTGGCAAACTCCTCATAGACAAGTTGAAAACTGAGATAGGAATCTCGATAGAAGTGGACTCAAGCTTGCGTATGCATATTTTAGAAGCGCCTTGGCAAACGCTTAGGACGACGCTAAGTGCGATTTAGCGAGCCTTAGACAAGAGGTCCCACAGGTTTTACCACTCCACAACTACTAAGGACGTAATAAGCGCCTCGAATACATTCAGCACAAGGCAAACAAGACCGATCTAACGATTAACAGGATCGGGGAATCCGTAGAGTGGTTGTATCTTCAATTCACATCCTAGCGTCAATTTTGGACCGCATTAAGGGCAAATCTCGTTTCGCGGACATCTCCGGTTCCAAATCAAGTTCATGTATGTACAGTACAGGTAGTATCTTGTATCCAAGCTCTCTTGGACTAGACGCAACGCTTTCCCAAATGGGGATTAGACCTCAGGCCGATTGGAGATGTATAAGTAAGAGACTGAGAAGACACAACTGCTCTCCTCTCCCCTTGAAGTCTCCTTTGGTAACCCTCTTTTCTTTCCCCTGACACTCTTGCCTTCTCCTCAGTCCTTCAGAGTCAAAGAGCTTCTCTGTTCCAAATCTGTGTCGATTATATCTTTCACCATGCAGCTCTTCGGGTTCCTTAGCGTCATGGTGGCGATCTCCTCCGCATCTGCCTACCAGGTCCGGGCCTACTCCGACACCAGCTGCGACACTCTCGTTTGGGAAGCCAACTACGAGGAAGTCGGTCGCTGTGTCACCTTCAAGGTGGGATCGACTGTGCGCGCTGTCCGCTTGCCAACCAGCGGTTACTCGCTCGAGGCTTTCCACCTGACAAAGTGTGATACCTCGATCCTCTACGCAGAAACCACCATGGGGGCGCCCACCGGCTGTCTGACTTTGGACGAAGATGTGTCTTTTGGATCCTTCAGGGTCACGAGCTAAGGGTGCGTTGTTTCCACCGCAGAACATGCCAGAGACTTCGGATGCTAACCCGGTGTCTGGCAGTATAGGAAGGGGTTGGTTCCAGCGAGATGTTGTGCTATGGCCGCACCGAAAATCAAGGTTGTATGAGACATGGATGGCCCGCATTTATGCCCTACGATCCCAGGACATTCAGCAGACAGATCCTGCGACGAGCTTGCTGCAAGGAAGGTCAACACGTCGTCCGGGTCGTCTATGATCTGTTGAATGTATTTTAATACCCTAGAGGACCGAGCCTGTTGTGCTGTATATTGTCTATGCCCGAGCAAGTAGCTACCACGTTAGAGTAATGAAGATCGCCTTCACAATAAAAAATGGCATTGGGTCCTACTTAGAATCCGAAGCGGTGGGATATGATAGACATGAAAGAAATTCCATGTACCCATACAGTCTTGCGTCTTGTCACCCAGTGGCTAAGAGCAGCAACTCTGTTGGATCTGGCAAGCGCAAAAGTCAAATCAAGTTTATTACCGAATGCAACGAGCGCAATCCCCTCCTTAAGCGGGTCCACGGGCATGAGCTCGTCTTCATATTGCGTGGGGACACAGTTCGAGCCCACACTCACTCAACCCATCGCAAATCCACTCATAACTTACTCATATCAGTTGAAATGGTCATGTCACTACACAGCTGAGGCAGTTTTTGGGTGGGGGGGGGGAAGCCGCATGAGGTAGACAGCGATTTCCAGGGCAATAGTCGTCCGATAATCAGCCTCGAAAGTCAGAAAGACCTTGAACAAAGATAGAGGGATTGACCTACGCGGGAGTGCACTTTGAGATGAAGCTAGGGGCGATTAGGACAACCAAGGATTATGACCCTATTTCACAAAACGTCAACAGGAGATAAATTCATTGCGGCTGAGAGATCTACCTGCGGCTAGAGTGGAATGTGCACCATACCCTGACTGCATTTGCTTGAACCGTGATTGTGTACTGTAACCTCACGGTATAACGAAATAGTAGAGGCGGAATTCGTTATATAGTGTTTTTCGTAGTATAGAATAGGTGTAAGTAAGGATTCACGTGATCTATCATGGAATCTGCGATGGGCTGACTACGCAGGGCCCCGCTTTTGACCCAGTTCTTTCCTATTTAGGCAATTTCTAAATCTTCGATATAACGAAATTCGCTATAAGGTGAATCAGCGATATTTGTATAGTAAAACTCGTCAGGCTCTTCTGAAAATTCGTTGTATAGCGAAACTTCGTGTAATAGGATTTCGTTATACCGTGAGGTCACAGTAGTGGTTTGGATCTCGAAAGTGTGGTCTGGATGGGAATTACAATTGAGATATCTAACCCTAGGTAGTGGAAATGCGATAGCTCAGCTGGGACCAATGATTCTCGACTCAGCTAGGACTTTGTTTCGTTTGAAGTACAACAGGGAGATGACCCAGGGATTCATATCCAGGGGTATCAGGGTTTGATTACTTTTTACATACTGAAAGGTTGAGGACAACAGGGGTGGGCATCATGGGTCATGTAAATGGTGGATGATTCCAAGGGATTCATATCGCGGACAAGGGAATTGGTCTTCGATTGGCGTAAATCCCAAGATTATCCGGTCAACGGCATTTATGAGGCATCGAGCACATCAGAGACCGCGCAATCCTCCTGCTTCTCTGCTCCCAGTACCTCATCAACAGCATCAGTAATGAACACATTAGGAGATTCTCTTATCGTTTCAATACGAGAAGCTCACAGCTCAAGTTGCATTGACAAGAACAGCGGTGTGTTTTGTTGACAATTGGGGGAAATTGAACGAATTCCGCCACCTTCCAAATGAGAGGCGTCCAACTTTGCCTGGCAACATGATGCACGCTGGCATCCCAACAATACACTCACCCTTTTCAACAATGCAGCACACTCGACGAAAAACCTCGACGAAGGAAGCCATGGCATGATGATATATCTGGATGTTGATGCCCGCGAAGCGACCCTTCTGGCTGCGTACTATCATCCTCAGCAGATGAAAGCCGTGTCGCAGGGCAATCTGCAAGTCCTGGACAACGATGGCCGTGCCTTGGTGGGCTGGGGCCATAATGCCGCTTTTACCGAGTTCAGTTCCGACGGGCAAGTGTTGTGCAATGTCCACTTCGGTGCCTCGGTGTTCTTTGGATTCGGTCGCGCCGTATCATACCGGGTTATTAAAGGCGACTGGGTTGGAAGGCCGCAAACTGCTCCGGATGCCGAGGTGATCGGTAATCGGATATATGTCAGCTGGAACGGAGCGACAGAGGTTGCCGCATGGCAACTAGAGACCTGGCTCTCAGGCGAGCTTGAAGGTGCCGCTTTCAAGGTGGTGGCACAATATGAGAAAAATGGGTTCGAAACCGAAATCGAGATCCCGGAGAACTTGGATAGTCCCCTGTTTCGCTTGGCAGCCCTCGACGCCAATGGCAATGTCTTGGACGTCACGGAGCTATTGCAGAGGGAGCGGGGCAGTGCCATGGAACGGCTGCTCAACATGCATTATTGGATCTTGGGTATCGCGTTCGTCATGAGCGGGATTGGCCTATTCCTTGGTTCTGCAGGTGCTGCGGCCTCGATCCCAGACTCAGTCGCTGGCGCTATCGGTCTTCCGAGTACCAGATGGTGGCTTTCAGCGATACTGACACGGATCGGCAAGCAGTCTGAGGGGGTCGATCAATTCGATCGATGTCAGCGAACAACAGTTATGGGCGCCATGGCTACTTGGAGGTATTTCTTGAATTTGTAAATATTAGTTGAGCCCTTTGTACACGATACCCTTGCTGATGTATATATGGAGTGGAAGAATGCGAAGTTTTGTGTCTTGACTGACCTGATCACCTACCCAGTATAGACATAACGTGGCAGAGAACGGCGAGCTGTGGTACCAAACAGCTTAAGGCTAAGTTGACAGGACATGGTCGACGACTATCGGCTTCAGACGAGTCTGTTGAACGGAAAGAGCTGGCCGTCGGGGCGACATCATCTGTCCTGTTGAGCTGTCGATCGATTTCCACAAACTCCTGGATATGAAGCTCAATCAAAATGAAGCGTTTGCTGGCTCACGCAGGCAAAGAGAAGGATGTAGTCAGAATACTGGTAAGTATTATGGATGAGTGTGCTGTTAGGCAGTTCCATCCATGATCCATGATCCATGATGCCTCGCACTGTAACCGAAAGAAGCAAGTGCCGACCGCTGACCGAGCCAGGCACTGAGGCATCCTAGTATCCCGCGCCCCTTAGCGACAAGGCGACAAGGCGACAAGGCGACAAGGCGACAAGGCGACAAGGCGATAAGGCGATAAGGCGACGAAGGGCGGTTATCCGCGGGGGGACTGGGGTAACATTCCCCGCATGAACGCATTGAAGGGGAGAAACCGACAGGGTCGAATCTCTCTCTCTCTCTCTCTCTCTCTCTCTCTCTTCCTCTCCATAAAACCTGAATCTTCGCAAACCATCGATCACCCCTGTGAGGGGAGAAAACAAGAGAGAGAGAAAACAGAAAGACTCCCCCCCTTAGCCCATCTTACTTCCCGACACCGTCTCTATACTACCCAAATCACCATCACCGATCCATCCATCCCCTTCTGCTTACTCCAAACCAATTAGTTACAACCATGGCATCCCGACGCATATCTTCTCGACTCTTCCACCCTCAAATCCACGGCCGAAGAACCTATTCCACCGCCGCCGCCTCCCCTGCCTCACGCCTCAACCTCCCCATCGACTACAAATCCACCCCTCTCCTCCACCACACAGCCTCCACCCTGCCCGACCACCTCGACCTCCCGACCTCGACATCCTCAAAATCCATGAACCTCTACCAGGCCATCAACTCCGCCCTGCGCACCGCCCTTGCGACCTCCGACCGAGTCATGCTCTTTGGGGAGGACGTCGCCTTCGGCGGCGTGTTCCGGTGCTCGATGGACCTGCAGACCGAATTCGGGTCCGAGCGGGTCTTCAACACGCCGCTGACGGAGCAAGGCATCGTGGGGTTCGCCATCGGCGCCGCCGCGCAGGGGATGAAGCCCGTGGCCGAGATCCAGTTCGCCGACTACGTCTTCCCCGCCTTCGACCAGATCGTCAACGAGGCGGCCAAGTTCCGGTATCGGGAGGGGGCGACGGGGGTGGATATTGGCGGGTTGGTGATTCGGATGCCGTGCGGTGCCGTGGGGCATGGGGCTTTGTGAGTGTTTCCCTCCACTCGTGTCAACACCTGGGCTTTTGGGGGCAGAGGTTCTGATCGTTTCGGGTTGGCTGGCTGGCTAGGTACCATTCCCAATCCCCCGAAGCACTGTTCGCGCATATCCCCGGCATTCAGGTGGTGATGCCGCGGTCGCCGGCCCAGGCGAAGGGGCTGCTGCTGTCGGCGATCTTCGAGCACAACAACCCGGTGCTCTTCATGGAGCCGAAAGTGCTGTACCGCGCGGCGGTGGAGCACGTGCCGAACGAATACTACACCATCCCGCTCAGCGAGGCCGAGGTGGTCAAGCCCGGCAACGACCTCACCGTCGTCTCCTACGGGCAGCCGCTGTACCTGTGCTCCGCGGCAATCGAGGCGGCGGAGCGGGCGCTGGGCGCGAGCATCGAGCTGGTTGACCTGCGCACGATCTACCCCTGGGACCGGCAGACGGTGCTGGACAGTGTGAGGAAGACCGGTCGCGCGATCGTGGTGCACGAGAGCATGGTCAACTACGGGGTGGGCGCGGAAGTCGCGGCAACCATCCAGGAGCGCGCCTTTCTGCGCTTGGAGGCCCCCGTCAAGCGGGTGGGCGGCTGGAGTACGCATACCGGGTTGATCTACGAGAAGTTTATCATTCCCGACGTCACCAGTGAGTGTCTCTCATCTTTCTTTTCCGATACGTTGTCCGCTACTGACCTTGTCGTAGGGATATACGATGCGATCAAACAAACCCTCGACTACTAGGCCTGGAGCTTAATCGCGCATGAATCTTTCAACCGATGTACATATCCGATATCTATTCTAGAGAAACCTGCACAGAGTGACTGGACTAGTCGTGCGTCTACCGCGTGTCTTAATATCATCGTCTAGCGACCAATATCTCGGTTTCATCCCTCTACCCAAAACTATCTCATGAGTCTCAGCATGCAACAGACTAAAATCAGCATAATAAAGCTGGTAACGGATGTAATAACCGACTCTCGAGTAGAATACAATATGTGCATGTATGTTGCGATTATGTTGAAGAAGCTATCCACAAATAAAGGTCCGAATAGTATGGTGTCCAGGCAGGGGCCATGACTGACTAGCAGTAGCGCCACACAAGACCCCTCAAGAATCACGAATCGCCTGTGCTCGCCGCAGCCTGCAGAGTGATTTCCATCTAGTCGAGCACCGCGAAGGTGTCGGTGGAGATCTTGATGGCATCCGTGTGCCAAGTCTTGCCACTGTCGGAGGTGGTGAAGCCATTGGAGCTCGAGCCGCTGTACAGGTACAGGGTCTCGCCGAACTTGGAATCGGCCTCGCTCAGGTGGATGGTGATGTTGTTCCAGCCTGTATTCGAGTCAGGTGAGTTAATCACCAGCGTCATGATAGGAAAAGGCTGTGCGGCGTAGAGGGAAACTTACTGTAGGCGGGCTGAGTACCGCAGGTGCCGGAGCCAGTGTAGCACTCATCTCCGGAGTAGAGGTACAGCAGGTTGCTGTCGAGTTCTGGGGAGGTGTTCGTGTAAGTACGTGGGATGCGGTGTGTGTGGTATATGGAATCGAGAAGGCCGGATGCTTACTGTCAGTCTCCTTGGAAACGACCTTGCCGTCGATGCTGACGACCTGCGTGACTTTGCTATCGGAAACGGTGACTATTGCACGTCAACGTTGTTAGTCTCGAGGGGCTTTGAACACAGAGGTGAACATGTAACTAACCCTCAAAGTCGACCTGACTTTCCTGGGGAACGGTCACATAGGCCTGGCCGAGCTGACCACCTACAGCATTGATTAGCACATCGTCTAGGCCCTGTCAATCCGATAGGCTCAGGACTCACTGGGAGTGTAGGTGCTGGCGGCCACACACCACTCCTCGGCGGTAGCAGGGCAGCCCCTGGTCACAATTAGCGGACACGTCTTCTTGCTTGTCAATTCGAAAAAGGTAGACGTACTGGGACTCCTGGTCGGGCGACCAGTTGAGCAGAGGCTGGTACAGGTAGGAGCTAGCGTCACCGGCAGTCGCCTGGAGGCCGATCCACAGCGAGACCCAGACCTCGTCGTTGGTGTTCTCGACGGTGGTGTTCTGCGGGACGCTGGGGGCGATAACCGACCAAGTAGCCTTGGTGATGTGAGCGCTATTGGAAGGAGGGCCAGTGTAGAACCCGTTACCGAAGTACCAGGAATCCTCAGTGACAGCCGCAGCGCGGAGGGCAAGAGCCAAGGGAGCAGCAGCGTAAACAGAGCGCATGGTGATCGATGAAAGTGGTTTGGATTTTTTGAAGAACGAGAGAAATTGAAGCGAACCGGCCGCGAAGAAAGAACGACTGCAAACAGAGCTGTGAATGAAAGACTGAATGAGAGAATGGCTTAAAAAGTCCAAAAGCAGGTACCGATCGCCAGCTTTAAAAAGAACAAATTCCTTTCTACAAGAATTGTAAGGCGCAGACTAAAGGTTTGTCTCAGGGGCAGGTGGAGTCCGGCGCTATTCCCGACTCCACCACTGCCCTGACTGCTTGCCCTTCAGCCGGCAAGCTTGTGTTAACCTGAAACATTAAACGCATTAAGCTTGATCCATCAGCCCTTTAAAATACCTTAATATCTCCGAAATAATTGCGCACGCTTGTCGCAGTTAAAGTATTGGGATATTCGTATCCGTAAAACCTGCCCTACACAGCCTTTTATCACCATGTAGCTGTCTGGACTCCCTCTCGCCCCTGGTGAATATATTTCCCGTTGTCTAGTTGGTCGTACAATCAGTTCAAAATCAAATGCTGACGAAATTTTCTCCCGACAACTTCCATTTCAGGCATATTAGCTTGTTATCCTCACAAGCTATCAGTGACTATACATGATCGTGCTCACCTCCGGCTGAGTTGCGGAGGATTAGGGCTCTGGGTGGATATTCATTCCCTGGTGTCAAGCCTACCTGATGGGCCCACGGCATCACATAAAGAGGCTCTGGGGGAGTGAAGTCAGAGTAACAACCCCTTTCTGCAATTTATGGGACGAAATTGTCCGTCTTTCCGTCTCGGTAAGATTTCGAACGAGTTCAAGCAATTCCAGTCGGACAGGCTTGTGGTCTGCTCTATGGCTTGGCGAAATTGTCCAAGCACTGAGCCAACTGACTTTGGGCAGAGTATGGTTGCTCGCTCCTGCGCCTCAAGTTTGAAACGCGATCGATAAAATAAGCGTCGAAATGATGCAAATTGCCTTTCATTGAATTTGCAATTGCAAGCACGATTATACTGCGTGTCTAGCGCACAGCATAATAGTTATAGCTATATCGATACATCAGGATTACAAAACAACTCGCCTTGTGAAGTGCGGTGCAATTGACCGAAATCGTCAATTCGTGAGACTCCGTCCAGTGGTTCCCATGGAGCGCAGCCGTTGTCGTCCAGCGATCCACGACTGCATATTTAGGTTATACGTTCAAGGGCCCGGAGGGGAACCAGCCCGAGGAGAAAGTTCGGACATTCCACTACCCCAAAGTCCCAGTGAATGCCGTTTCTCAACCAGCTTGAGCACATTATACATGAAGAGGCGCTCTGGCCCCCCGTCTGGAAAGGCCTCCCAAGCCACACGGACTGGAAAGGCGAGACGGTTAATCATGTTACCAGGGGCTGTCAAGATGTACCATTCCAAAGTTCGGCAGATGCCGCACCCCAAGGCATACTGTTCGGCAGGTCCGACGCGGTCTGTCGGTCGGCAATCCGCTGTTGACAGTATCAATCGTGTAGTGTAGTATAGACACATGGTCTGGGCCAGGCGGAGGTCCGGATAGACAAACTTAGTCGGCGTGATGATGGCACCAGTGCGAAGATCCCGACATTGGAACACCGGAAACTCGTCATTTGGCAGTGCCTCGACCTCTTGAGGCGGTCCGTCGGGATAGCGGTCGACCCACTCGACTTTCCACCGGCGGAAGCGATTGGTCAGGCCCGCGACCCCGTTCCACAGGGTTGCCTGTTTGACCTTGATTTCATGCGCACTCGCCATTTGCGAGCTGAGGGTGGCTTGGAGATCATCGAATTGAGACAGTAGTGCTGGGATTTCAACAGCAAGGTCCATGAGATAATGCAAGATATCTTTTTTGGTGGTCTTAGCTGACCACGGAAGATTAATCCAGTCCTCTTGAGCAAGAAAGGAAGGGGTACGGCTGACGAGAGCCGCCGATACCTGCTCACTGAATGAGTACGTGAGAGTTTTCCTATACAGGGTTCAGGTACATACCCAGTATGGTCGGAGCTCTGTATACAGTAAATGCTCCACACCGTGAACATGATTCTCCGGACCGCGATGTTCAATCAATCGTAGCGCACCGTTGACGTGCGCAATCAGAGACACTTGAGTAGTACGCTCCACGCTCTGCAGGAATGTTATCAGCTAAACTTAGTGACACAGAGGACCCGGCGAAGCATACCTCAAATGCCATCAAGAGGATGACCGTTACCAGGGTGGACTCGGCCTTGCTACGTTCAGGGTCTTGCAACGCTTGCTGCAAGCTGCGAAGTACCCGTGGATATAGACTGAAACCCGCTGCCTCGACCTCCTTGTTCTGAACGGATCGGCCGAAGAAAGCCACCGACACGGACTGGAATGCATCCATCAAGATTGGTGAGAACATGCGAATTTCGGCAGCGCGTCGTAGTGCACCCGCGTGACCTGCTTTAGCATCGACTTCTGGGCTGAATGCATCCACGAAACGTTCAATGAATACCTCGAGCATCGGTTTTGTCGTGTTCATTTGACAAATCGAGCCGTAACTCGAATCCTCGCTGTCCTCGGATGAACTTCGACTGCCATCACGATGGCCTGCCGGCAAGTAGATACTATCTTCCGCTTCCTCGTCACTTTCACCCGGTCTAGAGCGCTGGATTGCTACGATAGCATTTTCTGCCAAGTACGAGGGCACATGTCAGCTCATGGGCCCCAGAGTCATTGTCCCCCCACCCCAAAGGTTATGACCCACCGTCTGTCCGCTCCCCGGATGCGACTCCCGAACCATGCGTGACGACCCGATTTGTTGTCCGTATACTGCTGATAATACCATCGACGACTTCTGATGGGGCCGAACGAATCGTATCAACCAAGCCTTGCAGCTGCGCGAGGCGGCGTCGGTTTCGGCTCCGTTGATCTAGTAAACACACCAGATATCAACGTCAGCACACGCCAACTGTGGTCGAACTATGCTCACGCGCTTGGAGGTATGGGCAAACGTACCACGGGCATTGAGTTGAGTCGTCAGCTGACGGATCTCATTTCGGAGGTTACGGATTTCATCCGCCTGGCTTATCGGCTGGAGGCTATCTTCGGGGCCGGCGTCGTAAGTGCACTTGGAGGGATATCCATGAGCACAGCATGCATGACAGGGTTTAACGCGATCACACTATGACCATCGAGTATTAGAGCCAGACGAGCCTGCGTGGAGATCGGGCCCCAGGGGTACTTCGAATACACCACTAATCCCCCGTGGAGTGGCTCCCTCTGGAGCTGGGAGATATTTCCATCCAATAAATTGGCTTCCCGACAGGAATGCAATATGGAGCATCACCAGCAAGCAAGAAGAACCGGGTCGGGACGCACCTTGACCTTGCGGAACCGGCAGACCTTGCAGGACCGCAATTGACGCGCAAGCTGATTTGAGGTGATGACAGGCTTGGGACGGTACTGGCTGGGGACCAGAACAGCCTGCGAATCGTGGTTGACCATCGCGGTCTAGCACCTATTGGAGTAATGGCTCTACTGCTCGGGTGAAAGCAAAGGTCGAGCCTTCGGGGGCAAGAGAGCCAACGAACGGTACGGCACGCTTGACACCAACAAGATCTGGACGAACATGTCCGAGATTTGTCCCCTCTCTTTCCCTTTCGCTTACATCGGCACCAGCGCGCCCCGTGGCTCCACGAGACCAATAGCAAGCCGGGCCTGAGGCGATGGCGGGCTGGCAAAGTGGGCTTGGACCAGCTTGGTTTCGGGTGGGCTCACGGTCGGTAGCGTGTTTTGCCACTCTGGATCCGTGGTTTGGTGGGTTTCGAGACTGCGTGGATGGCGGAAAGGTTATCTCGTAGAAATTCGAGGAACCATGATGTTAGCTTGAGACTACTAATCTGCATTCCAGAAACACGATTAGCGCAGGAAGATTGCAAGAGACAAGAGAGATTGGGTTGGGTTGCTTGCCGCTGAGACTGAATGAATTCTTGGTGGGTTGGCTTGAAAAGGCTAGCGTGACAAACCAGGCACCAAGCTTAATGCCTCAGGAACTCACTTTCGGTCCCCTCAGCAGATCAACATCAACCAAATGATTTGGAACAGTCCAACTGTCGACTTTTGAGTGACACTGACACAGTCCAAGTTCATGAGCCTTGGCCGCTCTTTCAACATCATAAGTGTCTGCATAATGATCTAACTTGGTTGTGTACCTCACGAACACACTTTATCAATCAACCGCAAGACCTGGGATATAAATATATCTCTGCCTGCCTCGAACTCATGTAGTACTCTCAGCCATGCCGTGACTTATGAGCTCGTTACACTCACCTAGAGTGCATGATTCAGCTCAACAGATACAGTTCATCTTCGGCTTCTTTGATCAACAAACTTGCTGTATCTACTTCAGCCAATGAGTTGCTAATCTCCACCGTACCAGTGGTCATAACTACGATCAACGGCCTTTCCCTTTGTCGAGCTCCTACCTGACCACAAAGTCGGGGAACAGTTGTAAGTGGCGCATGAACAACCGTGATAAGTCTTTCTTCCGTGATTGGTACAGGCTAGTAATAAGTTCAGTTTGACCGCCGCATTCCCCCGACCATATCTGCACAGAAACTGAAGAGATCCGACCAACAGGCGTGGGTCCTCGCTGTGGAACTCAACTAGACGGCCACTACGTGTTCAGCCACATGGCTGATTTGTTACCTTATCTCTGCGCCGATTACTCCAAAGCAGGTCCTTCGCATGTATGGGACCACAAGTGCCTACCATGGCCTGCAGCACTACTACCGCACATCAATAAATCCTCCGAGCGCATGGGTTGTTGGCCTCGATAAGATCCACAGAAAGAACGCCAGCATGGTATGCTCAGAGGTCTCGCAGTCGTATGGTGATACGGTCACAGAGGTGGTTGTCACCTATATGACAAGGGCTGCCAAGCAAGTGAGATGGCCCACTTGTGTTGCATCTGCTGCAGCTACCATCGGTCAAACATCGGAGCATCTTCTGCAAAGCAAAGTCGGAGATGATGCGAACCGAGGCCTCAACAGGGTTGCATGATCGACTGACGTAGGCAGGATGCGACGATCCAGAGTCACCTTAGCGTGTGCAGCCTGCTCTAAGTGGACGAGGCGATTTTGACTAAATGGTGGCTTCCCAAGTCTCACCATCATCGCGCATGATGAAAAGACAGGTTATTCAGTGTGCCAAGCAGAGCCAACAAATGGGATGAGCAGAATAGGGAGGACGCTGTCGGACAGTCTCCGACACAAGTACCAAGTGGGGGGGGGGCAAACCCCGTTACCCCAGACAATCCCCCGCAATGAGGAATGAAAGCTTCCCCGCCTCTACCTGGACTAGGCGGGCTTTAAACTCAAACACGCCAACCCCCACTCCTTTCTCCCCCCCACACTTTCTACGCTGCGATCATGCTGCTTGCCTCTTCATGAGAGCAATATATAGCTGGCTGAAATCCGATTTCAAGTCAAGCATCTGACACATTTTCTCTCAATCCATCCCCCCTTGTTCATCGTACAGGGATTATTGTTTTCCTCAATCATGGCCGAAAAATACATGACCGACCATGAAGCCATGGGCGAAAAGATTGACGTCTCCCACGAGGAGGTCGTCCAGATGGCCCAGTTGACAGAGGAGGAGAAGGTCTTAGAGAAAAAGCTCCGAAGACGAATTGACAGCCTGATTATGCCCCTGGTTATCCTCGTCTATCTCATGAACTACATCGATCGGTATGTCAATTGCAGTTTTCATTGCACGAGACAAGCTAACAGCCGCAGCAACAACTACGCCGCGGCCAAGCTCCAAGGCCTCGAGCAAGACCTCTCCCTCAATGACTCCCAGTACCAGGTCGGCCTGTCGATCCTCTTTGTTGCATACATCCTCATGCAGGTTCCTTCCAATCTGCTCCTGAATTTTATGGGCCGCCCATCGATCTATCTGGGTTTCTTCACCACGGCGTGGGGGCTTGTTTCCGCCTTGACCAGCCAAGTAACAAGTTACGGCGGCATCGTCGCCTGCCGCTTTATTCTGGGGCTGGTCGAGGCCCCCTTCTTCGCGGGGATTTTGTTCTACCTGTCCAAATGGTACACAAAGAACGAACTGGCATTCCGGATGAGCATCTTCTACTCAGGCTCGCTGGTTAGTGGTGCCTTCGGCAACCTCATCGCCGCGGGCATCCTTGAGGGCCTTGAGGGCCATCGCGGCCTGGCGGCCTGGCAATGGCTCTACATCATCGAAGGCAGCATCACCGTTGCCATCGGCCTCGCCATCTGCCTCGTCCTGCCGGACTTCCCCGAGACCTGGAAGCTGCTCTCCCCCGAGATGAAACACGTCGCCAACCGCCGGCTGGCCATAGAAGCCGCCGAGGCCGACATCGACGAAGGCGGCGGCATGTCGCAATTGAAGGGCCTCAAGCTCGCCTTCACCGATATCAAGACCTACGTCCTCGCCGTCGCCTACATGTGCATCACGGCCGGCGCCGGGTTCCAGTACTACTTCCCCACCCTGGCCGAGACCCTGGGGTACAACAAGATCATCTCGCTGCTGCTGGTCGCGCCCCCTTACATCTTCATGGTCTTCTACAGTCTCTTCCACTCCTACCTGTCCGACCGCTTCGGCAGCCGCTTCTGGTTCTTCATGTACCCGATCCCCGTCACCATGGTCGGGTTCATCATCTTCATGACGACCGAGAGCTTCGGCCCCCGCTACTTCTCCATGTTCTTGATGAACTTTGTCTTCGCGCAGAACGGCACCCTGTACTCGTGGATCGCGAACGCCATCCCCCGCCCGCCGGCCAAGCGCGCCGCCGCGTACGCGTTCATCAACTCGATCGGCAACTCCGCCAGCATCTGGACGGCCTTCACGTATCGCCAGCAGGACGCGCCGTACTACCGGTTGGCGATGGGGGTGTGCGTGGGGATGCAGGCGCTGGGCGGGATTATGGCGGTGTTCATGTACTTCCATCTGCGGTTCTTGAATAAGCGGCTGGCGCGGCTGGAGGATGAGGATGCAGTGTTGACGGACCAGGATCTGGACCGGTTGCAGCGGACGGCCGAGGTGGAGGGGATCGACGTTGCGGCCGCCAGGAGGCTGCAGAAGGGCTTCCGTTATGTGATATGATAGATTAGTGAATTTCGCGTTGGCCAATTTTACTCCGTGTTTGGAATCCAAACCCTATTCTTTTGACCTTTGTTTGGTTCATAGCTCTGAGAAAGGCGACCGGGAGTGATGTTGGCCTGCCCGTAGAATCGTTCGCATCTGCGGCGGCCAACATCTAGCATTACCGGTAGTTAGATGCATCTCGAACACAACCCAACCACAGAACCATCTTGACTACATAGACAAATCCATCGCCCCCATGTGATGACCTCATTCATGTGGCCAACCGACCGACCAAGCATATCTCTCAGCGTGGTTCGCCATACCTGAGCATTGGGTGAGGTGCAAGGCCCGTGGTCGTCTACCCTTAATGCGGATGTGCCACAAAACCCAATGTTGGGAGGCAGACGATCAGGACGATAAATGGTGGCGGCGATAAAACACGGAGAAGTCTCATCCGCACTGCAGAAATCTTCAGATTCGCTGCTGGGGCATCCCCGGGGTCCCCACTCTGGCCGCATTTGGCCCCGGGAGACGGTCACATGACTGCACGGGCATTCGATGGTTGTAGTATATAATTTAGCGTTTCTCAAGGGGTATCTATTATCACATAACAAACAATGTATGCTTGTAACGAATAGAGCAGTTTAAACACCCGAGGTTTCTCGATTGCCGGTATGCACACGTCAAGACGACTCGTCGACATATCGCGCCGCCTGCTTCGTACCACACGCGGACCATCGTCTCTAATGCGGACGTTCTCCATCGCAGTCCCTGCCCGCAAGGAAAAGGAAGGCCAAATGCAAACCTCAAAGCCTCGTGAATTCTTGGCCGAGTACGTTCAGTACCTGACATTTGTCTCCGCGCCCCCAGATACACCCTCGTTGCGGAAGGAGTCTGGAGTGCTCCGGATGACGTCATTCCAAGTGACCCTCCAATTCATGTGTTCGGGCAAAGCTAACCGCTGCACCCCGACCACTTAGCCGGGATACTGCTCGCCGTGACCCAGTCCGGGCAGATGAGGGAATGCCATTATCTGATACAGCGACGAAATTCCAGCTGCAAGATCAAATACAGCAAAATCGGCAACAACTCGACCGCCTCGAGAGGCAGCTGTAAGTTCCCTGGACAGGTGCGGACCAGGCCTGGAACTGACCGGCCGTGCTAATAATCCCCCTCAGTCAAGAGTTTAAACAGGAGGAGAGCGAACGGAAAAGTTTGATGTAAGACTGAAAGCGCGGGCTTGGTTCCCAGTTGCATTGTTGTTCTTCATCCGGTTCGAATGCGGGCACGAAATCGAGAATGGGGAGTATGCTGGAAAGTAAAGTCAAGACAGGATCTTGAATGCGTTGCTTTTCGTGACTTATTTGATTTGTCCATCGAATTTTCGAGGGCTGTTGGCGACACGAGGTCAAGTAGAAGAGTTCAGAACGCCCGAGGCTTCCAGCGATATCTCCGCAAGGTGCTCACGTAGCGGGTTTCTCAACTATGCGGTATCAGTATACGTGCTAGACGCACATGTAAGACGGTAACTTAGTTGTGGACTCATTAGCTCGATGATAGCACTGTCTCACGTTCAAACCTAGCATAACATAATCGCTGGCGTATTCCAATCTGACACCTCAACTCATCAGACGAGTTCATCTGACTGAGGGTAGCACCGGCCTGCATCATCGCAACAGGGTCGGCAAATTGCGACAGATTGTGGCCTCGGGAACTTTCAAAGTCCTTATCTGATAAGGACCGCCCAGTCATCTCCTTCCGGCCCGCAAGCCATTCGAAGAGTCGATCAGTGATCCATTGCTGGCGTCGCTCAGTTGCTTACGGATTGCCGTGGGTTTATCGATACCTCGACCCTGAGAGAGCCGGAGGGGAAAAGAGCCCCAAAGTGGAGTCGCAAGAGCTCCCACAAGTGGCCAAGCGTAGCGGGACAGGGCAGTGAGAAGTGAGAAGGCTAGAACTGGCTAGAACTCCGAGCCCGCTGGTGCCTGAGTGGTGCCAGACCGAAAGTGGAGAGCTGGGTCGGCATCGGCTTTTAGGGGCCTCCGAGTACGAGAAGATGATAAATCTGATGGTGCTGTGAGTCAAAAATGGTTAACTCCGTGAAGTCTGCAGTCTGATCTGATGTGTTTTCCGAGAGTGATTGGCACGGGGAGAAGGTGTTGCAAGCGATTGAGAGATAAAAAATGACTCGTTAGATGGATGGGCACTTTTCTCGTGTAGAAAGAGGCCATGCGTTGTGTCGGTGTAGGACAAAGGCAGGGTCGGAGCCCAACAATGCATAACCATCTCTTGCGACTACATTGCGATTGTAGATCTGATAGATCGTCACATTACCAACACGCACATCATCGTCCTCCAGGATATGTCAAGTCGAATGTGTCGAAGCCACCAGAGCACTGAGCTCTTGCTCTATCGCCGGGCCGTTCAGCCTCTAGATTCGAAGGTTAGATCGATGATCCCGTGGTGACGAGATGTTGAAACACGCGGAACAATATGGATTTGATTGGCTACTCCGTGAATGGAGGATATTAACATTAAATTTCTTCTGGGAGGGCTTGCGAAGCGCAAACTTTGTTGGTCCCTGGGGCGGATAATTGTTTCCAGCTGGTTCGGAGGCTGCAGTGCAAATATCCGCTGAGTCAGTCGGCTAGTTGCTCCCAGCTCGGACGGGGATCATGCAGCTTATCCGCTCTGTCAGCGGAAATTGTCCAAAACAGGTATCCGGGTTAACGTGTCAGAAATTTTCACGTGGCTCAAATTCCATCATCCACGGAACTCCACTTCTCTCTTACAGTACGGAGTACACACGCATCGCCATCTCGACCATCATGGCTTCGGTCGGGCTGGCTGTTCTTTGCTCACCTTTCCCGATGCTTACCAATACTGAAACATTTTTTGAACATCCACGGAGAGTCGGACCTCCGCGCTTCCTTGTTTCGGGCCTCCCAAGCTTCCAAGATTGACAGCTACCTACACAGTAAGCTATGCATTCACTTCGCCGTTGGCAACTGGAGATGGGTGGGGGCTCCTCTGACTAAGCGGATATTCGCAGCGAGGCAGAATAGCCGGGTGGACCCCAAAATCTTCCTTCGGAAGCTCGCCCAGGCCCCGATATCCACCGGCGCAGTATCAGACTCAAGGCTCAAAGCCCCCCCGACCCACTGCCGCCTCCCTCAGTCTGTTGATGCTTACCGAGTATATAGGAGCTCTTCGCCCCTCATGGCGCCGAGATCTTCCCTCTTCAGACCCTTTCCATCTGGTGACAACGAGACTTCCATCATTGCTGTCTCGCCCTTCTCACCATGGAGGAAAAGGAAACCTACACGGCATCCCGTGGGATGCTTGAGAGTAGGGACGACACTGATAGTACAGCTACCGTCCTCAACGATGACCCCACCATGCCTCCTCGCGACCCCAACATTAGCCGCGCCGATAACTGGTCCTTGATGCCCCAAGTCAAGCAACAGCACGAACGTGATATGCAATCCGGGCTCAAGCCTCGTCAACTCGGTGTCACTTGGAAGGACTTGACGGTCGAAGTCGTCAGTGCCGAAGCCGCCGTCAACGAGAATTTCCTATCGCAGTTCAACATTCCCCAACATATCAAGGAGTCTCGCAACAAGCCGCCTCTACGCCAGATTCTCCAAAAGAGTCATGGGTGCGTCAAGCCCGGTGAGATGCTTCTGGTTCTGGGCCGCCCTGGTTCCGGCTGCACCACCCTTCTTAAGATGCTCGCCAATCGCCGCCTCGGTTACAACTCGATAGAGGGTGAAGTCCGCTACGGCTCACTGACTGCCAAGGAGGCTGGAAATTACCGTGGTCAGATCGTCATCAACACCGAGGAAGAAGTCTTCTTCCCGACCCTGACGGTTGGCCAAACGATGGACTTTGCGACCCGTCTCAAGGTGCCCTTTACCTTGCCGAATGGAGTTGAGTCGGCAGAGGCCTATCGCCAGGAGGCCAAGGAATTCCTGCTGAAATCCATGGGCATCACCCACACAAACGACACTAAGGTTGGCAACGAATACGTTCGAGGTGTTTCCGGTGGTGAACGCAAGCGTGTTTCCATCATCGAATGTCTTGCTACTCGCGGTTCGGTGTTTTGTTGGGATAACAGCACCCGTGGTCTGGACGCCAGTACCGCTCTCGAGTGGACCAAGGCCATTCGCGCTATGACAGACGTGCTTGGTCTCTCTACCATCGTCACTCTCTACCAGGCTGGAAATGGTATCTATGACCTTTTCGACAAAGTACTTGTTCTTGACGAGGGTAAAGAAATCTACTACGGTCCTATGGAACAAGCGCGCCCATTCATGGAGGATCTTGGCTTCGTTTGTCGCGAAGGTTCGAACGTGGCTGATTACTTGACTGGTATCACCGTTCCTACCGAACGCAAGATCCGACCCGGCTATGAGAACCGCTTCCCTCGCAATGCCGAGATGGTTCTTGCCGAGTACGAGAAGTCGCCAATCTATGCTCAGATGAATACTGAGTACAATTACCCCGACACCGATATCGCTCGCGAGCGTACCGAGGACTTCAAGATCTCCGTCGCCCAGGAGAAGAGCAAGAAGCTACCCAAGTCTAGCCCCATGACAGTTGATTTTGTTACTCAAGTGAAGACTTGTATCGCGCGGCAGTATCAGATTCTGTGGGGTGACAAGGCCACCTTTATCATCAAGCAGGTCTCTACCTTGATTCAAGCCCTTGTTGCTGGATCACTATTCTATAATGCTCCTAACAACTCTGGTGGTCTCTTCGTCAAGTCAGGTGCCCTATTCTTCTCGCTCCTCTACAACAGTCTGCTTGCCATGGCAGAAGTCACCGACTCCTTCAATGGTCGCCCTGTTTTGGTGAAGCACAAAGGCTTCGCATACTTCCACCCGGCTGCATTTTGCATTGCTCAAATCACAGCCGATATTCCTGTTCTTTTGTTCCAGATCTCGGTCTTCTCTCTCGTTGTGTACTTTATGGTCGGTCTCACCATGTCGGCTAGTGCATTCTTCACATACTGGATCCTGGTTTTCGCTGCCACCATGGTAAGTTATGCTGCCCCTAAAAGAGGTCCCGGCCGCTAACTAACAATGATCAGACGATGACTGCATTGTTCCGTGCTTGCGGAGCCGTCTTCAGTACTTTCGATGGTGCTTCTAAGGTCTCCGGCTTCCTTATCTCAGCATTGATCATGTACACCGGTTACATGATCAAGAAGCCCCAGATGCACCCTTGGTTTGGCTGGATCTACTGGATCAACCCTCTGGCTTACGGATTTGACGCACTCCTCTCAAACGAGTTCCATGGCAAAACCATTCCATGTGTAGGCACCAACCTGGTCCCCAGTGGCGCTGGCTACGATGGCAGTGGTCATCAGTCTTGCGCGGGTGTTGGTGGTGCCGTGCCCGGGCAGACCTATGTTACCGGTGATGCGTATCTCGCTTCTATGTCGTACAGCCACAGCCACGTATGGCGAAACTTCGGTATTCTCTGGGCTTGGTGGGCTCTGTTTGCAGTGGCCACCATTGTCGCCACCACCAAGTGGAAGGCCCCCGGTGAGAGTGGTGCTTCTCTCCTGATTCCTCGGGAAAGGCTCCATGATCATCACCAAGTCGCACGCAACGACGAGGAAGCACAGGCCATGGAGAAGGGCAAAGCACCCAGCGACGAAGGGTCTCAAAGTGAAGAGGATATCGACAAGCAACTGGTGCGAAACACCTCGGTGTTCACCTGGAAGGATTTGAAGTACACAGTCAAGACACCATCTGGTGACCGGGTTCTGCTCGACAACGTTTACGGTTGGGTGAAGCCCGGCATGCTGGGTGCTCTTATGGGTTCCTCTGGTGCTGGTAAGACTACACTTCTTGATGTGTTGGCTCAACGTAAAACCGAGGGTACCATCCAGGGTTCAATTATGGTTGATGGACGCCCATTGCCTGTATCTTTCCAACGCTCTGCCGGTTATTGTGAACAACTTGATGTCCATGAACCATTTGCCACTGTCCGTGAGGCATTGGAGTTCTCAGCTTTGCTCCGTCAGCCCCGTGAAGTGCCGCCCGAGGAGAAGCTGAGATACGTTACTACTATCATTGAACTCCTTGAGCTACACGATATCGCCGATACATTGATCGGCCGTGTCGGCGCTGGTTTAAGTGTGGAACAACGCAAGCGTGTCACTATTGGTGTCGAACTTGTCTCAAAGCCTAGCATTCTGATTTTCCTTGACGAACCTACTTCTGGTTTGGATGGTCAGTCAGCTTACAATACTGTTCGTTTCCTGCGGAAGCTTGCCGACGTCGGCCAGGCTGTTTTGGTGACCATTCACCAGCCCTCTGCCCAATTGTTCGCTGAATTTGATACACTATTGCTTTTGGCCAAGGGTGGAAAGATGGTCTACTTTGGTGATATTGGTGACAACGGTCAGACTGTCAAGAGCTATTTCGCTCGCTATGGTGCCCCGTGCCCGCCTGAAACCAACCCCGCTGAGCATATGATTGACGTCGTGTCGGGAGCCTTGTCTCAGGGTCGCGATTGGAACCAGGTCTGGCGAGAATCCCCTGAACACTCAAAGGCCGTCTCCGAGCTTGATGCTATTGTTAGTGATGCCGCCTCGAAGCCTCCGGGTACCGTTGATGATGGCCACGAATTTGCTATGCCTCTTTGGAAGCAAATCTTGATTGTCACCAAGCGGTCTTGTGTTGCTGTCTACCGTAATACGGACTATGTCAACAACAAGCTTGCGCTCCACGTTGGTTCGGCTTTGTTCAACGGTTTCTCGTTCTGGATGATCAACGATCACGTTGGGGCCGTACAGCTCCGACTGTTCACAATCTTTAACTTCATCTTCGTTGCTCCCGGTGTTATTAATCAACTGCAGCCTCTGTTCCTCGAACGCCGTGATATATACGACGCAAGAGAGAAGAAGTCCAAGATGTACTCATGGGTTGCATTCGTGACGGGTTTGATCATTTCGGAAATCCCGTATCTCTGTATTTGTGCAGTGTTGTACTTCGTCTGCTGGTACTACACTGTGGGCTTCCCCTCTGATTCCAACAAATCCGGGGCTGTTTTCTTCGTTATGTTGATGTACGAGTTTGTCTACACCGGTATCGGGCAGTTCATTTCTGCCTATGCTCCGAACGCCATCTTTGCTTCGTTGATCAACCCTCTTATTATCGGTACTCTCGCATCTTTCTGTGGTGTGTTGGTGCCGTACGCGCAAATCCAGGAATTCTGGCGCTACTGGATCTACTGGATGAATCCTTTCAACTATTTGATGGGCAGTCTGTTGGTGTTCACAACCTGGGACGCCCCTGTCAAATGCAAGGAATCCGAATTCGCGCTGTTCGACCCTCCGAACGGCACAACCTGCAAGGAATATCTCGCCGATTTTATGCAGGGTATGGGCGCCCGCATGAACCTGGTTGATCCCGACGCCACGTCCGGCTGCCGGGTGTGCGAGTACACCAAGGGCAGCGACTACCTTGTCACCATCAACCTCAAGCACTACTACTACGGCTGGCGCGATGCCGCTATCGTGGCGCTGTTCGCCATCAGTTCGTATGCTTTGGTGTATGCCCTGATGAAGCTGAGGACCAAGGCCTCCAAGACGGCCGAGTAAACTGCCTCTGTCGCGTCGCTTTGCAAAATGGCCCACATCGTCATTTCTCCCCTTTTCACTTCCTTTTCTTCATCCACTGATAGCGGCTGCTAAGCAGTCCTGGTCGTCAGTCTTACACTTTTTTCTCTCTTTCTGGCTGCATCTACACATACATATTCCCCTAGATAGACTCGTGTTGCATCATTGCCGGAGCGTTTTATTATTTCCCTTCGTTGTATCCACCACAGCGATCCGCGCATCCTGTGCACTACATGGTACATAATTTATTAGACATGTCACATACATTTTGCTACAGTCCAGTCCTTCTACAGTGATTAAAGTGAGTGATAGCTTGAACAATGACAGTAAAGCGAGTAGGAGTACATCGAAGTTCTTCACTTTAAAAAGCATCCACACCGCGACAGCCACCACCAACCTTCTCTCGAGAAAGAGAACGCAATCGGGAGCTGTCCACCAGACAGTACGGAATAGACACTGGTCAGATCATCTCGCACGGGACTATAAATAGCGAGGTAGGGAACAAGAAAAGTGGAGACCAGCTGGAAGGGTAGGATAGGTGGAATCCTGCGAAATCCGTCTGACACCCTGGCGAACAACGCGGGAGAGCCTTGCTGGACAGTAGATCGAGCTGAAGGAGGCGACACAAACAGCTGCTCAAAAGCATACACCAAGACCCTTGAGCCTTAAGCTTCGCTGTCAAGGAAAAAAAAAATAATAAAAAAAATGCCCGGATGCCCAGCAAAACTATGATTTCCAATGAATGCCTCTTTCCCGCGGTTGGCTGGACCCAGCAAAATCTTTTCCCCCCCCACGAGGCAGTGTCCACAATCGACGTGTCTTGGCAGGTACCGAGCATACCAACACATGACAGAATTTTCCAGGGTTGTTTTGCTATCTTTAAGAGAGTATGAGTACATACAGTATGCTCAGCGACCAAAGCAGAAAATAAGGAACTACCGAAAATCGACAGATAAGCCCCCCCCTCATCACGATGCTCACATATAGCTTCCAGCCAGCCACCAACACAGACAAATCGACAAATGGACAATCAGCAATCGGCAATCAATCTCAGCTGAAAAACTTTGCTGGGATAGTGGACCCCCAACGTGATCGAGATTCGATAGTTCCCAATCCCCGTCCCGAGCACACGCGCACCAAACCCCAATCCGGTCAAAGCAAATGAACATCCGCCTCCACTTTTTTCAATATTTAATCTAAATCGGCCCTGACGATCCTCTCCCCTCTCCTTTCAAGGAGAAATAAGGTCGTGTTCTGCAGGATGTGGGCGGAAGGAATGGATGCATCGGTGTCGTACCTGGGATTGGCATTTTCGAGGGGTGATCTCTGGGTCATCCAGTGTCAGCTGGGGGATTTTGGGTAGATAGATAAAGGAGCGAAGGTCTTCTTCTCCCCTCAGGGTCTTTTTTTTGTGTCTTTCTGGTTGGTGTGGGTTTCTCAACTTAAAATCTCGAACAGAACCGTTCGCTGCTGTTGTTCTCTATCACAGAAAAGAAAAGAAACAAGAACGCAAGGGACAATGCATATCCCCACCCTCCTAGCCACCGCCGCCGTCGGCTTCGCAGCGACCGCCCTGGGCAGCAGCATCAACGACTTCAGCTGCCGCAGCACCACCCACCCGAACCCGGTCGTCCTGCTGCACGGACTGGGCGCGACCTTTTACGAGGACCTGAACTACCTGCAGGGCTGGCTGCAGGCGCAGGGGTACTGCACCTTCGCGCAGACCTACGGCGCGTACGCGGGGTTCCCCTTCGTGGGCGGGCTGCGGAGCATCAACGAGTCCGCCGGCGAGATCGCCGCCTACATCCGCGAGGTGCACGCGCAGACGGGCGCCGCCAAGATCGACCTGGTCGGCCACTCCGAGGGCGCCTTCCAGTCGCTGTACGTGCCCAAGTTCGAACCCGGGGTTGCGGACTTGCTGGACAAGGTGGTGGCCATCGCGCCGCCGACGCGCGGCACCACCTTCATCGGCCTGTATAACCTGGCGTATCTGTTCGGGAATGTCTCCCGCGAGGCCATCGGCGAGGTGCTCGATACGCTGGGGTGTCCCGCGTGCGATGAGCTGGGCCCCGATGGCGCGGCCGTCGAGCGGTTGAACGATGGCTCCCCAATCGTGCAGACTGGGAATAGCTTGACTGTGATTGCGTCCAAGCTCGATGAGATGGTCACGCCGACGAGTACCTCGTTTGTGCACGAGGACAACGTGCGGAACGAGTGGGTGCAGGATACCTGTCCGCTGGATCCGGTGGGGCATATCGGCGAGGCTTATGATTTGAATGTGTGGAACCTGGTGAAGAATGCGCTGGATGACACGCCGGATCGAAAGTTCGTGTGTCTTTTGGGGTCTCCTGGGAAATAGACTATGGATTGACGAAAAGAAAAGGTTGGATTTGTACAGTCTAGCGGGAACATGTGGCAGTGTATATAATGTATAATGGAATCACAATCATGGCATATAATTCGAGTTTAAGCATTCTGCGTCTTCTCTTGATTCAGGGATGACGAGTCGGATGAGGTTGAGCTCCCTTTCCCCTGCACCAAATTGTGTCCGTCCCTGAGACAACATTAGCCGCGGTCACGGACTTGAGTGGGTGGACATACCCGAGCTTCTTGCTTGGGAGCACGAGCGTTAAGATTACGACTGGAGCAGAGAATGCCAGGGCCGCAATCGTTATAAGCCTGCCATGGTTAGTGCAAGTCATGCATGAAGGCAATAAGAGAACAAACCCCATGACATCAGAATACTGCGCAAGGTTAGCAAGAAGTGGTCGGCGTCTAGTACTAGGCATAGGCAGCACTCACAGCTCGATTGATTGCCACCCGCTCAGGGGACCCCCAAGCCGGCAATGTGCCCGTGATCGAATTGTACAGCTTTTCCACCTTGGCTTGGTTTACATCAGGCCCAAGGTGCAACCGTAGCTGGTGGCGTAGTTCGCCTGAGTAGATCCCACCTGCAATGGAAGATCCGATCCCGTTGCCGAGGTAGGCAGCCAGCATGACCAGAGATGTGACCTGGGCCATCTCGGCATGAGAAACGGCGATCTGAGCGGCCACTACAGCCACTGTCTCGATGATGCCACTGCCGATTCCCTGGACGAGCTGCACAATCACAAGCTCTGCAACCGAGCTTTTGTTCGTGCGTAGGCGAACCATCACCCCATACCCGACCATGCGAATCACCGCACCTGCCACGCCGATCCACTTGTAGGAGCGCAAGCGATACATGACCAGGCCTGTCGCCATGCCTACCAAAGCTTGCATGACCCCATTGACATAGTACAGGAATTGCGCATCCCGCGCATTGAAATTGTGGGAAACCATTGACCAGACGAACAAGTAGGTATGTGTAGCACCGAAGCTGATGTTGTCGACTGCAACCAGAACCACTGGGATGAGAACGGTTAGATTCCAGATGTAGTGGACTGGGACGACAGGATGCCGGGCGACATATTTCTCATATGGGTAGAGGCACGCCAGGATGATCGCGCCCACGGCAATGAGAGCATCCACCCAAGGCGTCTTCCACCTGTCTGCAATGGTGGCAGCCAATGTTATTGGGATCAAGATCAGAGAAAACCCCCCACTGAGTAAGATCAAGCCGCCCAGGTCGATGCGCGAGCAAAACTCATAGATGCTCAGCGGCTCGGTCAAAACCAGTCCGGCCTTCTTAGCCCGCCACTGAAAGATAAGAAGGGTGGTAATGATGAAGCTAGCACCAAAGGGCATCAGGATGGCAAACATGCCGATTCCCCATCTCCAGCCGATTCCATTGACGACGCTGTCTACAATGAAAGCGGAGACCCACGGGGTCACCAGAAAGGGGACATAAAGAATGTTGTACGCAAAGCCTCTCCATCGCATTGAAGAGAGATCCGACACTATGGTAGCGTTGAGGAAAGAAGTCCCAGCTTGACCAACAGAGTAGAGGACATAGCCGCCAGCGTAGGTATCGAAGGATTGAGAAGAGGCACAAAGGATGTAGGACAAAATGTAACACGAGACAGCGAAGATATATGCCTCTCCGCGACCAAGGACATCGGATATCTTCGCGATTGGCGGTTTCGTGACGGCGGAGATAATGCTGGCCGCTGTGTTGAGGGTGGCGAGCTTTGACAGCGCATCAAAGTCCGATGTTGCAAAGTTGCGATAAGTGCCGACGGTCGCGTTGTCCAATTCACTATAGAGTTTGGATAAGATGATGAGCAAACATTTCCCAATGGTGATGCATAAGACTTACTAGATGACCATCATCATCGCCAACCTGTTGCTGTCAGCATAAACCTAATCTCTTCATTCCATAGAAGGTATCACACATACCCCGCATAAAGCAGATACCTGCCCTTCCTTCCACCCACAGCTTCTGCAGCCTGGATCTTGGCAGCCCCAGTGCTATCCTGCGTGGCTGGGGTGGACTCCACTACCGTAATGTCGATATCATCCGCCTTCCAATCCAAGTATGATGGGGAACCCTGGATCTTTCCGTGGTTTTCAGGGGATCGAAAATACCGTCGCCAACGGGCCATTGTAATGACAGGCTTTATTCGCGAGATCCACGGTCAAATGATACCGTCCGTGATAAGCGTTCAATCGGGGTCCGAGGAATGTCGGTGGTTCCGGAATGCTGCCCAGCAAGTGCTATGGTTCTGGTCCGTTTGTTCCTAGCCGTCAACCACACATCAGCCAGCATCAAGAAGAGTTTTGTGTGTATCGGAATCTGCTCGATAATAGCAGTAGGAAGTGCTGTGCCTGCTACCTGCAGAAGAGGAGCGAAGAGAAGAGAGGATGAATCACCGGATTAGCCGAAAACATCAGCTAATGAATGTGACAGAAGCCCGGTGGGGGAGTCATGGCCAGCAAGGGAGTTAGAGCGGCGTCTCTCCGACCGTGCGGATCCTGGTGAAGATCGACAACTATGGGATCATGCTGCAAACATCAGCACGTTATCAGATCATTGCCAATTGGAGCCGGATAGCTCGGAGTAACTCTCCATGATGAGGTGGACGATTAAGTCCATGTCCATGATTACTGATAAGGTAGCCGTTTCGGGCAGTGCGTGCGGGGCAAGCCTTGGATTCACTGCGGAGTATTCGTTTAACTATGGAGTAGACAATTTGTCAACTGCAACTGCACGATTGAGTGGTTGATTCCAACTCCTATCAAGCTTCCTCATCATATTTCATTTGCTATTCATGGGAGCTGCAAGGTGTCCAGTCAATGTCGACGAGTCTCAATGCTATTACCCAATGCAGAAAGAGGTGGATGAATGTCAGCACGTGATCTGGCACGGGGTCGCGACGCGTTTGCACACAATGGCAGCGCAAGTCTTCTTCCTCCCTCTCCTCTCCAAGCAGTGTTGGGCTATACGGTGACTCTAACATCTTCTGGGCATTGAGTCAACTTGCTTAGAGCCACTTCCCTTTGTGGTGCGCGACACATTCTACTCACCATGGTCACCGGCCTGAGTCATGCATCCGAGACCGGCGAGGCGATGGAGTTGAAGATGCTACGACTTTGAGACAACACAAAGAAGGGGAGGAGAGTGTGGGCATGCTCTGCTCTGGATTGGTCACTTGACATGAAGACAAGAGTTGTTAGCTCGCCCTCGTCTGAAGGATTGCCTCCGACACCAGCCCAAATCGCCTGCAAAGCCAGTCCTCCATTAGCGACTATCATGATGCGACCTGTGATGGCTAGAAACTATGAGAACGTGTCCGCCCGTGGCTCATGGGATTGCTATTCAACAAACCTAGGTATCAGTCGATGGACGTGTCTCCCTTACCTTCGAGACCCCTCCGTCATCGAGCTACCTTGGCAAACGTGCCACGGCGCAGACCGCACGAAATTCCTCGCCTTCATACATCATAGGAAACACACTACTGCAGGTGGAGCGACTACTACTGCTTCAGAAAACGAAAGCTTCACGAGGCCGCGAGACATGTCTTGACAAACGTTGCCACCAAATGGGGGGCTCACCTCAACTCGACCTGCGGGAGTTGACAAGGCCGCCTCGCTCTCGCACATTCTCGCTATGAAATATCACCAGTAGATAGATCGTTCGCAACACAGATGAGGGACATCATGGAGCGTTGCAGACAAGGCACCAATCTGTGCGAGACTTTTCCAGACATATGTCGCCAATGGAGCATGATCTTGGGGCTGTGCCTGATGAGCACATTTGGCCTCCGCCAAGGGGGCGATCAAAGTGGACGCGACCTTTAATGAAGTCAGAACTCATATAACACATCGCCGCAAGGGACAGTAATGCGCAGAGTGTAGCAAACCTAGCCAAGAACGTCTGTTAGCGTCCTCCAAGGACAAACTTTGACAGCGCACATACACAGTACATAGTTCGGATTGAATCCCCTAATGTGACCCACCCTCCGGGTGGTTATCGGACAGATAAAGCCGGCCGACCCATTATTGATTGGGGGGAAGCGCAAATCGAGGGCGCAGAGTGGTGGACTACCTCTCTAGTACTATGTAGTATGCACCATCACAAACTGAATGTGAGGGAGCAACCAGCGAATGACTGAGGGGCACTGGCATCCACTTGAGCTGCAATCGACGATAGCGGCTTATGCTCGAGACACATTTCAACCCAAATCTGACAGCTGATCTCTCCCATTTCTGGCCCTGATTGGAAATCTCTCGCTCTCCATTTGTGGGCCAGCTTGAAAACCTGCAGATGATAGATAGTGGCTTGCTCCAACGCTTAACAGGAAACCGGATGAAGTTTGCTTTGCACCTTAGCCAGCAGCCTCTCAGCCAACAACCATGTCTACTGCGCATTTATCTAGCGGGCCCCTCCTGTCCCGCAAGACATATTCAATAGTGAGGTCGTGGTTGTCTTCCGGTCTTACAGGCTAGTGCGACCGATGGAACGTCTCAAGACTGCCGGCATCGCAACCCCTCCGGACCAGCGGCTTCTGTCAACGGGGACCAATGTAATTCCACGGTTGCGCATAACCAACTCTCTATGGGTCGTACTAGTGTGCCTCGCTGGGTATGCATGGTGGATGCTACCTGTGTCGACGCGCAGCAACACATCCATAGAGCTTTCACAATCAGAATTTACGTGGAGTAAGGTACGTCGATGTGTACAAGCTGGTATCAATCTGACGCTAACCAAAAATTCAGATCACCCCATCCACATCGCTGCAGTATCATGATTGCTTCGATGGGTTCCAGTGCGCCCGGTTGGAGGTGCCCATGGATTACCATCGCTCGGATGGTCTCGGCCAGCGCTTTGCGATTGCCATCACTCGTCTTCCGGCAAAGGTGCCAGTGACAGACCCACGCTACGGCGGTGCAGTACTGGTCAACCCGGGTATGCCCTTTTCTCTACTATCCTCAACACAGGGTCTAATCATGGCGAATGCAGGAGGCCCTGGAGGTTCTGGAGTCGCCGAGGTGCTCATTGACGGGAGAAATCTGCAAGCCACGATGGATGCAGAGGCAGATCCCAGTCTTGAGCCGCTTGGAGACAGCGTGCGCGACAAATACTACGATGTCATCGGATTCGATCCTCGTGGGGTGAACAATACGACACCGGGCTTCAGTTGCTTTCCGAACATATTCGCACAAAGGAATTGGGAGTTGCAGGTGGCGGCCGAAGGCATGCTGGGAAGCGCAGACGGCGCGTTTCGTCGCAACTGGGAGCGTTCGGTCGCTCTCAATATGGGATGCTCGATCAACTTGTCCACACCGTTCGAGGATGGAGAGGAGGCCCTGGGAGAACACATGAACACGCTTCCGGTCGCTCGGGACATGTTGGAAATCATTGAGCGGCATGGAGAGTGGCGTGAGAATCAAAGTATAGAAGCACTGCGACGGCAGGATCGAATCAACGGTAACGACCAGCACCAGGAAATTGTGGCTCAGACAAAGTGGAAGCGAGGTCGAGAAAAATTGTTGTATTGGGGCCGATCCTACGGGACTGTCTTAGGCGCGACATTCGCCACACTTTTCCCCGATCGCGTAGAACGTGCTGTGCTGGATGCGGTGGTCGACGCGGACAAATACTATTTTGATGATGGCCTCAGCGCCATTGAGGATGCCGATGCTATCTTCGATCGGTTTGCGCAGTACTGCGATACGGTCGGACCAGAACAGTGTCCATTCTACATCTCAGGTGGAGCACCGGCCATCAAACAAGCGTATCTTGACCTGGAGGATGCATTGTATAATGCGTCACTGCCCGTCATAGCATCTCCTACTCGAGGTCCGGAACTTGTGACTTGGAGCGACCTGAAAAACATCCTGCGCCTGGCCATGTACCAGCCCATACAGGGCTTTCCACCTCTTGCCCAGTTTGCAAGTGAATTGGCCCGAGGAGATGGATCGGGAGTAGCGGATATGAAGAGTAGCGCTCGCGCTCCGTCGTGTCCTTCTGATCAATGTGTTCAAGCCGGGCCATGGTCGGCAGTTTGCCAGGTGCCGGGTCAGAACGAGGCATATGCCAGCTCAGCGGTGCTGTGTACGGATGCAGTCTACCTGCAGAATACGGATGAAGAGGATTTCCATCGATACTGGAAGGCCCTGCAAGAGGATAGTTCCATGATTGCAGATTACTGGGCTAGTCTGCGCATGGGATGCGTGGGGTGGGATATTTCACCCAAATGGCAACTCAAAGGTACGTCCTCTTGTTGCATGCACCTTTTCCATTGGTCTAATGTCGCATAGAACCCGTAGGGGGCAATACGTCCCACCCATTGCTTTTTGTAAACAACATTCTAGACCCGGTGACACCTCTGCGCAGGTGAGAAGTCCCCCTTGCCTCGTTACAACTCCTACTAAAGGGGCATAGTGCTCAGAAAATGTCACAGAGGTTTCCTGGCTCGGTAGTACTGCAGCAGGACTCGGAAGGAGTAAGTGCGAATCGCAAATTCATAACTGCAGAGGGTGCGTAGAGACTGACAAGCCGCAGCATTCTACTTTGGCCGCTCCGTCACTTTGTGTCGACCAGGCAATTCGAAAGTATTTCCAAACGGGGGAGCTGCCACTGACTGTTACGGTCTGCGAGGCCGACCTGAAGCCAATGATTGGCATCCCTACAGTCAAACGGGGGATCAGAAGCAGGAGCCAGAGCGATCAGAAACCGTATGAGATGCTCAAAGCAAAGTCGCGCGGGTTACCGTGGACGCGATTGCCATTGTAGCGGATGTGATTGGGAACCGCCGGTGTGGGCCTTGTGCTCCCTTATCATGGATCATGGACTATCTCGCGGTCTCAAGGGTTGTTGTATATATCGAAGATAACAGCAATTGCACATCTCTAGTTGATATGCCCCTGATTACATCCGATTACATCCCCTCCCATTAGGAGTTCTACATCGAATCAGCTTACAATCTTCGTTTCACAGATACTGCCGTGTCCTAGAGAAATCCGCCAATATTCGCCACGTCTGACCTCAAACTGGATGATAAGGATTGATCAACAATGGCCTCGCCCCAAGCGTCCAGTGGAGACGATTCTCCGCACTCGACCCAAGAATGCGACGCGGAGTAGCCTCGGTCGCAGGCCAGGATCGGTTATGCTACCCCGCCTAAGGCGGCAGCAGCACACCATAGTCAATCCAAAGGCGTGCATGAGGTGTCAATGCAGGAGCATATAAACCTAGGGGTGGGTGTCTAACTTATAATTACTAACCTCCGACCCTTCATTGCACAGCGACCACGCAAGCAGTCCAAATTCCTTTTTTCATCCACCATCTCGAAGCACAGTACGCCCTCACCATGGCACCTCCCAGCTCAACCGAGACATCGGCGACCCAAACGTCCCAAGTCACCCTTCAGACCCGCCAATCCTCCCAAGAGGATGGCATGGAGGCGGCGACAGTGAAGAACCAGACCTCCCAATACCCCAAGCCCCCTGTTTTCGAAGACAAGTACAAGGAACGAGAGTACCTCAAGGGCCGACTAGCCGCTGCATTCCGCATCTTCGGGAAGAATGGATACGATGAGGGTAATCTCGCCTTTATTTATTTTAATCACTTCTCTACACTTTGCCTCTCTCTTCTCCCTCCATCAAGTCTGATCTCCTTGCAGGCGTGGCCGGCCACATCACTCTTCGCGACCCTGTCGACCCCACCACCTTCTGGGTGAACCCGTTCGGCGTCGCCTTCTCGCAGATCAAAGCCTCCGACCTCATCCAGGTCAGCCATGAAGGCAAGATCCTCGACGGGGGGCCTGTCCGCCTCCTCAACGCTGCAGCCTTCATGATCCACTCCGCGATTCATGCCGCCCGGCCCGACGTCCTGTGCGCTGCGCACAGCCACAGCATCTACGGGCGATCGTTCTGCGCCCTCGGTCGGCCATTGGACATCATCACGCAGGACTCGTGCGCGTTCTACAACGTATAGAACCTCTTATCCCCGCCATCTATCGCAGAAAGTCAAGCTAATTTAGGGGGCGATACAGGATCACGTCGTCTACAAACAATTCAATGGGGTCGTGCTGTCGGAGGACGAAGGACACAACATCGCGAAGGCGCTAGGGAACAAGAAGGCGGCGCTGCTGCAGAACCACGGCCTGTTGACCGTGGGCACGAGCATCGAGGCGACGGTCTTCTGGTTTGTCAGTCTGGAGAAGTGCTGCCATGCGCAGCTGTTGGCCGACGCGGCGGCGGCGGGGCGCGGCGGGGCGACGATCAAGATCGATGATGCCGATGCAGCGTTCACATACAAGACTGTGGGGAGGCCCGGGTCGGGGTATTTCAGTGCGAAGCCGCTGTTCGATGTGATCCATGAGGAGACCGGGGGAAGTTATTTGCTGTAGACCTGGTAGCATACTTATACTGTTTAATGTTTATATATGCGGCTACGTCGGTGGCATACGAGGAACGTAAATGCATGATTTGACGCTCAAGGCATTCGATTATATTGAGACAATATCATAATCTCTATACATATGTGCATATCATATACTCCTCCCCTACTCATCCTCCTCATCCTCACTCAACGCCTCCCCATTCTCCTCCGCCTCCCTCCTCCGCTGCGCCTGCTTCTCGGCCTTCCGCTCCAACAACCTCCTCAACTTCTTCGACGAATTAAACACCCCATTCGTCGCCGCCCCGCACGCCGCGCAACTCGGGTCCTTCCGATACCGCTTCAACGCGCACGCCTCGCAGAAGTAATGCCCGCACTTGGTCACAATCGGCTCGCGATACGGGCCCTGACAGATGATGCACGCAAACGGGATCTCCTCCAACTCGGCATCCTCATCGTCCATCTCCCTCTCCCCAGCTCCGCTTCCTCCTCCGCGTGCCCGGTCCGACACCACCGTCCCAACCACCTTCTTCCCCTTCGTGACATTCTCCCACTCCTTATCCAACTCCCAACCCGCCTTGTAATCCGACCGATCGTGCAGGAACTTGCAGTTGTCGCCAAACCCACACCACCCCGTCAGCTTGTAGTCCTTGCACACTTCCGGCGCGTAGTCCGTGAACGTGGTCATGCGCACGTTGGTGGGGGCGCGGACGGGACCTACGGCCTTTTTTGTGGGCGCGTCCGGGTTACGTCTGATGAAGGTTTGTTGGGTCTGGTGCGCGAGGCCTTTGTAGGTTCCGTCGGGTTCTTGAGGGAGGGAGGTTTGGGGGTGCCGGGTTTCGCCCAGGAGGCTTTCTGCGCTGGTGGTATCGGTTTCGTCGTACCAGTTGGATTGTTTGGTTGCGTCGTTGGTGTTGGGGAGGAGCGGCGGCGCGGTGTTTGTGGATGTGGAGACGGAGGAGGGGTCGTTGGGGGTAGTGGTGTTGCGTTGTGTCGCAGCGGAGGAGGCGCTCACGACGCCGGCGTTCTTCTTGCGGCGCTTGATGTTGGTGGTTTCGTCGGAGGAGAATTCGTCGGAGGAGGAGGCATCAGAGGCGGAGGGCGGCGTGGCGGCGCGTTTCTTGCGCAGGTTCGTTTGGGCTTTGGCGCCGCGTTTTTTGAAGAGTGGTGCTGGTGCTGATGCTGGTGCGGCTGCAGCTGCGGCGCTTGGGTCTTGCGTGTCTGTCATTTTGTTTTGGGTTCTGGGTGAGAGATTTGGGATGTGTTAGTGACGATGTACTGGAGGTGCAGTGCGAGGAGTTTCTTATCCGGGAATGGGAGATCCAGGCGGTGGCACGACACGTGATGATAGCGGGCTCTCGAGGGATGACTCAGGCAGCAATACTGCTCTTATCGCTAAGCAGTGAGTCTGGAAAGTTCGAGTGGCGAGGTACTGTACCACTCTTACCACTCTCAGCTTGCTTGTACCTCCGTCCATCTATTGGTGCTGTGCTTTTGTTATCCCATCATTAACAGTCGTTTTCTTGTATTATGCCTATTTCTACAGGTCTTTTCGAGCAATCCAGCGAATTCTTGCCTAATGCTTTATTCTGTGGATAACCGGAATCGAGAAGAGATATATAGGCCAACAGTAGGGATCTTCGAGGGATAATGAATGTAATATTTACTTATCAAGCGACTTTGAACTGATGCTTGTCACCCAGTGATGACGATATTCTGACCAGGGCACCACAGATAGGATAATGGTAGTCGAGTGCCTAATTCTTTCTCAAAATCAACGGGCAGAATGAATCCAACTTCCACAATTCAGATAAGCAACTGGACCTGAGAGAGCGAGATCACGACTGCGGTTAAACCTTCGGTTTGTGACGAGAAGACCGGTCTTGTCAAACGTCCCTGTAAGCTACCAAGCGCTGCTTTCATGTACTCGAATCATCAAGGTAGTGAGATGGCCGATTGATTCACTACAGTACTGCCAACGGCTGTCCTGCACGCACTGAAAGTGCTCCTTCGTTCCCCTCTCTCCACACCATCTTGACTACGGGACTCGTCCGCTCAAAGATCTCCGGGCTCTGTTGCTCCGCCGTGATGGCCACCGCTTTCATCCGCCCGTATTGGAAGATTCTCCCTTGCGCCTGCTGCTCTCGAGGCCCGAACTGTAACAGATACCACTGACGGTCTTCGGGAGTAACAGCAGGAGCAGCATCCGAAGCCAGCAGGGCATTGGCACGCAGTGTCTCGGTCAGGGCCACCGGGAGAGCGCGACGTCGTGTCTGCCCACCTTGCGACTCTTCAGGGGAAATAACCTGGCTGTGGTCGGGCGGCAGCGGCAGGAGCAGCTGATCGGATGGCGAGGCATGGACCTCCGCCATCGGCTGGTGCTTAGGGAACGTTCTCCATGCGGGAGAAATACAGTCTGCTGAGTCGAGGAATCGGGCCAGCGTGCACGGAACACCGAGCGCCGCAGTGAAGTAAGCGACCAGGTCTGGCGAGTGGAACAGCCGGAGCAGGCCGGTTCCGCCCTCGAGCCCATCGAGCTTACCGAGGCTCGTTGCCTGGCACTGATAGAGATTTCCTTTGGGTGTCTGGACATCTCGACCGGGGTCATGTAAAGGCACAGCCATCGATTGCCGGAGTTTGGGGTTGCGCCGGCGCAGGGAGTGGTGCACGCTAATGCGCAGGATGCCGTGCACGGCATCGACCATCGGTTGGAGGAGTAGGAGTCGCGGTGCGTAGTCCCGGTCGAGGATCGATCCTGTCTGCAGGTTGAGCAGGCACCATTGTCGGTCCCATTGCAGGCCCGTTGAGGTGAGATGCCACGACTGTTGCACGGGGATCGTGTAGGCGGCGGCGCCGTGGATTGGATAGATCATCAGCGTGTGTACGTGAAGGTGCTGGGGTGCCGGAGAATTGGACGGAGGCGCCAGGGGAGGAAAGGCGCCTGCACCGAACAGATGGTGCACAAATCCTACAAAATGCTCGACGTCGCTTAGGGTGCTCATCGCCCCAAGGCTCACGCGGATGATGCCTGAAGGCTTATGCCCCACAAGCACGCTGCGACAGCCACAACGTACTCCCGCCGTGTAGTTCTGGAACAGCTCCCATTCCTCCAGCTGGAGGAGCTTTGCGAGTCCGCCAGGGTTGCAGACTGAGCCTGTGCGAAGATGGATGCGGTGCTCGTTGGCCGCCTCTTCGACGTGCGAGAGCCGGAGCCATCGACCCTCATCGGAGCGGATGTTGAAGGCGACTATGGACCCCTGGGTCGTACTGTCGCCGTACTCCGCCGATGGATCTTGGCAGATCTCACACATCTTGACGCCGTTATGGTGGCGAAGCGAGGAAAGCGACTGGTAGAGGTGTGCTGTAAGCCGTGTGGTGTGGTGAGACACGTGCTCCTGAGATGTGTACAGCTGCTTGTGGGTTGTCAGAGCACACCCCAGAGCCAGGATGCTATGAAAAGGGACTGTTCCATCCTCAAGTATCTCGTGGATGCGGGATGGGTTCCTGGAATGCCAGGGATGGTCGGAGCAAGTGACCATTTCAACCGTGCCTCCGCCAAAGTAGGGTCGCTGCACGAGAGCCTGGGCGGATCCCTTACGCACAATCAGTCCTCCCAGGTCAGGGAATCCGAAGATCTTATAAAAGCTGACGGCTGTAAAGTCGGGGGCTCCATCGGGGTCCCGGAAGTAGTCCAGCGACGCAGTGGGAGCCAGTGCAGCAGCATCCAGCAGGGTGAAGACTCTCTGGTGAGAGGCGTATTGTGATTGTCGGAGACGGCCCGGCCAATGAAGAGGGAGCCGTCGTCCGGTCATGTTCGACTGTCCTGGATATGCAAACAAACCGACCTGAAACGTGTTGGAGGTTTGTCCTGGACATCGATCGGTCTTGTCCCTGGCGGGATTGGGCCGGATCCAGGCCTCGACTTCGCTATCCGACATGAAGCAATGTTGCCCGGCATCAGCCAGTTCACGTAGTCCCACAACGCTCGTGTGAGATTCGAGATGATACCCCACCCAGAGTCCGGGCCCCTTGAACGTCTTCCCAGGGCTATCGGAGACAGGCGGATGGGTGAGACCCTCGAGAACCAATTTGATAGCCGCGGTGGCGTTCATGACAAAGACCAGATCGAAATGCTCCGGGTCGGCGCGAAAGAATGCCAGTGTTTGCTTCCTGATCTCATCGACCCTTTCGGTTGACAGCCGGGAGGATCGTGAGTCTGAGTGTGGGTTCCCGAACAGATTGCTCGACATCTCGTTCATGAAGCTCGTCAAAGCAGACTGCGCATAGAGAGTGGTGCCGGTATGATCCAAGTATGTCTCGTCTACATAGGTACATTAGTCCACAATTGGGGCATAGGGAGCCATAACAGTTGTCAGGGTGTACCTCGGAGCATTGGGTATTCACTCTCCCTCAGTGCGTCAGCGTCATAGGGAATGAGGTCGATTGGTTCTTCCATTCTTAAAGTCTTCCTCTTCAGCAGGTTGAGAGTGAAAAATGGAAGAGGTGCACAAGGATGCAGAAACTGATGTACAGACAAGGGAGGCTGAGTGCAAATGACTAGGATCTTTGAGCTTGACATCAGACCTGGCTCTGTACCTCGCTCTATATAATTGGCAACTCGCCCAGTGATGTCAGCAACCTCTGGTAGGTGGCCACTGCACCGCGGGGTAGTCTGAAAGGAACTTACAGTCTCGCACTTCCGGCTACGGTCGCTGAATCAAGGGTGGCGTTTCTTACTGAAACTGGGTACTTGCAGAAACAATGACTCTGTTTTGTGGCAGGGAGGTCGGACGATCGTGTCTTTCCTTCGTGCGCCAGAGGTTGAGGAGGCATAGAGCGATCGGTTGATATAATGTTGCCCGTTTATCTGCGACAGGTAGATGCACTTCGACAAGACTGGTATATCCTGGGGCTGTCCTCAAAGACAATTGGCAGGCATCATCGGGGACCAGAAGCGCGGAGTCGCCGTTCAGGGAGATCGGATATCCGGCGAACACAAATGACGTGAATATTCATAGTCCTTGACAGTATAGGGTAACTTGTAGACATATAAGTTGGATCTTATTGTCCCGTCACCAATCTTCCTCGATGGCATCAAGAACCGACACATAACCGCGAAGCAACAGAAGTATAATCTAGAGATACAACCACCTTCTTTTTGTCTTTTTATCTCAACATGGCGCAAGCTGGTACTCCTCTTACCCAAGAGAACACCTCTCGACTACTCAAGCATTTCAGTGGTGAAGGGCCCCCCGCCAACGACCGTTGGGCGGCCTTGTGGGATGCAGGTGACTTCCTGCCCTGGGACCAGGGAATCCCTAACCCAGCGCTCGTGGACCTGTTTGGCACCCGTCAGGACCTCGTGGGCGTCTCTGCTTTCATTGAAGACGAGACAGGAGAACGCCGTCGGAAGCGTGCCTTGGTCCCCGGCTGCGGGCGTGGCTACGATGTCCTTTTCCTGTCCAGCCTGGGTTATGACGCCTATGGCCTCGAAGTGTCAAGCAAGGCCGTGGACGAGGCAAGGGCCTGGGCAGACGAGCACCTGGCCGACTATCCTGTCCGCGCTGAGAGCAGTAGCCGTGGGAAGGCCAGCTTTGTCCTCGGGGACTTTTTCGCAAACGACTGGATAGTCCAAGCGGATGGCCATGACACGTTTGACTTCATCTACGACTACACAGTAAGGTTATACCCGTTTTTCCTTCCCCGAAACCCCAGTTCCCTTGGTGTTGAATTTGGGTTCCATTTCCTGCGGTATGCTGCAGGAGAAAACGATGTCGCAACCGGAAAGCTCTATAGCGTGCTTCCTGCATCTGATTTTATGAGATTATTCACCCATTGTATCTTGTCACTGACAGGAAGAACAGTTTTTCTGCGCCCTTAGTCCCGACCTCCGCCCTGCGTGGGCCCAGCGATACTGGGAGTTGCTTTCCACGCACCCGGAAAGCACGATTGTCTGCGTCGAGTTCCCCACCACCAAGAAGTCATCCGCCGGGGGCCCGCCGTATGCCTCTCCGTCATCGGTGTATCTGGCACACCTGGGCTATCCTGGGCGGGAGATCATCTATGACGTGGATGGAAGCCCCTCACTTGAGGAAGAAAGTGTTCAGTCCGTCGGATTCTCCAGAATCGCTCATTGGAAAGCAGAACGGTCGCATGCGATGGGAAATGGCACGGATTGGGTGAGCGTGTGGAAGCGTGGGATGTAAGGAGGTGGGGTGTGGAATACAGTCCTAACGCCTATCATTATGATCTCTCTCTGCTGTGGACATACTCGGTAAATACTCGGTAGTTCAGTTTAGTGAATCGAGAATGCCACTTGGCAAGGGTGTGGTGTTCGTTTCGTTTTTCTTTTCCGTGAGATATGCAGGAGAGCCATTCTAGTCCTCGGAACTTCAGAACCGAGCGAGCGGATTCGTCCCCATCGCCGGGGGGGTTTCCAGCGAGGGAGGGTAGATGCATGCATGCATGCATGCATGCCCGGAAATCGCTTCCCTCGGCATTGCCGCATCCAGTTTGGTGCAGACGGTTGCGTAGCCAGAGTGTCTCGTGGCACCCATCTCATAGTTTCAGGAGTAGTTGTTGAGTCCAAGACTGTCATGGGAGGTCTGCAGGGCGGCTGGCCCTAACTCGTGGATCGACGTGCCACTGACCATGGTTTTGTCGCCCGGCCTCTACATACGGAAGGATTTGATGGGTGAATATAAGTGGAGACGTTGCGGAGGGACTTTCGACGTAGTTGCACTTCCTGCACTTCCATCTAAAGCTATCGCATTTCAGCCGGCCAGGTTGCCAGATCGCGGGGAAATCAATTTGTAGAAGAGCTGTAATTGCGCATCTGGAGTTCGGAGCCCACGGCGCTCCAACACGGGCATTGTATCCGGCGCTGATCAGCATAAAGCAGATATAAGTTAGCAGGTGCTGCTTTCTTTCATGACCGGAGCACAAATCACCTGGGAACCTGTTCGCCCGGCTTCTCTCAGTGAAAATGGTTCACCCGCAAGCTTTATGAGTCGAGATCTCTGTTACAGGACCTGTAACTATTCAAGGCGCACTCCTCGGCCCCAAACTCACACATCTCTAAACTCATTTTTCTTTTATTGCCTTTAATTTTTCCTTCTGCCATTGCTGCAATACTTGCCGACAACTTACGGTCGATCGCAGTCTCGATGGACTTGGGGTAGCCGGATCGTAGGCTCTATCTGATGGAGCGATGCTGTGGTGTTTCCAAAGTCTGAGCCGTAAACCCTGAAAATTCCATTCTAAGTGCGAACATGGACGTGCAGATGATATCCATGCCTTTGTACGCAGACGCATGTTCGGTATAACAGCCGCGTCTCGGGCTAGGGAAAGTGTAATACGACAGGCTTGGGGACTATATCAAACTAAGGATTACCTAGGAGCTCCACAAGCCAGAGGTAGAGGGTTAATAGGTTAGTTACATCTGAAGGGAGTGGGACCATGAGGCTTGTTGACCTCCTGTTCCCACCAGAGGCTGTGCTTAATCTCCGCAGCACAAACAGTGTCCAAATTAGCGCCAAATGCAAGCTCCACATGGCGGGGAACTGTTAATATCCATATGATTGTACTGTACTGTATAATGATCTCCAACCGATACACGATACAGTCAGAACCAGAACACGCTAATTGCACCTATTAGTGGAACCTACCCCTTCTGGTAAGGAAAGAGGCTGACGCACTAGCTGTAAGGCACCCCCTTCCCACCTAACTCTGTCGTTGACCGAATATAAATAGTTTCTTGCGCCGAATCTCATTTTCTTTTGTCTTCATTGCTTCACACTTACCCAAATTCTCTTGCTCACTCACTGCTCTCTTTCCCCATCACAGAATGGCCCCTCTTGTCCTCCTCACGGGTGCCACCGGCCTAATTGGCTTCCGCGTTCTACAAGAACTCCTTCTCAAGAGCGACTACAAGATCAGAATCACCGTGCGCTCTGAGGAAAAGGCCCAGCTCATCCTCTCGAATCCTGTCATCCAAAAGGTTAATCCCGGTGACCGGCTGACCTACGCTATCGTCCCGGACATCCTTGCGGAGCATGCATTTGACGTCGCGTTGGAAGATGCGACGTACGTGATCCACACGGGGTCTCCAGTGCCGGTGCCCGGCTTCGACTCTCTCACCCAAGTCTGGAAACCCACCGTCGAGGGCACTGCCAATCTGCTGAAGTCCTCCCTCAAGTTCCACACCATCAAACGTGTCCTGGTCACCTCATCCATCGTCGCCAACATGGCCCCCATGCCCGACCCCTCCGTCACCGTCACCGCCACCTCCCGCGTGACCCTGCCTGGAGTCCCCGATACCTTCTCCAATGTTTTTGAGGCCTACGTTCTGGCCAAGATCACGGAGCTTAACGACACGGACGCTTTTATTGAGCAAGAGAAGCCGCCGTTCTCGGTGGCCCGCGTGATTCCCGGCTACGTCTACGGGCGCGATGAGTTGGTGCTGAGTGCCGACGAGGCCATCGCCAAGAGCAGCTCCTGTGGGATACTGCTGCGCAGTGTGACGGGGATTGACTGCCCCGCCCCCATCCACGGCGGGTATGTCCACATCGATGATCTGGCGCAGGTGTATCTGAAGGTCCTGCAGCTGGACTCCGCCGCGGGGGGCCTGAACAGCTTCGGTGCTTGCTCGCTCGTCAACTATGCAGACGCGTGGCGCATCGTCGAAAAGAATTTCCCCGCCGCGGTGGCTGCCGGCCAGCTCAAGCAGGCCAGCTTGCCTACCCTCCCTATCGCCTACGATTCAACTGTGACGGAGCGCGCTCTGGGGGTGAAATTCCGGCCGTTTGAGGACGCGGTCAAGGATGTGGTGAGCTTTTATTTCGAGAAATTGGAGGCGGCGAGGGCCTCGAGCAGTTGAGATTGCTGTCTCTGCCGTGGGTGTTTTTGTAAACTAGGCACATAATGTAGTCAAAGAGCATAGATCTGAAGATTGGCAACTTTTGACGTCGAGAATTTATTTGAATGTGACTGAAATACATACACTGCTCACTTGCCTACAGGGCTGGCCTCGTAATCCAGGAAATGCTTGCTTCAGAAGGATTCCCCCTCTACTGGTCGGTCAATATGCCACCCATAACGGACCTTTATGAACTCAAGAGCCTCTGACCTTGCAACGGGATTCATATGAGAGCAGAATGACCTCTTACACAGCCTCTCACGGCTAATTGAGGTCCAATCCTCTTCCTGTAAGACACCCTCAAGGAGTTTGTGAGTGACAGGGATTGGCTCACAGACCGGCCCCAAACACAGGCTAGTCAAGTCAAGCCCCAGCTGGCCATAAGCACTAACATGTTAGTTCGTCTAGTCTAGCCAGCCACCTACGTGAGTTACTTGTAAATTTCAGCTGCGAGCAATATGTCCCTTCCGTAAATTTCACTTTAACACTATCACTGCAGCCGCCCTAATTGATGCTTCGTGCCACATCTCGCAGGTCCCACGTTATACGCGCAGTCGGCCGGAGGAGCCGAACCGAACCGCTCCGCTCTCCACCCGCCCGAAGATCCAACTACCGTGTGGGTTTTTGGTTGTAGTTTCCCCGCCTTTTTGACCAGGGTAGTTTACGGAGTACAAAAGGGATGGGATTTTTGCCGTTCGGCCTGGTACTGTTACTGCTTGGCTTATCTAGGAACTTGTTGATAATATGATTAATAGCAGGGAAGCCTGCAAGAGTCATTGAATCCTGATTGTACGGAGTATTAACAGGCCTATATGACCACTATTACGATTAGAAACCTGCCGCGGTCATGCTCGGTCCCACAGTTAGCCCACGACCTACTTGGACCAAGCCGCTTTGCTGAGAATAATTTTCTCCTGAGCCAGTCGATCAAACACCCGGAAATACCCATACGCCACCGGGTACTCCTCCGTGAATCCCACACTGCGGATCTTCTCCAGGCTCAGGTCGCGGTCGCGAGCCAGGAAGCTCATGCCTGCCGCCAGGAAGATCCATGTCGCCGCGGGGATCTCGCGCGGATGTAGATCGTACTCCTCACACATCTGCTTGTAGTCGTCCTGGTGCGCGATCCACCATTTGTCAGTGTCCGTCCAGCCCTTGACCTCGGGAGTGGGAGCCTGAGCAGTCAGACCGAAGTATTCGCACATCTTGGGCCAGACGATAGAGAACGGTGCGGGTGCGGCGTTGTCGGCCGTGTTGAAGGCCTCTCCGTGCGCCTGGTCCGGCTTCTCGAGCGAAAGGTAGAGCTCTGAGCGGGCGATGATATCCTGCGACGAGGGCGTATGCGAGTGGATGTAGTTCGCGTAGGAGCCGGGATAGACGGGTGTGGCTCCGGGGCCGTTCACGTAACGGTATAGCATCAGGTAGAGGGCGAGGGGCTCGACGTAGGTCATGCTGGTGGGGATCGGGACGTGGCCTGCCCATCGGCGGTGTCAGCGTCGGTCAGGATTCAGGAACTAGGAATGACGGACCTACAATCTGATCCGGTCGGACTTCGCACCATTTCCAGGACTTTCCCTTGTTGGCTTCCTTGACCAGATCGACCTGCGCATAGTAGAAGATCTCGTCGCCCCAGGGCGAAGGAATGCGCGGGTTATCCTCGCGCAAGGGAGGGCTGATCTCGATGTGTTCCTGGAAGCGGAAGACAGAGACTCCGTAATTGTGCGCAAGGTCAGCAGAAACCGCTGAGTGTTATTTGGACAGTAAATACGTTTGTTCCAGTTTGAAGCACAAAGAACTTCAGATTCTTGCACAGCTTATCGACGGCGTGCACGGCGTTATATGTCATTTTCACGTTGATATCTCGGATTGCCATCACATCCATCGACCATGCAGTCGCATTGGAGTAGGCTGGTATGATTAGACTGTGATTAATTCCTGTCAGGCTTCTTACGTACCAAGATAATACACGTGGGTGACTGCTTCTAGGTTGGGGACCTTCTCTTGCAATCGGGCAACCACCTCGTCAAGAGCCCCTCGCAGATTCACGCCGCTGTGCAACTCCAGTCGAGCATCACCCGGTAAACCACTTTTCTCCAAAGGTAGAGGCTTGTTTGTCAAGCCAATCACTCTGTTAAAGGTGGTAGGTGTGGGGTAAGAGAGAGCGCAATTGGTGACGGCCCAGCCAGAGATACCACTGGCCCCAAAGACCAAGGCAACGTTCTTCGATTCAGCCATTGCGCCTGCTGTATCTTTTTTCTCGACGAGACAATGATGCGTCTGCGGCCACAGGCTCCTTCTTCGGCCCCGGTGAGAAGAGGGGCAGTATTTATTAAGAACAGCATCCTCGGCTGCCGAACTATCGGAGCTGTCAATGATTCATTAGGCCCGAGCTCTTATCTGTCCACCAAGCGACTACTGAATCATACCCTGGTCTGTGTCTCACGAAGCTATGGCCTACGACCGGCCGGACTCCGAATGCTTTGGTTCTTATTTGTGGAAGCCAGACAGAGCCGAGGTCCGCGGAAATGTCAACCGACTAAGCGCTAGCCGATCGCAGAGTAAGGGGCCTCCCGCTTCATCGCGCAGCTGACTGCACTGGTAACGCTCACCTATAACCCCCGGAACATCCTCAGGTCCTGACTCGAGGTTCGGAAAGGTTCTGCTCTTCTCCTTCATGGAGCCCCAACACGCTCGATTGGTTGAGGCATATTTCAACGGCACCTCGCTAGTAGTGCATCCGACGCGGTTGTTTGACCTTCGCAAGAAGGATTGAAAATATAAAGACATTTGGTCAGTGGTATTATGGGCTGCCCGCTGGCGACACTACACAATTACGGAGGTTGGGATCTCAGTCATCGACACAAGCATAGGTAGTAATCACGGTGGCGGTGGCGATGAATATGTAACGGTATTAGCATTAGCAATGACTTTGGGTCGATACGCCCACGGTAGACAAGTGATCATGAACATGACAGGAGACATACTTGCAGGGCCCACTATGCGTAGCCGTGTCTTATGTGCATAACCGAGTGAATAATACGACACAAACCGCAGTTACCCCGCGCCCCACTGCAGGCTGAACCAAAACATCCGGCCGGCGATGCGGGTTGTCGGGTATCAAGATCAGTGCCCACTTGCTTTTGGTAGAGAATGCAAGGGTTTGAAAGGCCATTCTCATCATACCATCATGCCCTTCAAATGCATTCGGTTCTTCGCGAGATCCGAAGCCCCTCGAAACGTCAGGTTTCCCGATCGGCCCGATCTTATCTTCTCTGATTGTGAGCAGGACTCACCGGGGCCACCACAAGAAGATGATATCAGGACAAATCTCACTATCGTACATACCGCAGCGGAGCCAGAGATTGAGTACGTTGATTCTTGCAACACCTTAATTCTCATACCTCTGAGTGACCGATACTAGCCTTGTCGCCGTGCATGGATGGAAGGGCCACCCGCAAGCCTCTTGGACAAGTGCGTCGGGCGTCAATTGGCTGAGAGACATGCTTGCTCAAGACATGCCAAAGCTGAATATTCATTCATGGGGATATAGCTCCCCGGACTCGAGCTGCGCTGGCAGAGAACCTTCGATGCAGGCACTATCGCAGAAACTCGTTAGTGATCTGTGGCAACACAGAGAGAACTCGAAAGTAAGCAAGCATTTGTCAATGTATGGCTACTGAGTTGAAAGCTTATCCCCAGCGGAGCATAGACTCATGAGCTTCCACTTGTATTCATTGCCCATAGCGCAGGAGGGTCGATTGTCAAGGGTGTATGTCTGCCCCTGTAACCCCCAAGACGGCCAAGAGGGTTGACAACCACTTTCTCGGCAGGCATTGCTCTATTCCGCCTCCCACCCGGATGAAAAGTTTCACGGGGTGAAGAGGTCCACTTGTGGAGTCCTCTATATGGGTACCCCGGAATTGGATGCCAGACTCGAGGGCTTGGCGAGCTACTTGGCCATTAGTGGCGGGGCTCATGCAGCGGATGATGCTTACTTCAAGGAGGCGTCTTGGTTACTTCATACCCTGCGGGGGTATGAGGGAATCAGTCAGGATTTTCGGACAGTCTATGGCCACGAGCAAGGCGCAAATTCTGTACAAACGCATGTTGAGGTACTTCTGGACCCGTGAGTGCCATAGACAAAAGCGCTGGTTGACATGACCTCGGTAGGGGACACGAACTGCTCGACACATATATCTCAACACAACGCATGACGAGATGAACAAATATGACTCGGCTCTTGATCCGGGATACGAAAATGTCAGAGAGAGTGTTATATGGATTGCACAGGGTATTCGGAAGGATGAATTGCCTTCTTGAAGATGGTTGAGGTGGCGACTTGTATGGGGATCTAGCAGGACGGTGTCTTGCTCGAGTAGAACTCGCAGTTGTGAGGGGTGTCGAGTAATGACCACAGTATAGAGCTACATTTCGCACTTTATCTACAGTGGGTAATAAATAGAAAAGAAAATAAGAAATAGAAGGGCAAAAAGCTCGCGCTGTTGGAGGATAACCCCGAACAGTGCTACGAAAACCCCTCTTATCCCCGGGTGTTTTCATACCGTTGAATCCTGGAATGGTAGAGCCAGCGTCTGGAAGTGCCACAGCCGGAATTCGAACGCAGGACCGGGGGCATTTACCTCTACGATCAGCCAGTGTGTTCCCAAGTACGCCACCGGTCCTGCTGGTTACCGAGTCCTACCCTTTTGATAAATATAACCCAACAACCACCCACTATTTTGGGAACACATTCACGAAATAACGCCGACGTACGCGAACAGTACAGGATTCTACATTCCATCGCCCCGCAGAACGCACAGCCACTGCTACTTTATCATCACTTCGACAAAAGCTTGACCTTATGTATTTCGTGGTAAATAGATTCTGTCCTCTATTGTGACCACTGCTCCATCCCGGCTTGCCTGCCTCAGTTCCACCGCACGTTGCCGATTCTCCCTGCGTTGTTTCCCACTTGAAACCCCGAGTTGTTTCCTGAGAAAACCACCGAGTTGGTATACGTCGTCGTCGAGGTTTGCTGGATCACCTTTACGACGGTCTCAGTCAACAGATTGTCTTGATCGGCAGCCACTTCTTTCAGGATAGGTAGCGCCCCCTTGATGCTCTTCATCTCCGACACCTCTTCCTCTGCCAGCTTGCGTTGCGCATCCTCGATCCCCGGGAACAACTCGACCAGGTCATTTACCAACTCGTTAATGTCCTCGATCAGTCTCGTGAAATTCTTCTCTTCGTACAATGTCAGTTCCTTAGTGGGCTCTGCATCCGAGCTGCCCTGTCTTCGAAGAGAGAGATCATTCATCTTCTGATGCAGCGATGCGGCGACCTTGTCCAGGTCCTTGTTAGGATCAAGAACAGCGGTCGCATTGCGATGACGCAGCTGAAATCGCTTCGAGATTCTTTCAGCATCAGCAAACTGGTCGAGTATCCCTTCCAACAGCTCAGATACCCGGGGTATGTCGTCAGGTGATAGCTTGGACTCCTCCAGGGAGTGCACATCATTTATATTGGCCAAGCCGACCGACTGTCCCCAGCGCGCCAGTCGCAGCCTTACCACTCCGAGCTTCAACACGCTGGCCTTGAAACTGTCTCCAAAATTCTCGCCCATCTGGACTGACCCGAAGTAGCCAACCACGCTGCTGAACAGTCGGGACTGCTGGGTCACCATTTCCAGTGTTTCTTTTTGCAACTGCGTCATTGCATCCTGCTTGGACCCGAGATCCTGATTCTGTTCCATGATGGTGTTGGTGTTCGACTGGATTACTTCCGTTCGCTCATCGAGGAGGGTGGCGTTCGCGACAAGGAATTCTACCTGCCCGTTCATGCTCTTGACAACCTCGTCGATGATCTCGACCGTTCTCAGTGTCGCTAGGCCTACGGCTTGGCTTAGCTCGTTGATGGCTTCTTCCATCTCGGTGTTTGCTGCGGTAAGATCTCCATCGGCTCCCTTTACCAGGTTCTCGAACCATTTCTCTGACGGTCGAAATTAGCATTAGCCACGCTTCAACAAATCAAAGATTGCTCGAAGAACGAGGCGGAAGCACATACTGAATCTTTTCTCTGTGGCATACTTCTGCGCGACGGCGCAGAGCTTGAGGATGCTGGAGAAGACGCGTGTGACGCATCGTTGGAATGGAGGTAGAGATGGAGTTCTCTCCTCGATTATCGAAAGGCGATCGAAGAAGCGATGTGTGAACTCGAAGAAACCCATAATCTTGTCATAGTCTGCAGATGTATCGGCGAATGACTAGGCTCAATTTTAGTCAAACGTGCTGATGCAATAGACGTTCTCTTCGCAATGAGCGCATACCTGCATGACTTGGCCGAAGGCCGTGAATATCAAACTGGCCGGGACGGCAGGTGGAAATGCCTAAAATGTGCGAGTCAAAAATGATGCCACATGTTGTAAAATGAGCCCAACTCACCGAAACCGCAGTTCCGACCGTCTGGATGGTGTTGACAACCTTCTGGATGATCCACATGTTGTTCTTTAACGCAGTGCGGACTTTGGCCATCTTCGATTTATCATCGCGAAAGTCTTTGAATCTGGTTGCAAGGCCTTCCGTTCCTGTCATCACATCGTTCATACTCCTGAATTGACCCAATCTCAGATTCTTCCCAGTTCTCTTCTCATAGTCCTCCACGGCGCCTTGCCACAACTGGGCAAGGTCTGACGCCTCGGCCGATGCATTGCTTGCTGGTTCGATTGCCATATTCTTCAGGCCGATGTGTGGTAAAGACTCGACAGAAGAAGTGGTCACGCCCTGGAAAACGAGTACATGGCCACGATGCCCTGTGGTGGGAAGTTCAGACCAGATAAGATCGATCGATCGCACGGACACTGGTCCTTCTCAGTCCACACACGGCTTTCAACCCCACGTCCTGTGATCTTCCGCGTCCACGGTGCAATGCTCGGTGCTGCCGTGCTCTGCAATCTATGTCCAGAACAGCCAACGGCGCGATGTTCGGACACGCCGGCAAGCTGAGGTTGGCACCTTCTCACAAGGCTTTCCCGTCTCATCAGCTAGCCACCGTAGCGCCCGCGGCAGGCAGCAACACCAATAGCAGATACCCACGTACGGGATCATCTGCATGGCACCCCTCCGGGTATATCCGATAGCAGGGGGTCATGAATGTTTGTCATGATTCTAACTGGTGTGGGTCTGTGATACACTTGTCAAACTTTTGGGGAACCCCTCCCATCGCCCCTCACTTGGACCGTGTGTTGAGCCATAGGGCCATGTTCGATTCCGGCCTTCCAAGTGGCCCGTCTGACAACTAATCGGCTTGATCGCAGACCTTCCACCTTGATTCCTGGCTGACCTGTTATCAGTATACAGGCGAAACTCTATTCTGGGCATCAAATACGCTGCGAGACTTCATGCCTTACGCCAATTGGGGTTCTGCACCCCCGACTACGTCTACCTTGCTTACCCGCCCACAGCCTCTGAACAATTCCAAGGTAACACAACAGCACTCGATGCACGATAGCATCATTCCAGAAAGCTTCAAAGCTAGATTTCATCATCTTCATAACATTGCATGCTAACAACTCCACCACTATGCTCTTCCAAAAACGAACCCACTTTGGTTACCAACATTCTGACCCAACTGGTACCCCGAGTTCGTCGATCCCGCAAAGGAGGCGTGAGAGACGTTGTTGACTGTAGTGCCTCCATCCTTCTCGGGGGCAGGAACCTTGGCCACCCATTTCTTCAGGACGCGCAGTACTTTAACAAAGTCGCGATCATTCTCATCCTCAAACTGGCTCATCTTCACATGGTTGGCTGCCAGCCGCTCTGCGGGAGGCCCGTCGGGGCACCGCGCCAAGGCCATCTCCACGATCTTGACCCCCTTCCCGTTGAGATCGGTAGAGGATCCCTCGTAGAAACATTGGATGTCCATCTCCAACCCGGCGGCACGGAGCTGAGCGAACTCCCGCGGGATGCCCAGCACCCACTCGGACTTTTCTTCCAGACCAAACTCACTAGGGGCCTCTTCACCCGCTAGCTCGAAGTACTTGTTTGCTTCACTCAACACCTCCGGGCGGTAATGTGGGGTTCCGAGAAGAAGAAGCCCCTTGACACAGCTGACGAGACTTTTTCGGTCGTCGTGCTCGGCTCCTCGAACCAACGCCTATGCTTGTTTGTCAACCTTTGACTCCAGGGGGTGTTTGGAAGGGGGCGGCTGGACCGCACGCCAGGAAGCCTACATTCTCGCAGATCAGCCCTCCAAGGCAATGCGCTACAAGAATCACAGCTCGTTTCTCCTGGTCGTATTATCAGCAGCTGCGAAGGTTAGAAGGGCGGGGCGGGGCAACCTTCTCCGGTTCGGTGCGTTGATCCATCAGCTGGTCCATCAGCTCATTGGAAAATTCGGTGATGAGGTCTTCCTCGTTCCAGAACGTTTCGAGAGTAATATCGTACTCGAATGAGAACACGCGCGCCTCGGAAACCTTGCTCGCGAAGAGCTTCTCTGGCCAGAACACTGATTTGACGGCAGAGGTCCAGCCGGGCTGCTCGCCATGCCAGCCGTGGACGAAAACAATGCTTCAGAGTTCCATGATCAGTATTCCCTAAACCATGCGACTTGTAGAAATAATCTTGCAATGTCGTACACTTAAGAAGTGTGGTGTAACTTACTCCACGCGAGCGTCGCCGGGGTCCCGGATCACTTTCAGCTCCATTGGTAATGCCACACCTTCAACAACAGATATATATCAGAATAACGGTGGGATCAGTGGTGATAAAAATTGGGACTATCTCTTTTTGCTGGGGCCGACCGAATTTATGTTCCCACTCATGATGAGGAGCATCCCGAGGAATCGGGCATCGTCCCTCAGGAGGGACAATCGCAGATCCAGCAGCTGCAACAATCCCAAACGAGGCCCAATCGCGACGGATCGTACTTTGGTCCAATGGAATCGCAAAATCCATAACCCACAAACTGAATGGCTGGCGCTAAAAGTCAATATAGACTGCTTGCCTTCCACACCGTTTCGAACGGGTGCCGTACGTGCGTGTGTTGAGGGGGGGGGGAGGGGGAACTCGGCCATGAATCATCTCCTGCAGCAAGCTAGATCAATTGTACGGAGTATGGAGAGGGGGGGTGGATGTGCATCGGGATGAGGTGTGAGCGCTGATCGATGCTGACGGGGAGTGGTTTGTTTGGGTGACTGCAAGCGAGGTGCATATTTGCCCCCTCATTGGATGCAGCTGAAATCTGCACCTATGATCACACCCGCGGCGTGGAGGGCTGAAAGTCTTCTGACAACTGAACTCGACTAGGAGAATGCCGTCCATCCCGGTGGCACCCAATCGAGGCAGTGTTGACTTTTTCAGCAGATGCGGAGATGCAACCCCTGCTTACTGTCAAGCAGAACTTGCTTGCTGCACCGGGTGCGTCCCATGAGATCGGTCTTATTTAACGACGACTTG